TTTAAAGTTCTTACGCCGATGGTGATTTACTTTTTGAGTGTATCTCAGTTTAAACTTATGTGGCAAAAATCAAATGTTAATCAGACGGTCATATTTTGTGTGATGTTAAGTTTTTTTTTATTCCTCCTCTGTTGAAAATTGTGCTTAGGAACTTTATACAGTTTTCTTTTGAACTATTGTTAATTCTGACAACGTACAGATTCAAAGTGGACAGGAATCTCTGATTTCCCAAACAGCGTACATTTCAACCTAAACTAGACAGTTGAACTGAGAATGCAAATGATCGGCCGGAGGCTTGGTTTTAGAACTGTCCACGTCCCACCGGCTGTAAGCCTCGCTGTGCCATTGTTGCACGTGTTGCATGATGTAGTTTCGTTGGTCGGTAATTGACAGCCCTAATGCCGTGAAATTTTCTCCTGATAAATTGTTGCCAGCGTGTTGCGAGCGTGGGCTGTATTTATGGTGCTGGAGCCATGATTACTCACAGTACCGCTTGCCTGGTCGCTCATCTAAATACTGCAATCATTCTTTCACTTTCAAATCAGCTATTTACCTTCCAGTTGTATGGTGTTTAATTTTCTGGATTTAAGTGTTTCAAGTGTAACTTATTCAACGATGGAAACGTTTTTCCTGTGGAATTATATTCATCATTCTTTTTTAAAAGGATTAATTTAAATTTCCTCCACGTTTTAATGGAATTGCTTGATTATCTACTATGTATCAAGCCGCTATTCACCATGGGGACGTACCACGACCGTGCGTACTCGAAGGGCGACAACCCCCGCGCCAGAACTCCGGCGTCGGATGAGGTAGAGTCCCCTGACAGGGAGGAGAGTCCCGTGCCGGATGTCGTGGAGAACACGAGCCGGAAACGTGTCTCCTACCGGGACGTGATCGAAGAAACATGCGAGACAAGCATGAGCGTGTCTCGTTCGTTCTGCGAGGAGAAGAGCGCGGACGTCATGAACAAGAAGGTGAAGATGGACGAGCCCGTCAAAGAGATGCTTGTCAAGTCTACGGACGCGGTAGAAGAAGATACTTCCGGATCTCGGTACGCATTTGAAAAGTCAAAACTGGCCCGTACAAGAACGGTAGCCGTCTGCCAACGGAGACGTGACGCGCCTTCTCTGTGGGCCTGGGAGCGGGATGGCAAAAAGCGGTCGTCTGACGACAACATTGTCGGCAAGGTAATGAATTATGTAAGGCAAATAACGAGAACAGCGCCTGGTGATATTTTTCTTGTCGCCATGCAAGCATTAATGAAGGGCTTATAGGTGTTTGTGTGTGTGTGTGGGGGGGGGTGCAAACAGCTAACTAGTACTTATCTTTTTTCAGGAGGATAAAAACAATGCAGTTTGTCCTTTATCTGCATACATTGGCCTTTAGCAACTGGCTAAACCACTTGCAATAATCTGAAATTAAATTAGATGCCGCCATCATGTTGATATAGAAACATGAATAAACAAAGATTGACCACCAACAGACTGTTATCGATAGAGACATAGAGTAATCTAATAGACTGAGCGCTAATCAATAGACTTAAGATGATGGCTGTGTATTCTACTAAAGATTCGCTGCTTTGAGTCATCAAATGTAATCTGCTGCTAATACCAGCGGCAAATACTTTCCTCTTGCGTCAACATGATAGCCTTCTTTCTTTGTTGTGTTGGCTCATGCAATTAATAGTGTTGGTGTCACTCGGTGTAGCTGATGGTTTTATTCATGCTTTGTAAAGCAGAAAATAGTAATATAAACTCTTTATATATATATATATATATATATATATATAAAGCCTGTTGTACGAACAGTTTCACTTAAAATAAACCATCTGAGATCCACTTTTAATTAAGCATAACAATCCTTAGCTGCAGAAAAATACACTAAACTACTTTAAAATAGTACAAATTGGCCTGGAAAAAAATTATAACAAAATAATAACATAATACGGCAAAGCAAGACACAACATATACACAACAAATACATTATAACTGCATTGGCTGACTGCCACCTATTTGTTAGAAACGTAGATTTGTTTTCCTCATTAATGTACGGGCCGCATCCGTCATTTTAATCTGATACATGTCACACTCATTTATTTTTCTCATTCTTTGAATTGTGTCTAACAATATATTTATTCCGTATGTTTTCGAATCGGTCAGTGCCCTTGTATTGATTTTGTTCGAAGCGCTGAATCGTCCAATAATATAAAAAGTTTACTGATAAATTTATCATCTGCTTTTTCACCCAATCTTGAAGACAAGATTTCAAAGGTTGATGTTGTTCCGATTGCTTTTGTTGCTATTTTATGAACTAGCAATTAGGAAGTGCAAATTGGCGATGCCATCTAATATCCGAAACAACGGGTTTCCAATGATTGTTTTAAAAAATATGAACTATATTTTTATGTAATTAATTCCATACTAAGTAAACATACGGCCTTTTTAGTCCAGAGGGTCCAATTTTTCTTTTAGACCTTTATGCACCTCTTTATATCTGCTCCGTTGGGGTGTCTGATATAGGAGATCCTTCTATGCTGGCTCCATCTGTGTAGTCTATCAAAGTGTGCTAATTCTTTATATGTGTTGTCTCTATCAAATAGGCTCTATCTGTATAGTCTCTATTTAAGTGGGCTAAATCTGTGTAGTCTCTATCAAAGTAGGCTACTACTGTGTAATTTCTATCAAAGTGGGATCCATCTATATCATAGTAGGCTACTACTGTGTAATTTCTGTCAAAGTGGGCTCCATCTGTGTAGTCTCGATCAAAGTAGGCTACTTCTGTGTAGTGTCTATCAAATCGGGATCCATCTGTGTAATTTCTATCAGAGTGGGATCCACCTCTATCAAAGTTGGCTCTTTCTGTGTAGTCTCTATCAAAGTGGGCTCAATCTATGTAGTCCTTATCAAAGTGGGCTCAATCTGTGTAGTCTATATCAAAGTGGGCTCCATCTGTGTAGTCTCTATCAAAGTGGGATTTTTCTGTAACGAAGTTAGATGGCTGTGTATCTTCTTCATAAATGGGTCATAAAACCAAATCTTAAGTATAATAGGTTATTTATATTTATTGATTAATAATTAATAAGAATCAGAATGTACACTTTTTTTAAAACTGTTTACGCTGCTGTCCAATATACTTTCTAGCTTGCGTGTTTGTTGGCGTGTTGAATTAATATTACCCAAAACGTCGGATATTGTCCATATCCTACTTGATTTTTTTTAATATTCAATCTGGTTATCGATTATTTACCCCACACATAACATATCCCATCAAGCAAATGAACTGACATAAGCCAGTAAGTTGTGATCTCATTACTGTTATCTAGTGGTGGCCAAAACCGCTGTGCAAGTCATAACCCTCACATCTGTGATTAATAACTATCGAGGCGACTCAACGCCAGCTGTTATGTTGTATACACTATACTGAAACCCAAATTACATCCAAAATAGGTTTTATAATAAGAATTTTTTTTTAACAAAACCTGCTTATTATCTTAGATTAAAAATGAGTATTCAAACACGACACTTTAACATAAAATGTAATGCGTGCTTGTTTAGCTTTTTTTTTTCCAAATGTAACAATACATACATATGTATTACATTTCTCGTCTACAGTTACGTTATTATGAGGTTTCATTGTTTAATATTCAATATGCGTAGAAATGTGTGCATTTTTTCTGTTTGTTATTTCCCATAGCGTGTATCTCAGGGATCGGTAAATTGAATAGTATGTCATCATTTATTCAACAATTGTAAAGCTACTCAACTGTAATAAAAATTCGATATATGCGTTAAGGTCCTTAGAGTTCAAAATTTATTAAATCTTGCACAAAAATATTAGTAGTCCTTTGATTCTTGACAAGACAACAACGTAACTTTTGTTCTGGCCGTACTGGTGTTTTATATTAAAACATTACAGAGCATTATCCCGCACAAAAACTCTCTTCACTCAAACGCATTCTCTTCCATTGAAGCACTGTTTAAAGTTTAACAGTTACACAAAACTTAAGTGAATAGACATATATATGAAAATAAGTTTGTGGTTATGTGTGTCCTTTATACATTACTAAACCTTTCAGCCGATCGCCATCAAACTTTGGGGAGTTATTGAGATTGCTCCTTTGAAGGTTTCTGGGGGGGGGGGATTTTTTAACTTGGGAGGCGCGGCGTCCCGACAGGGTGCAATCTGGCGCCCCGGGCTTTCCCGTGAACACTATGACACCTATGTTGGTTTTAAAGAGTGCGATACACTATGGATACGATGGACTACTATAATCGTTGCGATTTGGCGCCCCGAGCTCCACTGACACACGGGTGGTCGCAATCAGGGCGGTAACTTGAACATATAAGATCCAAGAAAAATTGCACCGGCATCGTTTACTTTTAAATAACTCAGTTTTTGGAAAACAAGGTCACGGGTTTTAAAAAATACACTATGGTATCGCATGTATGAAATCCTCTTAAAATATTGCGTAAGCCCGCAGCAACGCGCAGGGAAGGGTACGCTAGTTTTATATAAAAAACATTTATATATTTAAAAGACTTTAAAAATTTCATTTTAATAAAAATTCCGAGATAAATACTCATATGATGCGCTCAAAAAAAAAATTCTTACAAATTCTTATGAAAGCAAATCTGACGCTGCTATCAATACCTTACTTAACAGGGATAGGCTAACGTTTTTTTTTTGTAGAAAGTAAAATCGGATTTACGATTATTAAAATAAAAGGAAGATGTTATACAATAAAAGAAATATTAAAAAGAGCTAGTCTGCTTTACAAAAGACCAGGGTAAATAATAGTATGGATTCTTTTATTTATTTATTTATTTTTATTTTATTTATTTATTTTATTTATTTTTTGGACAATGTAAAATATGTAATTTTTGTTTCGCTAACTTACAGATTCAACACTAGATGAGTAACTGCAGATCTTTAGGCTAATTGTATCACTCCCCTACACATCTTACATCTCATTACAAAGATACTTGTTTGTTTTGTTTCAGACTGGGTCAATGATGGGCCGTGAGGAGGGAGACTACGCTGATGGGTACAGGTACAAGGCCTGGTCGCACGTCAATGGCGGGTAAGTTGACCGTCAACGTCTTACTTTTTTAAACCATTGTTAACCAGGCTGTATTTCGTCAACAGTACATCTTACTGTTCAAAACCGTTACGGGATCGGCGTGGTCGAGTCGGTAAAAGAATATGGAAGCAAATCAAAATAGAAAAACAGTCTGAAATCGGAGTCAAGGGCCTAATTGGCTCATAACCAGTTGATACGTATACTTAATTGTGTTGAAGAGAATCCCTTCCAACACTAAAATTAAGAACGACGAAAAAAGAAGAAGAAAAAACGTTACCTGTGCTGTATTTCGTCAACAGTACATTTAACTTTTTAAAACCATTGTATACTAGGCTGTATTTCGTCAACAGTACATTTAACTTTTTAAAACCATTGTATACTAGGCTGTATTTCGTCAACAGTACATTTAACTTTTTAAAACCATTGTATACTAGGCTGTATTTCGTCAACAGTACATTTAACTTTTTAAAACCATTGTATACTAGGCTGTATTTCGTCAACAGTACATTTAACTTTTTAAAACCATTGTATACTAGGCTGTATTTCGTCAACAGTACATTTAACTTTTTAAAACCATTGTATACTAGGCTGTATTTCGTCAACACTACATTTAACTTTTTAAACCATTGTTACTGCCGACCAGTCTTTCCGTGGTATGATCTATAGAACCCAACCCTGATAACCTCCCTGTTTCTATCTCCAGACCCCCACAGTACAACCCCTTCTACACCAGTATAGACAGCATGCCGGAAATCAAGCCCAGACGGAAGAGCATCCCCCTCGTTAGTGATTTGGTAAGCTTTGATACCCTCTCTCAGGCTTTTGTCTCTAACCCATCAATGTCTGTTTCGTCACTTGACTCCACGGCTAATCAACTTAACGCTAGCTCATTGGCTACCTTAGCCCAGGGTCCCACGCTCGTCTTTTCATTCCCTTAAAGATTCCATTCGTTTCCTTATTCCGATTTTGTAAAACTGCTCAATTTTTCAACCAAACATAATTATTTCTATAGTATTGAACTTCTCTTTTAATCAATACACCAACCCAACTAAACAGTTTTTTTACTTTTTTAATTCCGTCTCGTTGGACCCTGTGCTAGTTTTCTATTTAACCTTCTAAACAATATCTGATTTCCAAGGCTGTGGGTTGTACCATTTAGTATGTTCCCCGTCCCCTTATGTTAAATATACCAACGCCCATACATGGTCAAGTTTTATTTACTCTATGTATTTGAAAGCCGTTGTTAATTGTATAGTGATCGCCCCATTATGCTTAAGTGTACTAACCCCAGATTTGTATAAATATAATAAATGTATACTATAATATTCTTACATTAAAACATGTATTTATTTTTCCTTATTATTGAGATGGTTGTTCCATGAGAAAATCACATTCATAGCTAATGATTTGTGTAACGTAATAAGTATTATAGCCTCTACAAGTGGAATAAGCCCGTTTAGGGAAAATAATGTTACCAAATTACTAATATTTTCTATGTAATAATGACAGATTTCTAGTTATTTTAAGTTTATTTTAAATATTATGAGACATTAAGCTAATTAGCTCGCCTTGTCATTAAATTTATATTCAGTTTTGAGATTTGAAGGTAACAATATTGGAAACCACGTTGTAATTAGAGTAAATGGAAATGTATTTTTAGACCTGGCCAACATATCCTGTCAATAAATCTATACCATACTTGAAGGTTTTAAAAGTTGTGTTGTCAATGTTAGGTCATAGATCGATTGTAGAATTAAGGTGCCTAACCACGTCAAGGGTTCTCAGATTGGGTATGCTCTACTTCACCTGCTTTTTTTATAATGTAAAAAAGTATTAACTACTAACTTTGTCGTTCGGTATTTTTAATTGATCAACAATTTTTATAAATTCAAATATTTCTGGTGTTAATTAACTTTGTAATTTGGGGAAAATGATCTAAGGAAAATTACTTGAAAGTATAAACATATCCATTGAAACTGAAAATAAAATTGTAAGAGTATTGGGGTCCTATTGTTAACGGCTGTGATTTAAATAATGTATACACTATGGCTAACAGTAATAAACCATCAATGTGGGCCAACATTAGTGAATTTTATACTAAAACTGGACTAACTTTCATGAATTATAAACTAATAGTGAGCTTCGAATAGTGAATCATTAGCTAACTGTGAGTTAATAGTCCTGAATCAATAGTTTACTGGTATGGATTTACGCTAGTTTTTTTTTACAGGTTTAAAAAATAACCGTCAGTAAGTTTAAAGTGTGCAACGTTTTAGTAGTGACTTTTAAATAACAAAGATGTCCAGGATGTTAAGGTTGAATAGGGTTTAGCCTCAGACATTAATCTTTAAATTGGCTTCATATTGGCTCCTAACACATGTCTCCATTTTGCCCCCTTCTCTCACAGGTGATGAAGGTATATTTGCTACCTATCAAACATGAGTAACTATTAATAGATGTGATGCTCTTGTCTCCATCTTTCTCGATGTTTTTTTCCTTCATTTATCTCCTTTAATTATCTCCCTTATCGCTCGATATGTATTTTTTTTTTACTATTTTCTTTACACAGATTATGAATAGCTTAGTTCTCTAGGGTTAGGAATTTAGATAGTGATAAGAATTAATTGATGTTAGCGTATTATTTTCTTCACATTAGATTACATTTTTGCATGTTTTTTTTACTGAATTGTTAGACATAATAATGCATCTCGGGAGTATTCTTCATCATAGATAATGACATTTGCTGTAACTGTTTTCAGTTCATAGCAGTTTTACTTCGTCTAATGAGATGACATTTAGAAAGCCAGTTTCATGTTTTTTTCAATTACTAATACGTCTACGTAGGCGTATAGATATCTTTTATTGCATTTCAACGAGAGATGGCATATATTAAAAAATATAAAAACCTGTTATGTTGAAATGAATCCTGGTTATTTTATCAGTATTGAATTAAATCGATCATTAAAATCAATCAGCTGACGTGCCTTATTCTTCCATTAACTTTAGTGACCGCTCTAGTTGGGTAACAAAAAAAAACCAATGTTGGTACAGTATACGTGGCTTTCCTTCCATTACCGTAAAGAACCACGTAGTCTAAATTAATTCTTACTTGCACTTTCTAGTCTAGTTATCGCATGTACTTTCCTAACAACAACAAAAAAAATGTTTTTAGTTGTATTTACTTGTAAATTAAACTTGAATACAAATGTTCTTTAACTCTTTACAAGTTGCTAAACTCCGATCTGATTAAATAGCGACAATCTTTAGACCACTGTACAAACTGCCCACATCAAATGTAAATAGCGACAATCTTTAGACCACTGTACAAACTGCCCACATCAAATGTAAATAGCGACAATATTTAGACCACTGTACAAACTGCCCACATCAAATGTAAATAGCGACAATGTCTAGACTCTAGACCACTGTACAAACAAAGATCACATGTAAATAGCGACAACGTCTAGGTCACTGTATAAACTTATAGATCACATGTAAATAGCGACAATGTACATTCTACAGTGCATCTAGTTGAGCCTGTATTGTAGATCAAACAACCCCGATGTTTCCACAAGCCCACAACTGCGTCTGTCAGTCTCCATCAGTGTAATCAGAACAGTCCATCGATACCTCGTTCAAGCCTAACAATATGTTACTAATAGCCTATAGATTTTTAACACGTGTGTATTGTACGGCTAGCTCAACACGATCTGTTCAGATGGAATAGAGTTGTCTCCCTGTCTCCCCCATCCTTGACACGACTCACTCGCTATAGTGCAGGCTGTTGACCGATACATGCACGTTAAATTACACCCATGGTCATTTTAAATCACATCCATGGTCATGTTAAATCACACCCATGGTCACGTTAAATCTCATCCACAAGTGTAGTGTTAACTTAGAGAGCGCGTTAAAAAAATCCTCAATGAACTCTGCTTGTATAAGAACTTGGTAGCAAGGCGATAGATTAAAGGATATTTTAAAAAGCATGCGCCTGGGGCAGAATCAGCAAGACAGAAATCAGATAGGATTGTTTACTTGTGTGGAATAGGGGGAGTTAGGAAAATATCAACAAGCATTAAGGAAGTAATGCTTGATGCGTTGTTGTTGTTTTTTTCTTTATAGTATTGTCTTCCAATAACCTTCATTGAAGGCCTATACGTTTCTGCTTTAAGTGATGTAAACTATTAAAGGTATGTGATGGTCTATACAGTTTACACAATGAAAGCAACCAGATAACATAATATGTATCAAATTAGCATGAACACAGACAGGCCTATAGCCCTTAAAAATTAGTGTCCAAGTGGGCTAATATGCAGGACAGTGGCGTCTGTAGACGGACGTGATCAGATTCTTCCAGTTGTCTTTATGGTGATTTACTTTTTAGTGTACCGTCGATTTTATCAAGTCCGTGAACATGTTCTGTGAGCAGCGTTAATTCAATTGAACGAAGAAAACTGATTCTCCTGTTCTCGAGAATAAAAGTTCTTTTTCGAGATTGCACAATTCAGTGTAGTCAACTAGCGAATGCTGTACTGTAGCAGGGTTGTTGACGAAAACAGCTCACGATTTTTAAACGGTTGGGCGGGAAGAGTAAGGCGTTAGTCAAACTACTGTTAACAACACAGACGACAATGATTGAGACCCTTATTTCAATGGAGAAGGGAAAGAACTCTGGTTACCAGGGAATTGGGAAACTAATAATGATGCTTCCCACCAAAAATGTGGGCGAAAGGTGTTGTCTCCTCCATCTTTCATTACGTCAGACATTTCTTGAAGCATTACGTGACTTCCGGCGTTGCTTGTAGCTAGGGCTAATTGTTGTTTTTTTCGTACATTTTTTACCAGAGCTAGACCTAAATCTCTGTATCCCACCAGTGGGTGTTTTGACAACTTTGGCATGAGCAAGTTTAAAAAAACAAATTTAACGTGCCATAAATTGTTTCCCAGAAATTAGCCTCACCCTGAAGATGTTCCTTTGTAGGCCTGTTATTGCACTTGTTACTGGTGTAAAAGTTTAAAAAGGAAATAACACAGGCACACGCTGGAAATAAAGCAAATAAACCTAGTTTCTCAACTTGGGAAAAAAAAAGATAATTCTGCGTAGGTGTAATGATGGATATGCATGCCTTTCTCTATTTGTTTTCTATTTAAGGAAAGGTTGACAAGGAAAATCTGATTTTTCTCAAATTGAGTTTTATTTTCTAAATGAATGTTGAGGCTGATGTTATATAGGCCTACTGTAGTAAAATGAAATGCCCACTATTTATTTTAATATGTAATGTGAAGTAGCTTTAATGTTAAAACTAAGCTATCTGGGAATACATTTCTCATTATTTTTTAAAGTTGATTTTTTAGTGTAGAGTTAGTATTTGCGCTAACATTTCTTTGAAAATTAACATTTTTCACAGCATGTGTAGATCTCTATAAGAAAATAACTAATTTTAGTGATTTAAATTATACAATTTTCAGAGCCTTGTTACTTAAATGAAAGCCAGATTAAGTAAAGTGTGTAGATTTTTAGCTGTTGTCAGTAGATCTAAGCAGTTTCTTCATAAACATCCCATTCACTCTTTACTCAATAGAAAGTTGATGGTAAAGCAAATGTATGTTATAGTTGTTGATAAAGCTCCTATTATTCCTTATAGACTAATTTATTTGATAGAAACATGATAGTTTCAGTAGACATGATATCAGGTACAGTGTGTAGATCTAAACATTGTACTGTTGCTAGCCCACTAGAAGAATGACTTCTTGATTGCTAACTCAATTAGTAGACATGATATCAGGTACAGTGTGTAGATCTAAACATTCTACTGTTGCTAGCCCACTAGAAGAATGACTTCTTGATTGCTAACTCAATTAGTAGACATGATATCAGGTACAGTGTGTAGATCTAAACATTCTACTGTTGCTAGCCCACTAGAAGAATGACTTCTTGATTGCTAACTCAATTAGTAGACATGATATCAGGTACAGTGTTTAGATCTAAACATTGTACTGTTGCTAGCACACTAGAAGAATGACTTCTTGATTGCTAACTTAATTAGTAGACATGATATCAGGTACAGTGTGTAGATCTAAACATTGTACTGTTACTAGCTCACTAGAAGAATGACTTCTTGATTGCTAACTTAATTAGTAAACATAATATCAGGTATAGTGTGTAGATCTAAACATTGTACTGATGCTAGCCCACTAGAAGAATGACTTCTTGATTGCCATACTTAATTAGTGCTTGATTTATAATGATTGTCACAAGTGTGTTGAGTTCCCATGATAAATGTTGTCTGATTTTTCTAACCTTTGTTGCTGGCTCCATCTGTGTATGATTGTTGTCTTCATTCATTACACTAATTACATGCCATCTGAAAGATTTTTATTTAAATTAATTCACTGATCAAAGACAATAAATAATAAAGTGTGTTTGGATTTTTTTTTTAATTGTTACTTTCTTGGCAAAGTAAATAAAAATTGTAATTTATACAAGGGGATAAATTTCTTTTAAAATATGCAGCGGGAAAAGAAAAACTTAAGTATCTTGTTTTAAATCTTAGAACAAAATTTGTAATGATTTGTATTAAAACTTATTTTTTACTTCGCAAAGATTTTACTATAAGAACATTTTTATCTAGTAACTCTTATACCATCAACAAAAAGGTTGCATAACATTATTGAAGAATATAGAATTATATTTTTTTAACAATTACAAAATATATACTTCTTTTATCTGTTTGAAATATATATGTTTCCTTAACAGATAGTAGATTTGAGAAAGCTTCTTTCATGAAATACAGTATGTTAAAGAGAAATGTTCTTTTATCCCCCTATTTATCAAAGACTGGCCCCTGGCTATTAGACAAATTGCCTGGGGCTCATCCATTAGTTGAGCTTTATCTAGTCACTCTCTTTCTATTTTGGACCTGTTACTCTCGTGTCTGTTTTATTTTTTCAAACTTTCTAGTTCTGTTTTTCTTAGCATGTTTTTTTTTTCTCTAGATTGTTTTTCTGTTTACTTGTGTGTTGTCTTAAGCTCAGCTACATACAAAAATTTCCCCACCCCCTTTTAATAAGCCAATTAAAACAGATTATTACCATGCTCCCTCTTCTATTGACTTTCTATTATTTGGTGAAAATGATTTCACTTAAATGTTAAATAAAAGAAAAGTTTGCTATCTAAAAGAATAACTTCTTATTGCATTAATTTAGCTTTGTTATCACTCCAAAAGATTTTTTTTTCACAGGAAAATCAATAACACCTCAATGGCCATTTTTTCATTGATTTTATTTTATTTGGATGTCCATATTTATATCAATGATAGTATTAAATTATTAAGTTTTTGTCTGTTCTATTCAATACAAAAATTTTACATGTTTGTTGCAGAGTTTAGCAGCTAAAAGAAATGCTGGCGTCTCATCTGCCATGGTGGCAAGACAGTCTTTAAATGATGAGGAATTGGTAGGTTGCCAGATACGCACCTTCTGGAACTTGAATTCTTCTTAAATGTGGTGTAATTATCAGCAGAGATGTTTCCAATTTTTTTAATGGTGGTTTATTTTAACTAAGTGTATAAGTAAGAATGGGACTCTGTGGTAGAGCACATGGCTATCTGGAGTTATGTATTTGAGTCCATCCAGCTCTCTTTGGGCACCTGATTCACATTATGAAAAGCAAAGCTCTTGAGCATAGTGCTGACCACATTACCCCTTTATATGGTGAGGTCACAGAAACAGATGAAATCTACTTCATCTGCTCTTAGACACCCAGGTTAGAAAGGGTAACAATACAAGACTAGAATATACATCATAGCATTTTTTATTTGCTAATATATATATATATATATATATATATATATATATATATATATATATATATATATATATATATATATAACTTTAAAAAATTTTGTTTTGTATTTGGCTGAAAATAATATTCTTTCCAATCAGAGTATTAGAAATAAAAAAAAAATTTTTTAAAAGACCCCAAAGAAATGTCCTTTTAGAGCTGTAGAGGTAATTAGTTATACACTTTGTGTAGAAACAATATCTGCAATGACTAAAAGTAATTGACAATGCCTTTTTTAAAAAAACAACAGAGACTTTTCAACATGGGCTGTCACTATAATTGCATCTATTTCTCTAGAAAATGCATGTCTACAAGAAAACATTACAAGCCCTCATCTACCCCATCTCATCCACAACTCCACACAACTTTGTGGTGTGGTCAGCCACATCACCAACATACTGTTTTGAGTGTGAAGGTCTTTTATGGGGCTTAGCTCGGCAGGGGGTGCGGTGTACAGAGTGTGGGGTCAAATGTCACGAGAAATGTAAAGACTTACTCAATGCTGATTGTTTACAAAGTAAGTTCTACTAATTTTATTTTACTTTAAAACTCTGCCTTTTTTTAATATTAAAATTCATACTTACATTTTATCATGGTAGTATTTTGTTTTCATTTTGAAGATTACAGTGTTGAATATTATTTACATAAGTGCAGAGGCCTAGCCGGGGGGGGGGGGGGACTTATGTCCCCGGTTGCCGGACTAAGGGGGAGGGCGCCAAAATGAAAGTTTGAGGGGGTGCAAATCGAAAGTTTGAGGGGGGGGGGGGTGCAAATGAAAAGTTTGACGGGGGTGCAAATCGATAGTTCGAGCGGGGGGGTGCAAATCGAAAGTTTGTCCCCGGGCGCCGGGAAGGGTCACTACGCCTCTGCAATAAGTGCCCCACAGTATTATAGTGATAGACATATTTAACTAATATAAATGTGAATGGCTTTTTGTAGGAGCCGCAGAGAAAAGCTCAAAGCATGGTGCTGATGATAAAGCGCACAACATTATTATGGCTATGAAAGAACGCATGAAAATACGGGAGAAAAATAAGCCAGAAATATTTGAAATGATTAGGTAAGCATTATAATTAACTTGTTGTGTAATGTGGTTATGTTAAATTTTATGAATGGGTCAGTTTAATTTTTGAAAAATATTATCTAGTTAAATGATGCCTACATCTTCAGCTGTTGATTTCTTAGCCTAATTTAAAATAACATGACGTTCTAATAAAAAAAATACAAGTCAGCGAAGGAATTTAGCTTTCAAAAATATTATAATAAGCTGTTTTTACTTACAAGTTGGTTGTCTTTTAGGGTTGTTTTTTTTTTTCAAAATTGCTGCTTTTTTACAAATTATTTATAAAGTTAAAGAAAAGTTAAAACAAGTGCAAATTTTAAATTTAAAAAAAATTAATTAAAATAAATATACCAATCATTAAAGAGATAGCAAGGTTTGTCTTGAATGTTCTGTGATAAAAGTCTTTAGCTGCTAACCTGTTTTTGTGTGAACATTCCTGCTGCCCAGACAAGTTTTTGGAGTAGATAAAAAATCACATTCCGGTCACATGAAAGCTGTCAAACAAAGTGTACTGGACGGCACATCCAAATGGTCAGCTAAAATAGCCATAACTGGTGAGCCTACAGGACCACACCCTATGCAAAAAGCATTCTACCAGCACTGCCACTGTTCAACTTCAATGTTCAATATTGTCTTTATGCGTATTATTTACTATTGGATGTTTTCCCTGTGTCACCCGATTTAATCTCACTATAATATTACATATTGAATTCTGTAATATATATATATATATATATATATATATATATATATATATATATATATATATATATATATATATATATATACAGTATGTGTGTATGCTTATTAGTTATTTAAGATATATCCCATTTGCTATCCTTGCTTCTTTCTGTGTTTTCTGTTGGAATACTTTAGAGACAATGTGTCTTTCAGACTAAGAAGGTTGAAACATTTCTCACTTGACAGGTCCTGTACTGTCATATCAGGTTGTACTTCCAGTCATTGGAGAGTGATACTTCTTTTTTTTTTAATATATACACTAGCAACTACATCTTTTATTTTCTGACACTGGAGAGTTCTTTCATATTTTAATAATTTTTTTTTATTCATTAAAAGCACTAACAAATAAATCCATCAGTTTTATACACCATTTCTTTTTACTTTGTTATTATCATGAGGTGGTAGAAGATTTGTTAACCAGTTACATTTCATCTTCAGCTTGTAGAATTTTGAGCAATTACTTTGAAAATGCACTGAAATTTTGGGGTTTCATTGTGGCAATAAGACTTAGCACCAATTCAAATTATGGGTAGTTTTTTTTATCAACAAATTAAATCTTTTTTAAAATCTTTTAAAGCATACTTTATTTATTTGAATTAAGCTGTAAATAAATATGAAATATAACAAGCCAAATAGTGCAATGAAAACTTTTACATAACATAACATAAAATGTTGATTAATTTACCCATTCCTTAATTATACATTTTTAGCCTAAGCTCAGAAATAACAAAATAGAAACACATTTTATGTTTGAACATTCAATATTGCAAATAAATGTACCTTATGTCTATGTTTATAGAAACCTAATATATTTTGACTAATTTGGAAATAATTTATAACACATTTGGTTTAGCAAGTCAGAATTAAATCTATCTCTTGAAACACTGAATAATTGATAAAAAATTGCTTATGAATCAAATGGACTGCAAAATTTTATCTTTGCATTGCAAAATTATTTAATAAATCAAAAAGTGATTTTTAAATAGAAAACTAATATTTAGAATATAAAATTATCAAGGTAATAGTGTTTTAACAGTTTGTATTTTTTAACAACACAAGTTTTAAATAAAATTTTTAGACTTTAAAAAATAGAAATGTTTTTCTGATCCAACTCTAAAGAGCATGTAGCTTGATGTTTCTTTGCTTAAGACCATATGTCACTGTTAGAGTCAGCCAGCTCTGTTAGACCTAAGATACAGTGGACTTGTGGTGTCTTTGTTTTACCTATTGTTACCTCTCTGTTATGTGACATGGTATGTGTCGTAGTTTCACCCACTGTTACCTCTATATGTTGTAGTTTCACCTACTGTTACCTCTGTATGTTGTAGTTTCACCTACTGTTACCTCTGTATGTTGTTACATGGTATATGTTGTAGTTTCACCCACTGTTACCTCTGTATGTTGTTGTTTCACCCACTGTTACCTCTATATGTTGTAGTTTCACCTTCTGTTACCTCTGTATGTTGTTACATGGTATATGTTGTAGTTTCACCCCCTGTTACCTCTGTATGTTGTTACATGGTATATGTTGTTTGTGCTCTTGGCAGACGGGTCTTTGGGGTGGACACCATGTCCCACCATGGTCACTTGAAGGCTGCTCAGCAGATGGTGCTTGATGGCACCTCCAAGTGGTCAGCTCGCATCTGTATCCAAGGTATTTTAGATCCTTCTAACAAGCATGCTTTACTTTTCTATCTTTAGTCTCGCTCACACCTCATCGGTTATAACCCTGCATGAGATGTATTTGGTGTTTTTTGTTGCTTTGATTATTTTTTTCAATTTTCATTACCGTTAGGTTATGTTTTATGCCAAAAACAAACAATTACTGTTTATGTTTAAAAGTACTTTGAAAATTTGTTTATAAAAATTAAATTTAAGTTTCAAAACAAGAATATTGATTAAGTGATTAAATTTACCATCAAACTGAAACAACATATAATAGTGTAACATTGTAACAATACATGTTGAACAAAGAACTACCACAATTTTTTTTACAAAGTTAGGTTTTTTATAAAGCTCCATTTCAGATAGAGCAGAATGAAAGGACTTGGTTTCTTCTGAAATTCAATGTTTTCTAAAAAAAATATTTTCTTTTTCTCATTCTTTATATTGGTTGTTGTTGTTCATGTAATGTAATATGTGTTGCATTTGCTTTTTGCTTAAGTTAATAACATGTTGTTCAAATACGCACTGGGATTTAGTGTAGTTGCCTTTTTTTATAAAACTTGTTTTCATGAAACTGGATATCTTCAAACTTGAGTTCATTTCATCTCTCAGGTTTTAATTTTTGACCCTCAACTTTAACTTTTTTAACAAAAAAAAATATTAATAAATACAACCCAACTTGAACAAGGTGTTGATAATCTCCTTGTGTAAGCTGATAAAAGGCATCAAGGCTGATTAGCATCTGTTATGCAAAACTTATTTTACATATTTTAATACGATTTTTTAAAGTCCTCTGTTAACACATAATTTAATCTACTTTCCATACACAAATTAAATGATTAATTATGATTGTAATTAAGATGAAACCTTGAATAAATATAAATTCCTCTACATATTGAAATAAATGTGTGTTGTTTTTACTGATTGAACGTGAGTTTTTGCTCATCATTTCAATGTTATAATGACAGTGATTTCGGCCCAGGGGTTGACTGGCAAGGATAAGACTGGTACAAGTGATCCTTATGTGACAGTTCAAGTGGGAAAAGTCAAAAAGAGAACCAAGACAGTGCCTCAAGATCTCAACCCAGAGTGGAATGAGAAATTTTATTTGTTAGTAAACACATCTGTATTGTTGTCTTATTGTTTGATTTGTTTCATTCATGCCACTGGTTTACTTTTAGCTATTAGATAATAGAATAATTTTTTGTCTGTGCTGTTATTTTTTAAAATGTTACATTAGTGGCTAGTGGTGTATTCATTTTTAACACAAAGGACATAACGAAATCATATTAAAATTATGTATTCTTTACAGATTCTATGTACAGAAATACTCTTTTCTTAAGTATAAACTTTTCTCCATTTCAATTGTAGACATTATCTGCAAAGATTTTTTTACTTGTTTCAGTGAATGTCACAATTCTTCAGACAGAATCAAAGTTCGAGTATGGTGAGCTAATCTAACTTGTTTATTTGCACATTTTATCTTTGCTTAACTAGAAAGAATAAATCGCCCCAATAAAATAGAGCTAAATAATGAATGAAAAAGGATCCCCTCCCCTAAAATAGAACTAAATAATGAATGAAAAAGGATCCCCTCCCCATCTTATGTTTGTTTGTTGCATGCCAGGGATGAGGACAATGACCTCAAGTCCAAGCTCAGACAGAAACTGACCAGAGAATCTGATGACTTTCTTGGGCAGACAATAATTGAGGTCAGAACTCTTTCGGGTGAAATGGACGTGTGGTACAGCTTAGGTCAGTATCTGTGGTGCAGTACTCATCATTGTATATCAACTGTTTTTTTATGAATGAAATGAACAAGAATTTAATGCCTGTCACTGTTTTTATTTTCTATACTCATTATACAATACTAGAATATTTTTCCCCATCAATTACACCCCTCTGGTCATTATCATCAACCCCCCCCCCCCTTCCATTAATTTTCACCCTGGCACAGATGATTGCCCTTCTATAAATAAAATTTAATACATCGCTAAGCAGTGTAACAGGAAGATATATATAAAATTAATTCCGAACTGATATTTCCTATCCCTAAGACTAACATTAACCCTAATCCTAACTCTAACATTATTTAAGTTAGGTTTAGTGTTACGAATAGGATAAGGGTCAGTTTGAAATGTATGGGGAATTAGTTAGGCCTACTACTCCATTTTGTTTTAGTAAGGGGTATTTAATGTCCTGTTCCCAAATTGTATACGAACCATTTTGTTTTTTAATGTTCAAACTGAACATGCTAATTTCCTTTTGTATACAGAGAAGCGAACAGATAAATCTGCTGTTTCTGGTGCTATTAGGCTACACATCAGTGTAGAAATCAAGGGGGAGGAAAAGGTGGCTCCCTATCATGTGCAGTACACATGTTTACATGAGGTCAGTTCATTGGGTGTATTACTTCATCTGTCTAACATTGAGTGTATTACTTCATCTGTCTAACATTGAGTGTATTACTTTATCTGTCTTACATTGAGTGTATTACTTCATCTGTCTAACATTGATTGTATTACTTTGTCTGTCTTACATTGTGTATATTACTTCATCTGTCTAACATTGAGTGTATTACTTCATCTGTCTAACTTTGAAAGTATTACTTCATCTGTCTAACTTTGAGTGTATTACTTCATCTGTCTAACTTTGAGTGTATTACTTCATCTGTCTAACTTTGAGTGTATTACTTCATCTGTCTAACTTTGAGTGTATTACTTCACCTGTCTAACATTGAGTGTATTACTTCATCTGTCTAACTTTGAGTGTATTACTTCATCTGTCTAACTTTGAGTGTATTACTTCATCTGTCTAACTTTGAGTGTATTACTTCATCTGTCTAACTTTGAGTGTATTACTTCATCTGTCTAACTTTGAGTTTAATACTTCATCTGTCTAGCTTTGATTTTTACAAAAACAAAACCATTAATCTTCGGTTTGATAAAAAATTATTCTAGTACATATTCCAAATATTTCAAAAAGGTTTTTGTTTTGTGTAAACAGCCTTCTGTGTAACTTTGATGTCAGTTGTGTAAAATAAAATGTATTGCTCTTTAAAGCTTTGTAATGAGATTATGTTATGCCCCTTGAAAGTTATATAATGAGATTATGTTATGCCCTTTGAAAGTTATATAATGAGATTATACTCATGAAAAGATGGTATGTGTATTGAAAGTCATGAAATAATGTTAAACCTCAATGTAACAGATTGTTTATTGTTTTTCCTACAGAACCTCTTTCATTATTTATGTGAACAATGTTGTTTTTCATACAGAACCTCTTTCATTATTTATGTGAACAATGTTGTTGTTTTTCATACAGAACCTCTTTCATTATTTATGTGAACAATGTTGTTGTTTTTCATACAGAACCTCTTTCATTATTTATATGAACAATTTTTCTTGTTTCTCCTACAGAATCTCTTTCATTATTTATGTGAACAATTTTTCTTGTTTGGGGTCATCCATAAATGACGTCACGCTTTTTTTGACGATTTTTACCTCCCCCCATCCCCTCCGCACACGTTGTCATAAAAAGCCAGACCCCCCCCCCCCCCTAAAATGACATCACACCTTAATCTACAACCCCCCTCAAAATTGCAGTTGAATTTTTTTAAAACATCGATATTTTTCTAAAATCTTGTCTAAACTATTACAATTTATTAAAACAGTTATCTAAAATGCGAAATAACATCTACAATTAGTTTTCTAACATTGCTTTTTTATAATGCAAAAGTGTAACGTCGCAACATCTGAACCCCCCCCCCCCCCCTCCCCCTCATCACACATTGTCACAAAATTACGGACCCCCCCTCCCCCTATGAGTGTGACGTCATTTATGGATGACCCCTTTCTCCTACAGAATTTCATTATGTGAACAATTTTCTTGTTTCCCCTACAGAACCTCTTTCATCATTTATGTGAACAATTTTCTTGTTTCCCTTACAGAACCTCTTTCATTATTTATGTGAGCAAGCAGCTGGAGAGGTCAAGTTGCCCAACGCCAAAGGGGTCAGAGTAAACACCATTTTTGTTATTTGATGTTTTCCTTGTGGAAGCTTGGGTAACATGGACTGGTTGTGGTTTTTTTTTTAAAATTAGAATTCACTTAGCACAGACTTGATACACAGTGGTTGTTGATGTTGTATGTTGTTTGTAGGAAGGGTGGCGTATAGGGACTCTATGTGGTGATGTTGTTATCTAAACCTAGATACACAGCCTCTCCACTAAAAGTGACTGTGATAATTTTATGTGCCTTAAAGTTCTTATAAACATAGGCAGGGCAGTATAGTGTAGTATCTAGATTTTTTTTTAATGTTGATATTGTTACGGCTAGTATTGTCAAAGTAGGTAATTTACACAGATATATTCTTGTATATGTCCTACAGTACTGCCACTAGCACAAAAAATGTCCTATAGCAGTGCTGCTAGCACACACTAATTCTTGTATATGTCCTGCCATGTATTAATGATCCGTCTTAAATGTTGTATTGATGTGTGAAAATAAAATAAAATTTCATTCCTAATTAATATGTAGTTTTAACTTTGCAAAATTTATAATTTTAACTACTGTAGTGTTATACTGTAGTGTTGCTGTGCAAGGAAATACGTTTGATATGAATTAATTGTGGATGTTTCTTGTCTAGACTGACGAGTCGTGGAAAGTTTACTTTGATGAGCCAGGACAAGAGGTCGTAGATGAGTTTGCCATGAGATATGGTATAGAGTCTATATACCAGGCCATGACGTAAGATATTCACCAGCTTAAGTTAGTGGCATAGGTAGCACAGAATGAATAAAATCTTCTACTTTAATCTTGACTCTAAGTAACTTAGCACTTTATACATTTAGGTGTAGTAACATTTACTATGAATAAGTTTTTTTTAATTAGGTATCTGGGCAAGAATAATATCTAATTTAATCTTTCCTCTAAATAACACAGCGCCTATTTGTACATTTAGATTTAGGTCTAGATCTAGTAACATTTACTTAACGTATTTACTTAACGTATTTTTTTAAATAGTTTCCTCAATATAACACAGCACTTATTTTGTACATTTTGATCCGGGTCTAATATCATTTAGTTACACATAATTATAAAATGGTTCAGCAAAATTGCTTTAAATATTTATTCAACCACTGAGCTAATGCATTTTTACTTTCTCGTATATACGAAGTATAGAGAAAGTATTGTAATCGTGCAAAAAAGAAAAAAAAGATTTTTACAAATTTCGACGTTTTACACCTCACTGATACGGAAAAACATAATTTTGCAATCTTGTCCGTATGTCTGTGTGTGTGTGTGTCTGTCCGTGTGTAAACACGATTACTTGAGTACCGTTACAGCTAGGTTGATGAAATTTCATATATAAGTATTTTATCAAAATCGTAGATCCGTATCAACTTTTGAGCGATTTCCGATAACCGGAAGTGGTACTTTTTCTACTTTGAATTTTTCAAAAGCCTATAACTTGAGTACTATTTCAGATAGATAAATGAAATTTCACATGTAAGTAAAAGATCTAATTCTCTACCTTCTGTTAAATTTTGAGTACTTTCCGTTGACCGGAAGTGTAATTTACGCTACTTCAGATTTCTCAAAAAACTAATGTAAATTTTTAAAGTACTAATAATATTGCGCACTATTATGCACTTTTTTATTTGGCGTTCACTTGGTGTGCAATTCTTTTGTCTACGAGATTTTATTCTATTTTTAAAACTTTAAGTATTTAAAATGGATTAAAAATCATGTCTATAGCCCGAGTTCCCATCCCCTGTTATTTTATATAAGAATATTCGAGAAAGTTTTGGGGAGATCACTCCCGGTTTATTTTTTGTATGTGTTATCTTTGACAAAATGTGATAGCTGTTCTGCCATACTGTTATTGAACATTGACCACATATTATTTCCCTTTTTTATTATTTCCCTTTGCCAGTCACTTCTCCTGCCTGTCATGTAAGTACATGTGTGCTGGGGTGCCAGCACTGATGAGTACCCTCCTCGCCAACATTAATGCCTTCTACGCTCACACTGCAGCTACCACTGCTGTCTCTGCCAGCGACAGATTTGCAGCATCCAACTTTGGGGTCAGTTTTTATCACTTACTGCCTACACTCCATTTTAATCACATTTTTATTCTTCTGGGGTCATTGTAATCTGTTTTGTATATCTGTCTTGAGGTCTGTTTGTATTTCTTTTTTCTTCATTCAGGTTATCAGTTTTAATCACATTTTTTGTATCATTTTAGGAATTTGTTCAAATCACATTTTTTGTATCATTTTAGGAGGGGTTTTTTTTTTTACTTTTTTTAAAACCATTCTGTGGTCAGTTTCTAATGAAAACTTGTTCCATCTGTCTTGTCAATGTTGTCATTTTGTTATTTCACTAAGTAGATCATATTGGAAAGTCAAAGTATCTGTATTGCTGTACACAAACTTTTGCCATACAGTTCTTCAACACTAGTCTGGTAACAAAAGAACTTTGCATTAAAAATATAACTTCTAAAAATGTTTTTTAAATAACACTAAATATATTAAAATACATTTTTTTTCAAACCCAAAATCTGAATGAATGTAAATGACCTATATGTTTTATCTAATTACAAGGTGTTTTGTAGGAAGTAATTTTTAGATAATTTAAATTTATTTTTACTTCAAATTTCTAATGACCAAGCCCCCATTAATCTGACCAGGCATAACTGCTTTCATGCCTCACAGTGAACTCATTTCACACACCCAGCTAACACTTAGGAAAATTTTGGCCATTTTTTCTCTAAAATTCTAATGGAGAGAGTGGAGAACAACATTGTCATTATAAATTACCGCTATTATTTCCTGACAAATTATATGTCAATTTACTTTAAAAGAAATTAATAACATGCCAAACAAAATGATCTCCTTTTTAACAGGATGCTGCACATAATGCCGTCCTTCAATGCTTAATTTTCCATTTTGATTAGTGTACGTTTATTTTCTTCATTTTTTTTTGTTACAGAAAGAGAAATTTGTGAAGCTCTTAGATCAGCTTCATAATTCTTTACGCATTGATTTGTCTATGTACAGGGTGAGTAAATTAACTTACTTGTTTTGAGATGTTGAAGTTCTGATCAATCTACTTGCTAGATGAAATGTTATGAATTGGTTTCCATCCAGCTTTAAGTAATTCCATGTTTTTTTGTCTAGAATAATTTCCCAGCGTCAGACCCTGGCAGGATGAAAGATCTAAAATCTACTGTTGACTTGTTGACTAGCATCACTTTCTTTCGAATGAAGGTAAGTTGCTAAATGTTTGTAAGGGGGATCAACATAGGTTTAAGGTAAGTTGCTACATGTTTATTGGGATCAACGTAGGTTTAAGGTAAGTTGCTACATGTTTATTGGGATCAACGTAAGTTTAAGGTAAGTTGCTAAATGTTTGTAAGGGGGATCAACATAGGTTTAAGGTAAGTTGCTAAATGTTTATTGAAATCAACATAGGTTTAAGGTAAGTTGCTACATGTTTATTGGGATCAACGTAGGTTTAAGGTAAGTTGCTAAATGTTTGCTGGGATCAACGTAAGTTTAAGGTAAGTTGCTAAATGTTTGTAAGGGGGATCAACGTAGGTTTAAGGTAAGTTGCTGAATGTTTACTGGGATCAACATAGGTTTAAGGTAAGTGTCTCTTCCCCTGAACTAAAACATTGTATTTTAGTTTTAAACAAACCAATGTTTCAACTTGGTACACAACTCCACCTACAGCAAGTGATTTGTGACTGAGATTTTGTTGACGCCACTCTGCGTGGCAAGAAAAATTGAGTTAAAGCAAATAAATATCTGTATTTTTTTTCTCTAACCTTTTGTTCCAGGTCCAAGAGCTCACCAGCCCGCCGCGAGCTGGCACAGTTGTAAAAGACTGTGTCATCGCTTGCATTAAATCCACTTATAAGTTTTTGTTTGACAACTGCTCAGAGCTTTACAACAGGGAGTTCCAGACTGACCCCAATGAACAGATGGCTGCGGACCAGGAGGGACCAAGCGGCAAGAGTCTGCACTTCTGGCACAAGCTGATTGCTCTTATAGTATCTGTGATAGAGGAAGATAGAAATAGCTACACAACTGTGTTGAACCAGTGAGGACGTTATCTGTTGTTGTTTAGTTGGTCTAGCTGTTGTTGTTTTAGTCTAGTTGGTCTAACTGTTGTTGTGTTAGTTTAGTTGGTCTAACTGTTGTCGTGTTAGTTTAGTTGGTCTAACTGTTGTTGTTGTTTAGTTGGTCTAACTGTTGTTGTTGTTTAGTTGGTCTAACTGTTGTTGTTGTTTAGTTGGTCTAACTGTTGTTGTTGTTTAATTTGTCTAGCTGGAACATTTCAGTTCTCTTAGCCTTTATAAAAGTGCAAGATTTTCCATGTACATTTTTCTTTCTTTAAGTTGTGAGATGTGTTTTAGATTAACTAATTTAAAACAAGGATAGACAAAGCGTTAAGTTCATTGTGAACTTTTCTATATTTAACTTAAAACTGATCAAGTGATAGAAGTATTTCAACTTTTTGTTTTTTAAATTAGGGAATACTACAAAAAACACTTTTTTACAGAAAAAAGACAAAATTACCTTTTAGGAAACTGTAGACCATAGAGTAGGTTAATAAGTAGGTTTGGAAATTCCAAGTTATAGAAATATCTTGTGATCAGTTCACTATGCTAAATTATATGTTGTGTGTACCTTTTGCAAGGTGCTAATGAAACACAACCATTCTCAGGTTCTAAACCTGTGTCACTCCGTTTAATAATCAAGTTTTCCATGGGCACCCTGAACTAAATGTTATAATAAAATAATAACAGACCTGTAACATTGAGTACAACAGGGAATTGAGCAACAATAGAACTCTCACATTCAGCAACAATAGAACTAACCATGAAGTGTACATTCCGCAGGTTTCCACAAGAGTTGGTGGTAGGTCAGGTCAGTGCCTACATGATGTGGGATCAATTCTCTCAAGACTTGTGTATAGCCTTACAGCGTGAGTGCTTTTATTTTTAAATACATTACAGTCCTCTCATTTTGATTTATTACGGTAAATTATAATCTATTCGTCATTGCTTCATCATTTGTTTTTTTTTCTTAGTCATTTTGATAAATGTAAACAGTTTAAGTAGGCCTAATTGCTTTGTTTTTAAAATGTTTTTACAACACTTACTCTAGTTAGTATTCAAGTTTATTATTTAAAATGCAATTTTTTTTTTAAACTTTCAGAGCATGAAGAAGAAAGGACATGTAAAAGTTCTGAATATATGAATCTCCATTTCAAAGTGAAGTGGCTGTATACAAAATATATTGCCGATGTGCCTCAGTACCGTGGTACTGTTCCTGAGTATCCACGGTTAGTATTTGTAACTCAGACAGATAGAAAGAAGATTCACTAAATAACATATTACACTTTAATTATTTTTTTTCAATTTATATAAACTTTTCTTTTTGTATGTATTTTAAATCTAAATATGATTCATCTTGATGAATTTAGGATATCTTTTTTACCAAAAATCAAAAGCTGTACATTGGTGAAGTGTGAATGTATTATTAAAATATCCATTACCATTTGGTGGATGGACTTTTATAATGTGCTGTATGCGGTAGATTTTTAAAATATGCTGTCCTTAATAACATAGTGAAAGGATTTTAAAATGAGCTGTCTGGGGTGATTGGCTTTTTAAAATTTCTCTTGTAATTCCATCTTAATGTTTCAGATGGTTTGAACCTTTTGTCATGCAATGGCTGAATGAAAATGATGATGTGTCTATGGACTATCTCCACGGTGCCTATGACAGGGACAGAAAAGACGGGGTAGGCATTTCTTCTTTTTCATATAGATAAACTAATGTCTAATATTTTACAAAATGAAAGTGAAGATTTACCAAATTACATACTTTTATTTCTTGGGCTCTTATGAATTTTTATTTCACTGTCAAATATTTTTTTATTACGATCTTCTATTTCATTCAATTATTGCCAGTTTGTATATTGCAGTGTGATAGTTAATTAAAGTTCTTTTATAACAGTGTGATCATTTTTGTGACATTCAAGTAATGTAAATAAGTGACAATGTGATAAAGGGTATTGTTACATGCAATGAACAAACATAAAAGACAACATGATGTCTTGTGACCCACAACTACTGTACCTGCTAATGTTAATGTATTGTTCTACTCCACCAGTTCCAAAAGAGCTCTGAACATGCCCTGTTCTCTACCTCAGTTGTGGATGTCTTCACACAGCTGAACCAATGTTTTGATGTTATCAAAAAACTTGAATGTCCAGATCCTGAAGTGGTGAAAAACTACATGAAGAGATTTGCTAAGGTAAGGGAGAGCATTCATTGTGTTTGGCAATGATGACTGTAAACTTGGAGAGATTTGCTAAGGTAAGGGAGATCATTTATTATGTTTGGCAATGATGACTGTAAACTTGAAGAGATTTGCTAAGGTAAGGGAGATCATTTATTTATTTTTGGCTGTGATGACTGTAAACTTGGATATTGTCCAGTCTAAGTGTCAAGTAAACAGCTATTGATTCACAATTAGCTCTGATCTTCATGTAAAGCAGTCAATTGAATGTGTGTAGTTTTATTGTATCTAATATCACAATCAGCTCCTCCTGTTATAGTGAATGGATTCATGAATGTCAAAATATTTTGAAAAAAAATATGAACCACAAGTATGTTCTTATGTAGCAATTGATTTATTTAATTATTAAAATTTGAAATTTTCAGACAGTGAACAAAGTGCTATTAGCATATTCAGATATTGTGAGAAGGGACTTTGAGAAGTACACAAGTCGCCAAAAAGTTGTGAGTAGTTTAAAATTCTCAGAAATCTTTAATTGATTGAACTGTAGGACCAGTTACATGTGAGTCCCTTATAATTTAATGTCGGGTTTGTTGACATCTTGTTCTATCTTCAGGCCTGTATCATGATGAACAACATTCAACAGTTGAGGGTACAGCTAGAGAAGGTGTTTGAGTCAATGGGAGGTGAAAAGGTCAGTTGTGTCATATTCAGTGGGAGGGGAAAAGGTCAGTTAAGTCATATTCAGTGGGAGGGGAAAAGGTTAGTTTAGTCATATTCAATGTGAGGGGAATAAGTTGATTGTAAAGTCATATTCAATGTGAGGGGAATAAGTTGATTGTAAAGTCATATTCAATGTGAGGGGAATAAGTTGATTGTAAAGTCATATTCAATGTGAGGGGAATAAGTTGATTGTAAAGTCATATTCAACAGGAAGGGAATTGGTCAGTTAAGTTATATCAGTGAAAGGTGAAAAGGTCAGTTGTCCATACTTTAACCATAGTTGTTCTCCTCATGAAATGTTTAATGTTGAAAGTGAGTGATTGTTGTTTTGTAGCTTGATGCTGATGCTGCTGGTATACTCAATGAACTTCAATCAAAACTTAATGGAGTCCTTGATGAACTGAGCTCAATTTTCTCTAAAAGGTAAGTACATTATGAATTCAAAATTTTGAATTTTTAAATTTTTGGAATATTTTTTATTTTGAAATAATAAACTATCATTATAGTTGGCTATGATGTAGCATGCTGCCAAACGTTTTTTTTTTCACAGACTTATTGATTTTAACTATGATGTATCATCTACTAGATTTTTCTACTGTCTGATCAAACTTTTTGGCTTCCCACCAATTTTATTATTGATTTTAACTATGATGTATCATCTACTAGATTTTTCTACTGTCTGGTCGAAATAACCTGAACTTTATAGCAAAATTAAAATACAATTAAAGGGCAAATATAATCTTTTATATTTTGAAAACCAGACACATTTTATAGTCATCTAGAACGGTACACACTTTAATGTAATTCAATATGAAGGCAGTGTATTTTGATCTGTAGGGGGGTTGGGTTGGTAAAGTTCATGGTTTATATACTGAAAGTATCGAGTTCAAAACCCCTGGCAGATGAGGCTCAATAACTGAGGACAGCAACTCATCTAGGATAGAAAACTCCAAAATCAAACAACTGCTGCCTTGCCGTTTGTTCTTGGATGGACAAAGCCTATAAAAGCAAATGGAAAGAAAAGCAGGCTGAAATCAGAGTCAACTTGCCATATAGTGCATAACAAGTTGACACTTAATACATAACTGATTGGAAGGAAATCTCTTCCAACATTACAATTAACAACAAAGAAAATGTGTAAAATGTATTGATTTAGTGGTTAATATCAATGAGAATCATTATGTAGTATAATTAACAATTACTGTGTCCTCAACTTTTGTTAGCTTGGAGCCACAGATCCAGCAGAGTATGCAAGAGTTGGGTCAGCTGTTGTGTAAGGTCAAGGGTGGCGGCCAGGTTTCTCTGTCCCAGCCTAGCCAGAGGTCCAGCATCCAGCAGGAATCTGATATGGTTCTCAGGCCACTCATGGATTTGTTAGATGGCAGGTACAGGCCAAACCTTTTTATCTCACTGACCCCAACATAGTCTATATTATCATAACATCAAGTATAAGTTAGCTGCTCTAGTAACTTGGTAGTGAATGAAGTGCTTAGAATCATCTTCTAATAATTTTTTAACCTAACATTGTTTTACCATAAATCATAGTATCATACAATTTACCTTTCTATTTTCATAGGAAATTATTTACTAAAACTAATCCAAGTATACAAATAGAAGATAATAAAAAAATCTAGGGGAATTCGATAACATTCATAATTTACCTATTTACTAAAACTAATCCAGGTATACAATTAGAATGTAATTAAAATGCTTGAAGAATTTGATAACATTCATAATAAAATTGTATACAAAAACTAATCCAAGCTTGCAAATAAAATGTAATATATCAACCAATCATTGTCCCCCACTAACTGCTTGTGTTTCCTGCTAACCTGACCTTTGCCCTCTGCCTGGCCAACTACAGCCTATCAATGTTTGCTCAAGTGTGTGAGAAGACTGTGCTCAAGAGATTGCTCAAGGTAACCATCTACACACTGTACACTGTTTCTCTACACACTAACTGCATGTCTTTGATTGGGGGGGGGGGGGGGGGGGGGGTTACAAGAAATTGAGTTGCTTCAGCCTTATGTTGGTATCATGTCAAAATTTGATGTTAGTCCTTTTAACTACTATATAAACAGATTAACACACTAGCAAGCAACTGCTGTGTCTAAAAACATGCTAGATTAATAGATTAATGCCACTTTAATGCAATAGTTTGTTTCCTAAAAAAATATTGTATGACAATGTATTCTTAGGTCCAAATGATTGTGCACAATATTTTATTTATAAGTACACATCTTATCTTGAAAAAAAAAACGTGTTAAAACAGTTAATGTTAGTAACCTCACAACATAAGCATGTGTACACCTGAAGGTTTAAATGAATAGGTATCTTACATCTAGCCCTCACCAACCCCCATGAAAACAATCTCCTACTGTTTTCCAACCCACATCCTTCTATTTGTACATATTAGACAAGATCTGTTGTCAGAGTTAAGCCTACATTTGTTGTCGTTATTTCTACTTTAGCCATACACCTGTGTGCTAATTAAAACCTTAGGTAGGCTAATTAATTATCTTTAAATTTTGAAGTTAGACAACATTAGTTTTTATTAATACGTTCTACATACACCATTTTCATCGATGCCATAAAGTTAGAATAAAAGCTATCCACTGTAAAGACCGATTTCTTCATAACTTTGATAGGAATAATAAACACATATATTATAGCATGTTACATTGTATTCTCTGTTTACTATCACCAGGAACTCTGGAAGATTGTCATGCATACCATGGAAAAAACAGTTGTGCTTCCACCTTTGTCTGATCCCAGACAGGTAAGAAATAAACTCTTCAGAGTTAGAACATTTTATGCCATAGACTTATTAAAAGGATCGTGAATTTTTCTTTTTTTATAAAATTTATTTATTCTGTCCTCCTTAGGTTTCCATTCAAATTTACACAAAGATTAACTTTGAACTAATAGTCACATTAAACCTAACTTTGACAGAAATTTCCTACCTCTCGGTCAATTTAACCCTAACTTTGACAGAAGTCTCCTATAACCCAAACTTTGACAGAACTTTTCTCTATCTTGGTCACATTAACCTTCATCTATGACAAGTTTCCTATATTTCTGTCACATTAAGTTAATGTGTCATTAACCTTTATCTATGACAAGTTTCCTATATTTCTGTCACATTACACCTAACTTTGATAGAAGTTTTCTATAACACTGTCACATTAACCTTCATCTATGACAAGTTTCCTATATTTCTATCACATTACACCTAACTTTGATAGAAGTTTTCTATATCTCTGTCACACTAACCTTCATCTATGACAAGTTTCCTATATTTCTATCACATTACACCTAACTTTGATAGAAGTTTTCTATATCTCTGTCACACTAACCTTGATCTATGACAAGTTTCCTATATTTCTGTCACATTAACCTTCATGTATGACAAGTTTCCTATATTTCTATCACATTACACCTAACTTTGATAGAAGTTTTCTATAACACTGTCACATTAACCTTCATGTATGACAAGTTTCCTATATTTCTATCACATTACACCTAACTTTGATAGAAGTTTTCTATATCTCTGTCACACTAACCTTCATCTATGACAAGTTTCCTATATCTCTGTCACACTAACCTTCATCTATGACAAGTTTCCTATATCTCTGTTACACTAACCTTCATCTATGACAAGTTTCCTATATCTCTGTCACATAACCCTTATCTTTGACAGAATTTAACCCAAAAAATTTTACCACACAGTATGGAATTTTTTATTCTCTTTCTTTCAATTTATGGTTAAAGTATATTTTACCCCTAAAGTATTTTATTTCTTTGTAGGATAGTTCCACTCTCTTTCTAGTAGTTTCCAAACATTTTAAGTTTTAAAGTTTAAAAATTATTCTTTTTTTTAAACCCCTAAAGCATATGTTAAAGACAGATAAAATAATGATCTTTTGTGTTACACTGAAAAAATGATCTTTTGTGTTATGCTGAAATAATGATCTTTGTGTTATGCTGGTAACTCCCTGTCTAGCTGCCTATTCAGCAACTTTCCGTAGTTTTACAATCTTAACTATAAATCAGATAGATATTTTTAGCTAGTTAAAGCTATTTAATAAAGACAGAACAACTGCCTGGTACTTGATTTAGTTCTCTGGAAATGAAGGCGTGGTAAGTTGTGTCAACATTTTTACCACTGGGTCATTCAGAAGGGCAGCCTACATTTCCACCTGTGTTCACAAAGGATCCACATTTTTTTTCTTCCTCTCAATGTAATCCGTAACTTAGCATCACAAACATTTAACATTGTACATGTTAAAAGTGCATTGATAATTTTTTAGAAAAGAAGTTTGTTAAATTATCAGCAAAATATATTTACCATTTGTGAATTGTGTATTTGGGATCCTAATGTTTATAACCTAATGTTTTAGTTTATTCTGCTGATCCCGAAGTCGATTATTTGTTTTCATAAATTCATCAGTTTTATGTTTTTGAATAATGTGAATAAAGAAACATTTATAGAGAGAAAAATGGACCAAACATTTATTTGTTAAAATGCTTACCTTTTTTGAAGTAAAATTAAATATATGTTTCATAACAAATAAAAAATTAATAGATAACAAAGGTAGTTTTATGTTATGTGTAGATCATAAAACTACTCACATCAAACTTAGCTTTTAAAAAAAAATTAAATATGTGTACATTTGGTACACTACTGTTAAAAACTTTTCACATTGGTTTTTTACAACCCTTTTATTTCCTCCTTTCTGGTGATGGGCGGCTTGCATTTCTGCCATTTTCTTTCAGCTTCTACCCCTCCCTAGTAATGCGCAGGCTAAAATAGAAGACATGTCCCGCATTCTGCTCAACCACGTGAGTCAGATGCCCATGAACACACCCATTAAGCAGGTCAAGAGCATCCAGGCCACGTTCTTGGTACTTTGATGTTTCAATTTATGAGTACCATTGTTGTATACCACCACAGCCTTGTCAGACCTAGTCAATGTTGTATCACTGCCTGAGTTTGATATAGATTCAGTGTGGTGACATTAGAAATGTTTCAATGTTGTATCACCTCCTGACACCACCACTGAGTTGGATGTTGATTCAGTGTGGTGACATTAGAAATGTTTCAATGTTGTATCACCTCCTGACACCACCACTGAGTTGGATGTTGATTCAGTGTGGGGACATTGTTTCAATGTTGTATCACCTCCTGACACCACCCCTGACTTGGATATTAATTCAGTGTGGTGACATTAGAAATATTTTGATGTTGTATCACCTCCTGACACCACATCCTGACACCATCCCTGACTTTGATATTCCTTTGATATAAATGTTTCAATGTTGTCACTTTCAGAGATATTTCACTCAGTTATATACCTAGATCACTACTTCTTTTAAATAATTTAGCTTGATGCATGTTTATTTTGGTATTTTTATTCCCTTTCTTTTTTTTGCCTTTTTTTAAAAATATCCCAATCATCCTACACCTTATTCTTTAATCAATTTTTTTTGTAAATGTTGTTTACTGATTGAACAATCTTATATTCGGAATGGTTTTTTTAAGATGTTAGTGGTAGGATATATTTGATCAGGTGCACTATGTAGCACCTTGAAAATACTAATTAGATATAAATAAATAGTGAAAACCCAGTTTATAAACACTCATTATTCAACTCAGCAAAAAGTTTACTTTTATTGGTGAATTAATCTATCAAATGGTTTTGTTTGGAGGTGCATGTTGTTAGAAATGAAGTCTAGGATTTCTCACCCCATGAATTCACTTACAAAAAGAAAGTCATTTTAAATGACAGGATAGCTCACAATTAGATAATTTTTGTTTTTGTTGTAAAGGGTGTCATTTTATAGAGTTTAAATGTTTGTTGTTTCTTAAGGAACCTTTCATCAAAAGATATTTTATTTTTTTAAGTTGTATGAGCACTGGTAGTAATATTCAATTATTCTGACTTGTATGTATAGAAGTTAGTTGTTTTATTCTGGTTATTATTTGTATATATACTAGTCATATATTTTACTGTAATAAAATACTGTAGAGACTGCATTGACTGAATGGTAATATCTTATCATTTGATCAAACTTTACATTATCATTTTCAGAAAGTAAATAGTGTTTCAGAAATTTAAGCTTAATGAATGTTAAGCCATGCATTGGAATAAATGTTAAAAAATCAATGTAGTTTTAAAATACATTTTTCCATTTAAAAAAAGTTACAATAAGTATAAATGTTGCCATCACATCCCAATACTTAATGCCTTGGCTGTGTACTCCTAATTATTTTATGTATTATTTATATCACAACCAACTTGCAGAAAATGTTTAATTTTGAGCTCTGTAACAATATACATATAAACTAGTGTGCAGAAGATGTCAGTAGATGCAGAATTTATTTTACTCATATATTTAAAAGAAATACAGAATATGTCGAAAGGAATTTATTATTTTTATATTAAAACCAGCTTGTAGAAAATCTGTAACTAGATATATATCTGTAAGAATACATATATAAACTAGTCTAACTGATATTCCAACAGGACATGTCGAAGGAGGCAGAAAAGAATCTGAGTCCTAAACAATGTGCTGTGCTGGACATGGCACTGGACACCATCAAACAATACTTCCATGCTGGCGGCCAGGTAGGCTTGGCTACATCATCACATACTGTCACATTTCTACATCATCACATACTGTCTCCATCATCACATAATGTCTTCTGTCTACATCATCACATACTGTCTCCATCATCACATACTGTCTTACATCTACATCATCACGTACAGTCTTAGATCTACAGCATCACATACTGTCTCATGCCTACATCATCACATACTGTCTCATGTCTACATCATCACATACTGTCTTCTGTCTACATCATCACATACTGTCTCATGTCTACATCATCACATACTGTCTCATGTCTACATCACATACTGTCTTAGGTCTACATCATCACATAGTGTCTTAGGTCTACATCACATACTGTCTCATGTCTACATCATCACATACTGTCTACATCATCACATACTGTCTCATGTCTACATCATCACATACTTTCTCATGTCTACATCATCACATACTGTCTCATGTCTACATCATCACATGCTGTCTCAGGTCTACATCATCACATACTGTCTCATGTCTACATCATCACATGCTGTCTCATGTCTACATCATCACATACTGTCTCATGTCTACATCATCACATACTGTCTCATGTCTACATCATCACATACTGTCTCATGTCTACATCATCACATGCTGTCTTAGGTCTACATCATCACATACTGTCTCATGTCTACATCATCACATACTGTCTCATGTCTACATCATCACATACTGTCTCATGTCTACATCATCACATACTGTCTCATGTCTACATCATCACATACTGTCTCATGTCTACATCATCACATACTGTTTCAACATGTACTTCACATCCAACTGGTCACTCATAGAATCTATGCATACGACTCTTTAGAATAAATGTTCTGACCTCACAGGATAGACCTTTTACATATCACTTAAATGTTTGGTTGTTTTTTTCAAGGGACTTAAAAAAACATTCCTGGACAAGAGTGCAGAGTTGCAGTCCCTTAGATATGCACTAAGTCTGTACACACAGACAACTGATACACTGATCAAAACATTTGTCAACACACAAACTCAACAAGGTGAGTTCATAGGTCACTTTTGTTGTTTTACTCAGCCATTGAAAATTTGCAAATTAGTACTGCTTTGTGTAATGGGTGTAGATAAAAAACAATACTTCAACCTTAACTTAACTTAAAGTCTACTATGTTTTCTGTGTAGTTTTTTTAACTATGCTAATGTGTGAGTATTGCTAAAAAGTAAAGTTTAGACTTTTGAAAATATCTCCATTTTAATTTACATTATTTTAGTTGAGAGGTGTGGAAAACTAATAAATCACATAATATATTTAAATTTAATCTGTTTCTTTGGTGGATAAATGTTTTTGGTTTAAAAGATACAGCTACATAACATTGTGGGAATTTTAAAAAACTGTTTTGAACTGTTTCTTTAGAAAAACCTGGACAAGAAGATCCTGTTGGTGAAGTGTCCATACAAGTTGATTTCACCACTCACCCAGGCACAGGCGAGCACAAAGTCACAGTCAGAGGTTGGATAAACTGTTCTAACCATTGTAATGTTGTATAAACTGTTCTAAGCCTTGTTATGTGTAATGTCATTGTCAGTTAGGTGTGTTTTACTAAATAAGTGCTACTAAATTAATGAGAAGACTCTTGGTTGTGCATGATGATAAACAGGGAATATTGATATTAATTTATAAGTCATGCATTTAATTAATTAAGTCATGCATTTAAACAATTTTCTTAACCCTAACTTCTTTACAAATTTATAACTATTAAGTAAAGTTATTGTATTTATAAACATTCCCCCAAACCAATGTAAACGATAGTCATGTTTAATTTGATTGTGTGGTTTCAGTGGTTTTGAGTTACTTTATAGTGTGGTTACAGTGGTGTTGAATTACTTGAATGTGTGGTTACAGTAATGTTGAGTTACTTTATAGTGTGGTTTCAGTGGTGTTAAGTTACTTTATAGTGTGGTTTCAGTGGTGTTGAGTTACTTTATAGTGTGGTTACAGTGGAGTTACTTGATTGTGTGGTTACAGTGGTGTTACTTGAATGTGTGGTTACTGTAATGTTGAGTTACTTGATTGTGTGGTTTCAGTGGTGTTAAGTTACTTTATAGTGTGGTTTCAGTGGTGTTGAGTTACTTTATAGTGTGGTTACAGTGGAGTTACTTGATTGTGTGGTTACAGTGGTGTTACTTGAATGTGTGGTTACTGTAATGTTGAGTTACTTGATTGTGTGGTTTCAGTGGTGTTAAGTTACTTTATAGTGTGGTTACAGTGGTGTTGAATTACTTGAATGTGTGGTTACAGTAATGTTGAGTTACTTTATAGTGTGGTTTCAGTGGTGTTAAGTTACTTTATAGTGTGGTTACAGTGGTGTTGAGTTACTTTATAGTGTGGTTACAGTGGAGTTACTTGATTGTGTGGTTACAGTGGAGTTACTTGATTGTGTGGTTACAGTGGTGTTACTTGAATGTGTGGTTACTGTAATGTTGAGTTACTTGATTGTGTGGTTACAGTAATGTTGAGTTACTTGATTGTGTGGTTACAGTAATGTTGAGTTACTTTATTGTGTGGTTACTGTAATGTTGAGTTACTTTATTGTGTGGTTACTGTAATGTTGAGTTCTTTATTGTATGGTTACTGTAATGTTGAGTTACTTGAATGTGTGGTTACAGTAATGTTGAGTTACTTTATTGTGTGGTTACAGTAATGTTGAGTTACTTGATTGTGTGGTTTCAGTGGTGGCTTGCAATGATCTCAAGTGGAGAACCACTGGAATGTTCCGACCTTTTGTGGAAGTCCACTTGATAGGGCCCCACCTGAATGACAAGAAGAGAAAGCATTCCACCAAATCAAAGTCCAACAACTGGAGCCCCAAGTACAATGAGACTTTCCACTTGTGAGTACAGCTACACACTCCAATGGTGTCCTTTGAGGAATTACACAATACATAGGCTAACAACACTTCAATGAAGAAGAAATAATAATTTTCTACATTGTTAATCTTGAATTATTGATTTTTTTTTATATTGTCGGTGTGGTTGTGTTGGTAAAGCTTACTGTTGCTAAACTGAAAAGTCTCAAGTTCAAAACCCTTGGCCAAAGAAAGGTTTGACAGCTGGGGACAGCAACCTATCTAGGAGAGACAACTCCAAAATCAAACAACTGCTGCCTTGTAGTTTGTTCTTTGTTGGACAAATGCTATGGAAGCCAATCCAAGCAGGCTGAAATCGGACTCAACGTCCTTTATGGCGCATAACAAATTGACATGTAATACGTAACCGTGTTGGAGGGAATCCCTTCCAACTCTAGAATTCAGAACGAAGAAGAAGTTCTATTGTGGTATTAATAAACAAATTGTGTCTTTTCCTCAGCAACCTGGGCAATGAAGACGACCCTTATGCCTATGAACTCCAGTTTTGTGTCAAAGACTATTGCTTTGCTCGTGAAGATCGCCTAATTGGCATTGCCTTGATGCAGCTGCGTGACATCATTGAGCAGGGCAGCTGTGCCTGCTGGGTGGCCCTGGGGCGTAGAGTCCACCTAGATGACACTGGTTTCACAGTGTTGAGGATTCTGTCCCAGCGCACCAACGATGAGGTGGCCAAAGAGTTTGTCAAGCTCAAGTCTGAATGTAGGCACTTAGAAGATGTTCAGACGTGATAGGCTATCACACGCATCTCACTCATCATCTCACACATCCACATCTCACTCATCCACATCTCACCCATTCACATCTCACACATCCACATCTCACTCATCCACATCTCACTCATCCACATCTCACTCATCCACATCTCACTCATCCACATCTCACTCATCCACATCTCACTCATCCACATCTCACTCATCCACATCTCACTCATCCACATCTCACACATCCACATCTCACTCATCCACATCTCACTCATCCACATCTCACCCATCCACATCTCACCCATCCACATCTCACTCATCCACATCTCACTCATCCACATCTCACTCATCCACATCTCACTCATCCACATCTCACTCATCCACATCTCACACATCCACATCTCACACATCCACATCTCACTCATCCACATCTCACCCATCCACATCTCACTCATCCACATCTCACACATCTACATCTCACTCACCCATCCACATCCCACTTATCCAAATAATGCAGTTAGTTCTGTTTTTCTTCAAGTCCATCCTGTGATTATTTTTTACATGTCTGAATGCAAAGAAAACAGGTGACAGACCACATGATAAAATGTCAATAGCTACAGCTAAATTAGTTTCAATAGTTTTACTTTTTTTAAAGTGGGTCCGCTGTTTTTTTTTTTTTAATTTAATATTTTTAATCCCCGGGTTTGTAGGCGTTGGGTTTCATAATAGAGTTTACTGTTGAGTTGCCATTGTCTGATGAAGACATGTGATATGAGTGGTAACAATGTCACAGATTGTATAGCACAGTGGGGTGGGCTGTACAGAATATTGCTGGATTGTTTCAGTCGTCCAAAGATTTGTTTTTCTTGTAAATAGTTGCTTGCTAATCTCTGTATAACCTGCTGCAATGTCAATCTTAAAGGTCTTTTGTTCAGCTTTACAATTTGTATTGTGAGTTAGGGTTTTTTTTTTCTTAATAAATTGGGTTGTTAACTTAGTACATTGGAATGTTAACTTAGTGCATTGGGTTGTTAACTTAGTACATTGGCTTGTTAACTTAGTACATTGGCTTGTTAACTTAGTACATTGGGTTGTTAACTTAGTACATTGGGTTGTTAACTTAGTACAACTGGGTTAACTTAATAGATTGGGTTGTTACCTTAACAGACAGGTTGCTTACAAAACAGGTTGCAATTATTTAATTAATGGCTAAAAGTGTGGCCTGAAAGAATGCTGATTGTGGGGTGGAAACGTCTTTATTTTTTATTTTTTTAAATCTTCTCACCATTAAAAAAAAATGTCATGTGTATAAAATAAACTCAAAGCTCACAACCTACATCTGGATTGATGGATAGCATTTGTAAAAAAAACAACCAAAAAACTAGACGATGTAGACGCTAACAGATAGACCACTCCATTACTGCTGGAACACATTGTCTATGTTGTTAGTTCAATGTTGCAATTAGTGTTAATGGTATATGCCTTACATTTGTTTTAGTATTCTCTTCATTGTAAGAGTTCCTTCTTTGTTTTTCTTTAACTGTTACAAAAAATGATGTATTTTGCACTGCATTGATTTGAAGCTCAAGAATACTCAGATTCGTTAAAAATATAGATACTTTTATTTTAATGTAGATTGTTACCTTATATTTTTTAAATAACTGTTTCTTATATCTTTATTCTATATAAAAAATGATAAGCTACATCAAATAAAATCTTAGTTCTCCATTTCAGCTTACAACTTTTAAATTTTCATTTTCGTAACATTCTCAGACTTGTATGTAGGCCTGTACATAGGCTTAAATTATTTAAACATCTTTCTATTTTTGTATAAATTAATTGTTGTAGAAAATGTCAGTTATATTAAGAAAAAGAGTAACACTTTGTTCATTAGAATATCTTTAAGTGGATTAAGAAAAATAATAAAATTAATGTAAATCTAACATTATTGCTCTTGATATATCACTTTAATTTAGAATAATTATTGATCGGAGCTCTGATGTTTATTTGATTTTTCTTCAATTATTACAGAGCACTCATTATTTTGAACCCTGAAATAAATAGATGTAAATAATTTAAAACAAATTAAAAATGTGTGTGTATATCTATTTTTTTTTTTAAACTAGTGTGTTTAGATACAGAGAATAACAAATTTCTACTTGCATAATGTGTTCAATTTGAACTTTTATTTACATGTAGCCAATTAAGTTTTAAAACAAAATTTCTGAAGTAGGTTAAGAAAATAATCTGTTTTTACATTGGGATAGGTGAATAGAAAAATAAAAACTCATTGTATACTTATTGTTATTTGAACAATTATTTCTTTCTTTAGCAAATCAAAGTGTTGAGAAACATCTCAATTTTATTTAAGTTGTGATACGCTGTTTATTCACTCATCTCTAGCGAATTCTAAAGTTTGGTTAAGGTGAGTTTGTGTTGAGGCATTTTAGTTTCCTGACAACTTTGTTTTCATTCAACATTTGAGGCAACATCTTTACAAGACTTATGAGAGTTAACTCTTGTCCTGATCTACTTGATGTTGCACTAGAGCTAGAGTGCTGTCCCTTTGCTCTGTGTGACATGCATGTTTTAGAGAACCTGTGGTAGCTTATCAACTGTATATTTATTGTTGTCTGTGTATACAAAGGCTCTTATGCAGGAGCTCTTCTGCTCTAAAAGGGATGAAATGTATTTTAGTTGTTATATTTTCATGAATCAGCATGCTTTTCTTTTTACTTGTTCTATGTGAATATTGGCCTATCTGTTTTCATGACATCATTTACAGGCCTGCATAGTTGTACACATCCTATTTATATATATAACGACTTTTGTAAATAACTTTTTGTATCTTTCTTTTTATATTTTATAAATGTAATTTAGCGATCTTTTGAATTAAAAGTAGCATTCTTAAAACATTCCTTCATATTTTTTTTAAACAGATCAAACATGTAAATCACATCATCTCACCTTTGTGTGAATGTGTTGGGTGTAAATTACAGTAGAACCAGTTCTATAGCTTGGCTTGTTCATTTTTCTATTGTATTAGTGGTCAGACATTAGACAGAGAGCTATTGACTTGCCTTATACATTCAGTACATGCTGCATAGAAGTTTGAGTTTTTTCACTATATTACATCTGTTTCCAAAAAAATAAAATCACTGAATTTTTTTTTATACAAGCAGTGCATTTTTTTAAAGTGCCATTTTCTTTTTTTTATTTAGTTTTAATGGTTAAGCTGAGAAATAAAAATTCTCCCAAAGCAAATGTGATATTATTAATTTAATCTCTCTACAGTGGTGTTTAATTCAGTCTTTTCACTACTATAATGGTGTCAACTTAAGCTCAGACTTTATATTAAAAAATGTTTAAATACATTGAGTTTTTTTTTAAATTCTGAATAAACTGTTGACAGTACATGAGGTACAAGTTTTTCTTGACACCACAAAATTTCTAATCCCTACAATATTCAATAAGGCAGCCATTGTAACGTCACTCATTTAATTGTCTTTAAACTGTAAATTATTTGTTGTACTGATAAAGAAGTTTTATGTTAATTTGAAATTTCAGAAAAAAAAAATCAAAAGATATCTAATCTTTCAACATTGAAGTAACAAAAATGTATTTTCTAACAAGTGTTTCATTGCTTACAAGTTTAAGCCAAACCAGATTTTAATTATGTTTTTCTTTGTTACTTAACATCGGCCAAGCTAGAAAAATGGTATGAATTGTGTTCATTGTTAATAAGTGATAAAACATTGTATAAAACCGGGGAATATAATGGTGGTGATAACTCATTTTGTAAAATATTTTATTCACATTTTTTAAAATTTAGGACAGTACATATTTTAGTATTTATGTACATTTTATTCAGCAATATTAAATTGTGATATTTTTCTTTACTTCTCTAATATTTAGCTATTTTTTATTTTGAGGTATGAATTTCTCTTTATCAACGTAATATGCTTAAGTATAACCAACCTTTTTATTTTTAGCTTTATTTGGACTTATCACTAAGAGAAATTGCCTTAGATGTTTTCATTAAAAGTGTGAAACTACTCCATTCAACATTGGCAACAACCATTATAAACTTATATAGCATAAGGATGTGGTTAATATGTGTAGGTGATGTATTATATGCATGTTGTTTCCTTTCTTCATAGATGATATAGACCTAGTACCATACCCGTGTTTTTTGATAATTGTAAACTAACTGCTCGTTCACCAGAAAATAAAGACTGCCTTAATTATTCATTCATTCAAGGCTGTGACCTACCATTTCTTCATAGGCTTGTACATATGGGAGAAGGTTGTACACTTAGGATTCCTTTGTCAATGTTAGAGCCCAGTTCATTTAGCCACAAGTTTTAGATGGAGCATACACTTTTTTTTTATTTACTTTTTACAAAATGTTTGTGAAATTATTATTTTTTAATTGAGCTACAGTTCATATATTTACATATTATTTTTTAAACTAGACAAATGCAATACAGCCGTGTAGCTAGCATTACAAAGGAAAACATCACTTTTGTCAATCCTTGCCATTGTTTTAGACCATGTTGGTTTTTTTTTCTCCCATCTTTCTAATACTATAATATTATGGGCTGAGGCCATTTTCTTTGTTAATTAATGACATTAAAAGTTTTTTTAATAATGATTTATGCCTGAACATGTTTGAATAATGTTGTCAAAGAAACCACATTACAAAAATTAGAACATCTCAGCATGGTGAAAAATTTCCAAGGTTAACTCTCAACATTTGCCCATTTAGAAATTTTTAAAGATTATTTTACTTTGAATCAATTTTTATTTTAAATTCACTGAAAAGAATTAATCATTTAAAAACACCAGAAAAAAATTGTAATTAATTTTTGAAAAATGCCTGCAAAAAACAAGTAATTCACCAACACATATTCAAAAAGATTTGCTTTTTTTTACAACATTGCTTTTATTAAAACATTTTTTAAAATGCTTTCTAATAGCAAACTCAAACAGAAAAAACACAGATGGTTTATTTAACTCTGAAAAATAAACACGAGATGGGTTTTTAAACAGCAAAGACAAATTAACTTTAAATCAAATACTGTTTCATTTTGCTTGGCCTAATGCCACCATTTTAACTGATTTGTAAGTAAAAATATCAGATTTCAGTGATAGAATAAGAGATTTACTGTGTTTTTCAAGCAATAACATATATAATATACGATCAGACATAATATTGAAATATCAAATAAAAGGAAAATTACAACCAATAGCTATTTACACCTGAAATTATATCAGGAGATTCAAGCAAAATCTTTCACTAAATCAGTTGAGTCATGCAGAAAACATATCCACGAAACACATTCTGTCCAAACAAAAATGAAAGGCTCCTAAGATGGAAATATGACACTTCATAATTGCTTAATAATTTTTAGGGGTATTTAGATTCAACTTAACTTTGCAAACTAATATTCTTAAAACAAATTCTTATGAGATGTCAAATTTTTACATCTTTATTTAATATATTCCCTTTTTTTCATCTCACACTTGAAGACAAAAAAAAATTCTCTTACTAACAAAAATGTATCCAAAAATACATTTTATAACTCAGTTACCAGCAATTATTCTCAATTATGAAAAACAAAATTAACAGAAGTTGATGCATTTTTAAGAATTAACTAAATTTTGTATATACAATATTTTTAAAGGAATAATAAAGCAATTGTTTTCAATTTGGCAAAGCTTTTTAATTGACCTAAAATAGATCAAACTTGGGAGCCGAAACATTAACCAAAGACTAATGAATTATTCTAATTGCTGTCTGTTGAATTGACTCTGGCCACTTTTGAGGATGAGCTCCCATCACTTGTTTCAGGTAAATTGGCTCTGTGACTGTCTCTCTTCTTGCTGGTTGTTTGGGAAGCGTGCTGTTTTTAGAAATAATACATTTAAGTACACATAGATAAACAAAACCATCACAGCACTACCCAAGCTATGGGTCATCAACAGGTATGAAAGGGGAGCTGCCTAAACAATAATGGTAAATACTTTGCTGACAAAACAATACCAGAAGATTGTTGGCTGACGTGTTACTCTAGTCAAAATTTTTAAAATTGTTTAAATTCTTCAAACTATGTAAAAAAAAAATGTTTACACATTGACAATATAGCATTGCCTACTTGGTTTCTAAGAAACTTTTTTCTTCTTGTCCCTCCCCAAAAATAAATTTTCTCCACTATGCTCACGAAAATTGTATACTTTCATACAAACTAGACTTCATGAAACTAATGTGATGCTTTTAAGAATGTCTTTTTTTTTTAATTAAAAGGGGTTATAATGAAAACAAATACCTTTTTATCCCACTGCTGGTGTAAATATCTTAATAAAATGTTGGTCTTTTCTGTAGTTATAACTGGAATAGGCAATATGACGGCGGGGGGGGGGATGGATATTTGATTATTAGTTATGTGAGGAAAATAGAAAAGTAGGTTTTCATATGATCAAAGTTTATGTACAAATTATACAAACTTTTAAAAAGTTTTTTAAGAACTTCAATGATTCATACTGAATACTGAATTCCTCTGTTTTTGAACAAAAGTTGGGCAAACCATTTCTTAAAGCTTTCTACAGAAATGTTCATTTTGAGCTGTAGCCTATGCCTTACACTTAGAAATTAGTGTAATCTAAAAACAAGGGACAACATTTATGGCTCAAAGCATGATCACACAACAAGTAGCCTAATACCTAGTAGTTTAAGTAAGCCTTACCTTGTTCTGATGGATAATCTTTCGTAGATATATAAACCGTTGGTTTCTATGGAGATAAATCAACAGCACAAAGGCTTATTCAGATTCATTAAAATGTAGTTATGGATCAACAATTGTTTCTCTAATAACCTATTAAAAAACAAATTGTACCAATAATCATATATAATTCTCTATGTAGACACCACGACAATGCAAGCCGACTATCTAACCCTCCTCCCACCCCTTTCTCGCTCTCCAGGCATGCACAACAGACTATATCGCTATCACCCCACCAGCACTTGTCTGGTGAGCTGTGGTTTCCGCCAAATGTTAACAATTGTAGAGCTCGGTCAAATTAGTGACGGCTATTAGGGGCAGATATTTAGTTTTTAAACAATTTGAAACTAAGGGGAGGTAACAAGTTCTGCTTGATCTTTTCATTGTCGTCTGTAAACTGTTATCACGGACAGCTGCTTTCATGGAGCAGGGGGGAGGGTAGTGCAAATTCACAAATTATGAATTACTGAAAAGTAAAAAATAAAACAAATAGCGTGTCGGCATATGCTACGCCACAGGTCTGCTCCTAACAAATGATTTGATTTTTCTTATCAAATTCATTCTGATTCATTCATGTATACATAAACTTTATAATTAGTTATTCTGATCTTTTCACTTACATTTGATCTATGGCTGGAGTCAGCATGGAACCTTGTGAAATTACTTTCATTATATGATGGCAGTCCTTCTAGAAAATCTCCCTATATAGATTAGACCAAAAAAAATATGTCTTTAAATATTATTTTACAAGTGTCACGCTAGTATTTTGTTTTGTATTACCTGGTGACAATATTAAGAAGTAAATATAAAACTTTAAAAAGTACATGAAGTTTTAAGACTGCTAGAATAACCAGCAAATCAAGAGGGAATATTCTGATAGTTTTGGCCTTGTATAAATTTGAGGAACATAAAAGGACATTGCCCGTGCCGTAACATCACAACAGACACAAATTTGACTAACTTACTGTTCAACAAAAATATTTATGCCACCAACACTCAATTACACAAAAAGGAACACTGAGACAGTTAAATCTGTATCGATCCAATTACTTCTGCCATTCACAAGGGTCCTTATGGCCAAAACAAATTTTCCCAGCAAACATACAGTATACAACTGTCCAATACAAGTCTTTCCGTAACAAATAAGATAGAGCTGTACGATCAATGATTTACATGCATAAGTGGTTAAGTGAAGAATGCACAACCGGATTTGAATGTGAAGCAGTGAATAAAATATGCTAAAATGGAGTTTTACCGTTGCTCTGTGTACTGTGTAGTCACTTGGTAATAAGAAATCAATTGATAAGTTTTGGTTGGGAATAGTGAATAGATAGATTTAAGATTAGTATAGTAGAGAGTAGAGAATAGGCCTTTATTTAGTATTTTTTATTAATATTTATTTAGGCCTAATATTAATATTCAAAAAAATATTAGAGTAAATAAGTCGTAGAGTAAAGTTCCACGCGCGGTTAAAACACCGGTGCGATCACGGATCATCGCCTGTTTATCGCTTCGTACAATATTTGTTTTGATGTTTTATACGAAACTACCGATATCTGCTGTAAACCTGTCCATTTCTAAATATATCCAGGTCAAATTCTTTTGTTTTTCTCCTTCTGGAAGTCGAGTTTTTAAATTTTAAAGTTTTGAGGTATGACGTCGTAGGCGGTTCTAGTTCCCCCTATGAAAAACACTAGGTCCCGGACGAGATGAATAAAACCAACCAATCAAAGCTTTTTATAACTAGGTTAACTATAAATAGCTTCTACAATATATGCGGGACACTTTACATACGATAGATAAGGCTAATAAAGCAACCTGATAGGTAAATAGGGGTGGCCGCAGCTTGGGTGTCGATTACGGTGGTTTCACATCGCTGCGTAACCAACGACTTGAGCTAGACTAGCCTAGTTCTAGATGCTCTATATTTCAAACTAAGCCTAGAATCTGTATACTTTCTATTTTTTTCTGCTGTTTTAAATTATTTCGATCATCTACTTCTTCTAAATCTAGTTTGTGTCTCTACATACAAGCATATCTAAGCAAATGTTACGTTATGTCTTTTAGTGGTTGTTACGTCCCTTTGTTATGATTATTATAGTTGCGTCCCTTGAGTCATCACTGGGTCAACTTTTAATGTCTTTAATTAATTTAATTAACATGTTTTTAATTATTATTTTTGCAATCTATTAATTAATAATACAATCAACAACACGTTTAAGTGTGTAAAATATTTATTTCAATTATTAAAATTGGATCAAAACGTATACAATACGCTCGTTGGCAAGCAGGTTCTTGCGTACGCAGGCAAAAAAAAAAGGGAAAAAAAATATCGCAAGGAGGGACGTCACTAAAACATGAATATCTTAAATACTATGCGTAGGAATACAAAATGACTCATACATATTACAGTAGAATGGCAGCGGAGTAATACAGTGCTTTCGGTTTGTTTCTGTGTGAAACGGTTATAAAATAGCGCCCGATTAAAATCGGGAATTTGGAATTTTCCGCTATGTGTGACCGCGCGTGGAACTTTACTCTAGATCTAGACCTAGTGTACTTAAAAAAAAAATATTAGAGTAATAAGTCGTAGATCTAGACCTAGTGTACTAGTGTAGAATGTAGATAGTAGATTTATACTAGAATCGAATCTAGATCTATCTCAGCCTATGACTCCGTCACAAGTGTCAAGTGGAGACCTCAGCCTCAGTCACAGTGTTTCATTTAGTAATATTTAATATTTAGTGTTTCATTCGATTTCACTGTTTTCAGTTTTCAGTGATTTGACTTGTTACTTGAACTTCGGGAACTTGTTACTCACCATTTCTTCTAAAGTTTAGATCTCTGTTTATAAAGTATAAAGTATTATAAACGAACTTCTGTTGAATTCTAATCTAATCAATAGAAATCTCTGGAATTAAAATACTATTTAAGTAGCTTAGTTAAAAAATACATGAGCATTTACAATAGTCTAGTTTAATAACTTAAATCGTTGCAATTTCCACATTCTAGGCTAGTTGATGAAAACATCAATATTGGATAAAGATCTATTTACACATTTTTTTACTGCAACATTTATTCTTATAATAAGTTCGTTAACACAAAATTCGTGGGTAGGGGTAAAATGCAAAACGCGGAATGCGAAATGACAAACCGATAAAAAATTGGTTAGGCTAGCCTAAGTTTTTTTTTTTCTACTTTTTTCTACTTTTTCTCTCTTAAAAAAATCTAGATTAGCTGGATTCAACCCTTTACCTTGTTTAATTTTTTTTAATGCCGATATTTTGAGACATTCATTTGTTCGAGATAACATTTGTGGGTCAATTTACTTTTTCTATTCCGCAATATCTTTTATAACTGTGCCCAACAAAAAACAAGCATAAAATTAAAAGTAACCTAAAACATAGAACCTAGAACCAAAACTGTTTTGCAATCGAGAATAGCTACTAATAGCCTATCTGTAATACCACAGGTAATGTCTCGCATTTTGTCCGCTCACACTTTACCACTTTCGCGTCTTATATTTTACACCCGCACACCAGTGTTTCTTCCAGACCTTTTTCTCCGGGGGGGGGGCACTTGAAATTTTCGGGGGGGGGAGGGGCGGTAGATTTTCTTCGGGGGGGGGGCGGACACTGTTAAAAGTATATATTTTCTATATAAATTATATAAATTTCATTTCGTTCGGGGGGGGGGGCGGTAAAAAAATTTCGGGGGGGGGGCTTCGCCCCCCCCCCCTAAGAGATGCCTGGAAGAAACTCTGCCGCACACGATTCATCGTTTCTTTCAGGTATCATTCACGTGGAAGGGGGGGGGGGGGGTACTGAAAACCTCCGAGGGCTAAAGTTTATTTAAGGCATACAGGTTAAAGTATATTTTACATAACTTATAGGCTATATATTTTTTGTATTTTTTCATTTCGTACAGTAGTGGTGGGGGTAATTAAGCGTTTCATTTCATGATTGTTTTATACTGTTGCAGTATTATATTGGTCATCTTTGTTTTATATGTGTTTTATATTCGTACTTGCAGCTTGCCCGTCGCGGTTGCTGCGATCTCACAAAAAAATAAACTTAATTTATTAATTCCCGGTGTAGGACGTTGGTAAAAAATAAATGCCTTAGGCCATAGCACTTTTGCAGAAGTCCAGGGTATTATCATGAAATAATGATCATATATGACCCGTTTGTGTAATGGTTTTAAAAAAAATCTGGTTACCAGATCTAATTAATTATCAACCCCTTAGAATAAATCTATGTTGTTAAAACTGTCACTTAAACCTTCAACGATTGTTAGGGACAAGTTTTAAAACCGAGAAATGTTTGCTTGGTAGTAGTAAAAAAGATAATAGATTCTACATTTCTAAAACTACAAAATCAATGCCACGCTTTTATATTAAAAGCGCACCACCTCCCCTTCTTACCCCCCCCCCCCCCCCTCCCCTTTTCAAAGTAAATGTGTGCGTACATTCGAGTAATGACATGAACTCTTTTTTTAACGAAAAAAAAATTTGGAATCTTCAACTTCTTTTGAGTGGAAGTTAAAAATGTAATACATCAACAAGCTTTGTTTGTTAAATGTTTGATCTCTGCTCTTTTCTCCTACACTAATAGTTACCGTAGTAATAGTACGTTAGTGATAGTGTAGTGTACTTTACTAGAACTACTTATTTGTGTTGTGTACACTTTAGTACTCAGTTTATTTTACTCAGTACTCGCCTACCACTCTAACGGAAATTTGAAATTTCCCTTTTCAAACCTAGTGATAGTCTACTCGACTAGATCTAGATTGTAAGATTCTAGATCTCACAGGACAAGTGAAGTAGACTTAGACTTAAGTAATATAATTAAGTAGTAAGTAGAGTTCACTTGTTTCTGTGACCTCGGCATCTGAAGAGATAGTGTGGTCAGCACTATGCCCAACCGCCTTTACTTTCCCTAATGTGCGTTGGGTGGACTCAGGGACGGTCTACTGACTTGAAGCCAGATTCGAACTCTTGACTTACGGGTTAGCAGTCCAGCTCTCTACCAGCTAGACCACCCCGTCCCACACTCTAACGTAGCTACAGTAGATAGAGTGGTACTGTCACTTACTTACTCACTACTTAACCGACCATCTGAGTTCACAGTTTGTGTTGGTGGTTTGCATTTCTTTTAGATTTATCAGACATGAGTTACAGTGTTAACTCAACTGTAGTTTAGAGTAGTTTAGACTAGAGTTTTGTTGTTTGTTTTTTGTTTATTTTTTTTATTTATTTTTTTTTTTTTTAATTTGCAACTCTACTAACGTATAACTTTGAAGAATCTTGTCAGTCTAACACTCTAAACTTTTCTTTAGTCTCTAGACACTAGAGTTACAGACAAGTCTAGCTTAGAGTGAGTCTACTAGCTAGTACTTGGTAGCTAAACTCTGCCAGTGGTTTGTCAAAATTTTGTACACAAAAATAATGGAGTATTTGGAAGTGCAAAAACATGCAAATGATGAAACTCTTAAAAGTATACCTTCTTATGTTTTGGATGATTTAAGCAGGTAAGAAATAAATAATCTAGTAAAAATTGTAAGTTATATTTTATTGAAATATTCATTAACAGGTTAACTACTCACTGAGTAGTACTTTGTAAGTTAGTACCTTACTTTTAGTATTTAATAAGTACTACTAATTAGTTAGTGATTAGATCTAATGAACTAGTAAAGTAAACTTGAGATAAAATAGAAATAAATCTTCTCTTGTGGGGGGTTTGTGTGTGCAATGCATAGGCCTATTTTCTAGTGCTAACATTTTAATGCCAACAGCACCCAACCTCTTACTTTTTTTATTTTCAGCCGCTTCATCATTAACAGTCGCCCTGAAGAAATAACCTCAATAATCAGAATATTTTTCCTTGTTGAGAATGCCTACTGGTTCTATTTAGATTTTCATAGAGTTGAGAATCCTCAGTTACGGGAATGCAACCTGAAAGAGTTTGCCTTCAACTGTATCCTTTAAATGCACTGTTTAAATGAGTGTTAATTAAAAAAAACATAAAATATAGGCTAGTCAGTTTTACCTGATGTCTTAAAAATAAAGTTTTCAACTTTTTTTATCCCCATGTTACAATTACAATTCAGTTTTATGTGAATGCCCATGCAAATTTTACTATACTAAATAAAGAATTAGGTGTGATTGACGCATTTGTATAAATAGTATGATTATTATCCCAAAAGTTTTACTTTTAATATGGGTTTAAATCCTAAAGATGTCTTTTAGTCCATCCAGCTATGACTTTCTTGAATCTGGGAGAGTATAGGTGGCTAGACGTAGAATAGGCCACCTCATAGAATGGTCACAAAAAAAACAGTTAAGCTTGATTTTATCTACTCTATCAACCATCAGGTCCTAAGCAAACTTCTTTTTTTTTAAGCTTAATCATTTCATAAGATAAGTCCTTGACGTTTGAACAGTGATAAGCCACTGCCCTCAGCTAAAGCAGTACACTGCAGACTTTGACAAACACTTTGATGCATGGAAGCAATACAAGAGAACAATTGCTACATGTGGAGCCATTATTCTTGATCAAGAACTCAAACATGTAACAAGAATTTTTATCCTTTCTTCTTTTGTATTTCAAATTCAGCTGTTTAAATTTGTTTGTGTTGTGGGGTTATAGGGGATTTTCAGGTATCATTAAAATACCTAACTCAGATCTCTAATTTGCAAAGTGTTTTTTTTTAGTATGAGAAAAATATAATCAAAAGCAACAAAAATGGATTGTTTATTTAATTAAAAATGATCCTTTTTATTGTACAAATGTCAGTCATGTTATCCTTCAGCTGTTCGTCTACATCAGATTAGCATGAATGATTTATGTTAAGTGCATTGGTTAAAAAATATCCTCCTTACATTCATAATGTGTAACCAGTGTTGCTTTTCTTTTTAAACAGCAATTATTCTTTAGCCATTTAGGGGATATATTTTCTTTTGATAATTTTTCAAACGATTAGCTTACAGTAGGCTAAGGATACAACAATAAATTTAAGCAGCAATCACACATACCAATGTAGGGCTAAAGTAATTTAAAATCTCTTATAAAATCAACAAATGCAATCTAATTAGTTAATGTTATTTTTGCATTTCTATCCAGCTTAGTGTTTGTCTGTTTTATTTATTGGTTGATACATATTGTTTCTGTAATAGGTTCTATTGGTGCAAAGCTATTCAAGCAAAAACAGCTGGGGGTTTCCAAAGGGGAAAATAAATTTAAATGAAGCTCCAGATGACTGTGCAGCAAGAGAGGTTTGTAAATAAGTCTTATTTTTATATCAGCACGTAATTTAAATGTGTTTAATATTTTTTGCATGCGACTTTGTATCTGCTATTGTTTTAGTTATTTCAAATATGTATCTTATTTATTTGTCATTTATTAAGGATGTACTTTTATTTGAAATATGCCAGAAACATTACATACATAATTCAAAGTTTAAGCTCTGTACTGAACATATAAAGCCCAGCAATAAGTAAAGGTAAATTTATTAAACTAAGTGAACAATGTTTTCACTTCTTAAAACTGAACTTTCCCTAGGTGTTTGAGGAGACAGGGTTTGACATAAAACCTTACATGGACCCACAAGAGTACCTAGAAAAGTGTTCCAATGAACAAGTGTGTAGACTCTACATTGTGTCTGGTGTCCCTCTTAATTCAACTTTTATTCCAAAGACAAGGCGAGAAATCAGAGTAGGTGGACCTAATTTTCTTTTTAATAACTTTAAATTATAATGTAACTTACCATGGTTGCACCGCTATGACATTTATTTTAATTTAAACTTTTATGTTGCACTAATATGCAGCTTTTTAATAGAGGTTTCCATCTATTGCAGTACTGAAATATTTGTAATGTTTACAAACATTGTTATTAATGTGTATTTAGCACTTGTATTTTATTTTCAAGGACATCCAATGGTTCCCCATGAATACTCTCCCAACCCACAGGGGTGATCAAACACTGAAAGAGGTGGTTGGATTGAATTTAAACTTGTATACCATCACACCTTTTCTCAAGTGAGTTAAAACTGACAGCATTGAAACCTTATTATTTGGTCATGAGTTCATTAACACATTTTTAAATGAATGCAGTTTATTAATTTTTCTAACATGAGCCATGCTGTTGTGAGTACATATGATATTTTGTTTCTTTGGTTTTTAATGTTAGTTTTAGTTGGCTTATAAAAGCTCTACCAGAATGTATTAAAGGTTTTTGATAAGATTCTTTAATGCGTGATTTATAAAAATGTTTGCAGGTCTCTAAGAATTTGGATAAAAAATCACCTTCTCGATACACCTTCTCAGTCGTCAAAACAAAGAAGTCGGATGAAGCAGCAAAAACTGTTCTCTCAACAGAACTACAATCAGTATCAAGAATTCATGCAGCTTAAGAAAGGAAAGTCAGCTGCCAAAAATGTTTTAGCACAAAAAACTTCCACATCATCAGTGAGGTGAGTTTTCTTGTTTGAAACTTAAGCAAATACTTCTTCCTTAATTTCCTTCATTTGAGACTGCAGATTTTGTGAAAATTATATTCAAGTATGTAACCAGGGTGTTTTTGTATTAAAACAAATTAATTTTATGTTTATTTTTTAAGGTATTCCAAAGAAATTGAGGTTGAGGAAACTAATATTAAACAGGTTTGTAAAGAAATGTTACCAGGTTACTGCTATCTTTATTTATTAGTTAAAAACTTAATTAATTTTTATGTTTGTTGTACTTTGTACTGAAAAAAATTTATTTGACAGGGGCGACGAGGCATGACAGTATTTCAATCTCTATTTGGTAAATCTTTTTATTTCGCTCCACCGTTTATACTGTATTGGCAAATTAAGTTTAAATAAAGAAATAATATATGTTATGACCATTGAAATATCAGATTGAATGCATTATCAAACAATTTATACAAAACCATTTTGTTGTAGGTAACAAAGATACACAGCATGTGGTTGAATTTAAAGCACCGGTTGTGGACACCAATTCATTTTACTCACACACTTGGTTCAACTTTACAATAGATGAGGACACAGTGATGGAGGCATTCCCTCATGAAGGAACTTATTTTTTACCCTCACATTTCACCCAACAAAAAGAATTAGTTCTAGGAAAGTCATAGGTACTATGTAGCTTTGTTTCAGTTGCCAACAACTGAGGTGTACCATAGTATTGAATTTTGAAGCAGTTTAATGACAGGTCACAAAACCATGAGCTGCTGCTTGGCAAGGGTTGTTGGTCATGTCCTGAAGTTATCCAACATTTTTTTTACAACAATTTCTTATGATTCTTGGGAAATGTTGGAAGTGAATATCATACAATTTTATTAATGCAAAAAGGCGACAATGTAAAAAAAAATCACATCTTTACTTCTTATGTACAGTATTCAATTTTTTTTTAATAAAACAAAAATCAAACAAGTAAGACTTACGTTTTTTAAAAGTGTGTACTTGTAAATTACAAGCTTCTCAACTTTTTACACAGGACCTTCAACCCGGTTTTAAAACTAAAAATATTTGGCCTTATCCAAAAAGCTGGGACATTTCAAGTGTTTTTTTTAAAGAATCGGTCAAATTAAATGAAACAATTTAATTAAAAATGTGTGTTAACAAAAAAAATAAAAAAATTTTTCAAACATCTACCTGCAAATTTAAAAACATACCTAAGGTACTAGTAGTGCATTTAAATTAAATATTTTCATCCTGGTAGTTTACAAGTTAGAATTTCTGGTAACACAAAAACTGGTTTGTTAAAATAATCCTTGACGCCATGAAGGCACAGCTCTGTGAGGCATGTTTATGACGGGGCCTGATCCGGAAGGTCCTTGGTCTTTGAGTCTTTCCTTCCAGCCTGCTGTTGGTTGAAGAAGTCTATTAGGGTCTCTCTGGACTTCAACTTGCACCTGTTATAAATATTTATAACTTCATTATAAAAACATTTGATTTCTAGACTAAAATATTTCATTTTTAAACTGAATTTGTAAAACTTTTACAATATTCTTAAAATTTTATTAGTTTAATTAAATATCTTGGTCTTAACAGGTGAATTTTGGTACACACTTGACTCTTTAATGCTTGGAGTTTTCTTTCTTTCTCTTTTTTCTTTTCCTCTTTCTCTCTTTCTTTTTCTTGTTTTTCATATAGCTTTTGCATATCCTGGTAAAATGTGCGATAGAATTATTTTAAAGAAATTATTAAACTCAAATTTTAGGTAGAAGTTTGTTAGATATATTTTTTTTATATTTCTAAAAATGTAAACTAATTACATAGTTTTTCAAATAAACTTAATGTATACAGACAAATTAAAAGCAGTAGATGTTAATTTGTGTGATTACTGAGGAAGCATTCTGAAATGTAAACAAATGTTTACTAAAATAACACAACTGGTTACATACTTACCACTTAGGAAAACTTTATCGTCTAACAAAATATGTAGCCTTTATTTTCATAAAAGGAATAGGAAAAATACACAAAATTTTTACTTACTCTATTTCTAAATCTTCCTATTTCTTTAGCGATAACCTCTCTTCTTCTATCCTCTTCTTCTCTCTTTCTTTCCTCTTCTACCATTTGTAGAACTTCTTCTTCCAGTTGTTTCTGTCTGCGGAACTCTTCAACAGCTTTTCTAGCTTCAAGCTGATTATGGAAATACATAATTTTTTTAAAATATTATTTCATGACATGAAGGAAAATTTCCTTGAGTTAAATTGAGCTAAGCTTTTTGCTAGCAGTACTTAATAAAACGGAAAGTAACCACATCATTATATCATCCACTCATAAATTTTGTTTAAAAAAAAACATACATGTTTCTTTTTATCCTCTTCTTGTTTTCTTTTCTTTTCAATCTCCTCCTTTAACTTCTTTTCTTCTTTCATTGCTTTCTCCAGTTCTTTCTGAACCTTTAAAATAAACATTGTACTATCTTGCTATTATTTTATTTTTAAAAAAAACAACTTTTTCAAGACACAGGGGAAAAAAAGAAAATATGGAATTTACTACAATTAAAAGAATTGTGTGGGAGATTGTACAGAAACTTCATTTTAAAAAACTCCAGCTAACAGCAACTTTAATGTACCTTCCAAGCATTTATTTGCTTGCAGCGCTCAGCTTTTTCCTGACTTGAAATTTGCTCTGTTTGTTTCTTCGCCTCTTCTTTTTTCTTTTCATCCAGTTCAACTTGCACATGTGTTATGACATCTTCTTTTTCTTCCTGTTTAATCACACAATTTCCTAAAATATTACTGACAATAATGATTATATAGTGGACTAATGAAAGCTGAAATTGTAGAGAAATATTCAAAAAGCTTAAAGACTTGAGGTTTAGTAAATAAATACTGGCTAAGTGAGATTAATGTAGAGCATTCCACAAAGCTGCAGTAGTTAGGAACTTCAAAGAATGCTGCATTTGATATAAGGCCATCAGATTATAAAAGAATTTTACTTTTTTAAATATATTGCTTTCTAAATTAAATTAGAATGATTTAAAGGAAACGTAAACAAACAATTTTCCTTGAATGAATTGCAGTGATCTAAAATAATCAGTAATTTACTTCTTAACACTTCTTTTACCTCCTTTTTTTCTCGCCATTTCTTGATTGCGTACTTCTTGTTTTCATTTAGAAAAGTGTATTCCTGGTACCACTTCTCATGCTGCCTGATCTCAGCCTCTGTGTGAATGGGCAGCATAGGCTTGACATGATCCAAGAAAACTATTTTACCCTGGAGTAAAATAAAAAGTTTAACCAAGCTTTAGCCTTTAAATACTAAGATATATAGGGAGAAAACTTAAGTTTTTATAGGTCTTAATTCATGTAAAATAGTCAAAATATGTAAATATACATGATGCTAAATGTGTAAAAATGTGATTCATTTCAGTTTCGCTAAGAAAAATGTTAAAAGTTGTCTTTACCTTGTACATATTCCTATAGCGGAGAAAAGTTTGGTGATCATATTCATCCCAGCCACCTCTATGGCCTCCACTTTGATGCACAAATTTCTGTTAGATTAGGGAGATAATGTGTCAAAATAAAATAATTTTTTTTTTCCAAATAAGATAAGTCATTTGGCTAAAATATATTTTCAACTTATATTACTTTTGACATTAATTGAAAATTATCTTTACATCAAATGCTGCAACTTCTGGGGGTAAATCTTTCATGACATCCTTATCACTCATAACTGGTTTTGTTGTAGTGCTGCTGCTTTCTACATTGGAGGCTTGATTCCAAGTTTCAAATTTGGACTCTAGTTGTTGTAGCTCTAGAGATAAGGTCTTCTCTGATCGCATCATTTCATCGTATCTGCAATATTAACTTTTGCTTCAAATAAACATATTTAGCTTTATAATTTTTCAACTAATGTATTAATTATAATGGTAGAGGCTCTTTTTTAAAAAGGTTCTATTATTTTAAAAGAAAAGATTAAATAAAAGGCTGTATTATATTTAAATAAATATATTAAACAGTACAGATGGTAAGTTGAAATTATTTTTGCATTTGAAACCAGACTTAATAACACTACAATAACAATACTAAGACTTTGATGTTGATTTATTAATTTTACCATACTTAAAGGTAGTTACTTTGTTTTCTGTTGTTCTTTAAAAGAATGTATTGTTCCTTCAACATCTTCCATGATCATTTTTAGTTTCTCAACAACTGAAAATAAATGTATGATTTAAAAAAAAAAGTTGAAACTACATTATTAGCTGATTTTACATCTCATTATAGTGAAGGTCCAATTAATGGACAACAATCTCTGGATGGGAATATCAAACAAACTATTTAAAAGATCATAAAATGTATGATAATTAGTTATATAATAAAACTTATTTTTAAACTTTACAACCAATAATAGTATTAGAATGTTTTAGATCTACTTACATTCAGGAGTAGGTTTCACATCTCTTAGCTCTCGATGAAACCTTTTAATCATGTGACTTATCTTTTCTAGTTGTTGCTTTACTTTTATAACTAAAAATGAGAAATAGTTACTTTTAGTGAAGTGTTGAGATAAATGGGGTCAATGACAAATAAATAACTTTATGTAAAATAGAAAATGTATTTGAAAAATTTTGCAAAATAAAATAACTTGATAATTGCATGAAAATACCTTCTGTTTTCCTTTCTTCTGACATTTTTAATTCTTCCTCCTCCAAGAGGCTAAACTCCTTTCTAAAATCAGAGCGCTTACTGAATATATGAGTCAACTTTTCTCTTTCTATCGCTTGTATCCTATGGATTTAAAGTAACATTATAATGTTTTATGTGAAGAAATCACAATGTAATTCTGCCTTTTATAGTTCACTTTTAAAAAAAAAATTACAAATGAATTATTAGTTTTTACAGAATAAAAAAGATCTAATTTTACCCAAAAAAACTTACTGGATGTTGAGCTTATTTATTTCTCGCAAAAGATCTGTCTTTTTAGACTGTTCTGTTTTCTTTTTCAAAGCCAATATATGCTCATCTGCTTCCTGTAAATATAAAGCAGTAGTTCTTTAATTATTTTACCAAAAGGATTTTTTCTGATTTGGGCATGTCATATGAAAAAATTGTGTGAACAGTGCAATCCATGCCATTTACACCTTCCTTGATTATGTGAGACAGTGTCATGATTGCCAAATAGTACAGTAGTTCACAGAATAGTATAGAAGCTGTTGAGCATAGCAACAACTTGACTAAACTTTGGTTCACATAAATATAAAATGTTCCTGATGATACACAAGACAGATGGACAGTGTACTATGATTTATAAACTATGAATAAAAGTGTGTGTTCTTTATACTTTACGGCAATGTAATTAGAGTATTCAGTTATATCTAATTACTATTTATTACATATAATATGTGTGAAATATATAAATGTATAACCTCTATAACTATAATTACTATGGAGCTAAATTTTTCCCGGTCTCTTAAACTGTCAGTTCTGGTGTCGTGTTGCTGCGAAAAATGTATTATTTATTACATATAGGTTAATATAAGTGTAATAATATGCCCTCTACTAATTAGTAGTTACTGTGATGCCTTAGTTTTTGCTGCCTTCTTTTACTGTCAATTTTGGCTGTCGTTGATTTTTTTTCTGCCAAATATTACTGTCAACTTTTGTCATTTGTTTTAGATTTCTTCATGACATACCTCTCTCTTAAATTTAAAGATCAACTTATAAGTACTACTGCTTAGTGTTGCATTTTTCTCATTAAGTGAGGATAACTCAAATGAGCAGGCCTAGCCAATTAAAAATATTTCTTCGCATTTATTTATTGCAAGTCACTAATAAAACTAGGAGTATAAAGTTTTTACCTAGATTCATTTTGAACTAGCATCTCAATCCTTAATAAATTATCCTAATTGAAAATTGCTAAAGTACTTACACTGGTGAGAGAAAACTGAATAAAACATGAATATAATTTCTTTAAAACAATGAGGGCCTATATATTTTTTAAATACTTTTAGGCCTAACACTACTAACTACTAACAGTTTTTTTTTCTAGCTCTTTATTAATTATTAGAATTTTTAGATCTATGCGAAATTAGGCTATAGTAAATAGTAAATATTTAAAATATATTTTTAAAAATGTATGGTTATCCTTTTGATTATTTTTAGCAATAAATTACATCATTGCACAGTCCTTACTTTATCCAACCCCTTTTTTTGTGTCAACTTCTCATCTTCAGTGGTACCCAGTACCCAGCTGTTGTCACAGACGGGAATTTCTGGCTAGGCTGGTGTGAAGTGTGAGTCACCAAAAATGTAAATGCTCTATTTTAGCCCCAAAAGAGATAGAACCATAAAACGTATTGATTATTGTTGCCTATTGCTAGCTTGTACGTTTTTAATAGAACAACAATGGTATTGGAGGCGAAAGAATAGCAGACACGCTAACACTATTCTTTTTTTTTTTTTAATTACCTGAGTTGCTCTCGAGGACGCCATTGTTAAACAATAGAGGTCATACTAAAATACAAAACGTAGATCTACTTCATGACTTTTGCTTGAGTGGGGTGTAATTATTAGCTTGACATGAATCTTTAAATATAATGTATTTATGCTACAATTACAACAATATTGCTATGAACAATGTTCATTTTACAATAAATTCAATTTATGAGATGTGAGATTCCTACGTGAATTGTTTTTTTTTTAAACTGACAGCGGCGTGTGTGTTGGGGGGGGGGGGGTATAAATATATGTCAAAAATGCGTTACGCTATTCATTACTACACTCCATAGCCCACTAAAAGCCTTCTCATCTAGGTCTTTAATATAGCATATAAAGTTAAACAAAATCTGATATCCGTAGCTATTGCAAGTTACAATATTACAAGTTTTAATGTGCTAATAGTGGTATAATAGAATAGACTGTGTTGGGATGGGGTGCATTGTGTAAATGGGGGGGGGGGGGGGGAGTTCGGCAACGTTGCAGGTAGGAATTCTAGTGTTAGCACTTCAGACGACAGTCCGTAATCTATTGAATAACCGTCGACAAGAAACATTGATCTTCTAGTAATTATTAATTTATTAGTGTATTAATTACATTGTTATGTTTGATTGGTTTGTATGAGCTCGATCTGTTCCTTATAGATCTATGTATTTTAAAACTTATAAAAATGACATAATTAATCATATGGGGGTTAAAAATGATTTTGCATTTTTTATTAGAGTGTAGATCCAGGACAATGTCTCTATATCTGTTATAAGTCTATAACTCTATCATTATTTTTCATTGTTTACAGTTTTAGACAATTACTGCCAACAAACAAAATGGCGTTCTCATATGACAGTCAAAGTGTAAAGCAACTTTTAACTGAAAATTCAGTTGATGAATTTTTGGCAGCTTCCAATATACTAGTTAAATTTGCTGTTAATATTTTAGATAACCCATCTGAATCAAAGTATAGGAGAATTCGTATATCAAACCCAACTATACAAAATAAACTGTTAAATGTTGTTGGTGGAATGGAGTGTTTGTTTGAAATGGGATTTCAAGAAGCCGATGTAAACAACTTTTTACTTTTATCATGTTTTATCTTCTTTTTTAGTTTGCAGCCAGATTTAATAATAGTAATACTAATACATTTAAATTATTATATCTATTTGTTAAGTCTTTCTTTCTATGCATATGTATGTAGTATGTAGCTTGTAGATGTACTTTGAACTAGCAGAGTGGTCTAGCGGTAGAGAGCTGGACTTGAGATTGAATCCGTGGGATAGTCAGTAGACTGTCCCTGAGTCCACCCAACTCTGATGGGTACCTAACTCACGTTAGGGATAGAAAGGCGGCTGGGCATAGTGCTGACCACACTTACTCTTCATATCCGAGGTCACAGAAACAAGTGAACTCTACTTTTACTTTGAACTTTGTTATCTGTGTTAGTAATGTTATTTAGTAGTATTTCTCGCTAACTTGGATGCGTGGTCGGTTGCTAACAACAATATGGCGCCAGGACCGGACGTTTGATTTCCGGTGATTTTTCGGCCAAATTCCAGAGACCTTCAACTAATTACATTTAAAAATGTTTACCACGCGCAAAATGGCGGGATTTCCGTGTCATAACAACAAACCATAAGTGGCAGGGTTAGATATGCCAGAAAAGCATTTTAAAATTTGGTTTGGAGAACGGAGGCTAAATTCAAAAGTTGGTTTCATTAAAATTGATAGAATTTAAAAAATATCAACAGTGTAGGTACAGAAATAAGCGAGAACGTAAAGCATTATTAGTTTTATCAGTCTATGAAAAAAGAAATCAAATATTGTGAGCTGTTTTTTTATAAGACCGGCGTCCGTATCACAACCAATTTATTTTTATTTTTTAAAAACCACGTGACCGCTATTTGGTGATCACTAGTGAGGAACTCTTGTGCATGGCCACTTAAAAAGTCTAACCTGATTTGTGGTTTTCTTAAGCTTCAAGCTTAAGAAGAGTTGTCATGGAGAGATGTGTTGGACATGGCAGTGATTGACAATAAATATTAAATTAACTAATTTAGTTTAAAACGAACTAAAAACTCCAAAGTTAGTGCCTAATGGATTAAATATGGATGTCTATTATTCAGTGGTCATGTTTAAATTGATAATTGCGTAAATTCTAGATTTAGTGAGAAAAACTATTATTTAGTAATATTTAGTAAGTTAGACTGTTAGTGTTAGACTTGGTTAGTATATATATATATATATATATATATATATATATATATATATATATATATATATATATATATATATATATATATATATATATATAATATAGTTAGACTAAGTACTAACAACTACTACTTGACTTATTAATAAGTAACTTACTGTACTTACAGTATCTTAGTACTTTACAATACTTAGTTACGACTTACTAGTAATAATGACTAGATCTAATTATAATTTTTTTAAAAAGATGGAGTTCCCCTTTCACTCTTCAGACTTAATGAATAATCCCTAGTCCATAGGGAACTTCCCTATGATGATGTAGAGTTCATGTTTCTTGCCCTTGGCTTTAGAAGGAATGGTGGTGGTCGGCACTATGCCCAGCCGACATTTGTCATGTCATGTACCCATCAACTAAGAGATGTCCTGCTACCCAAACTTGAGACCTTCAGGATAGCAGGCAAGCACTCAATGGACCACACATTACCATGCTTTGTTATGTAAGTTATTCACATTTGTTATAAATTTTACACTACCTACAGGATGGAGAATGCCTAGTTTTTCCATTTGGAACAAGTTTGGAAATTCTTAAAACCATTAAAGATGATTTAACAAGGGAAAGAGAAAAAATAGAAAGAAAGCAACAAGTTGCTGCAACTAGATCTAGTCCTCAGACAGCACCTGCACTGGCCCCACAGCAAGCTGCAGGGGCAGCTGGTGGACCTACTACATCCCAGTCTACTGGTGCTAGAGCTTCACAACTATACATGGTTAGATTATAAAAGAATTTTCTTTTTTTAAGTTTTATAACATTAGGTTATATTAGAATATATTAAAATATTTCGAAATGTCACAATTTCAATTGATTTTGCATAATTATGCATTATAGAATTATAATATATAATAACTGTTACTTTTTTTAAATTTAAGGATACTGAAGCAACTTTCCTGGCCAAATTAAAAGATGCTTTAAGGCGCGTCATGAATTATGAAAACAAAAGTTCTCAGAGTAAGGCCAAGGATGTAATTCCTGTTGAGTGTCTGCAAGAGGAAGCTAAGCAAAAGTATCAAGCGAATTCTGGATCAGGATCAAAATTAGATGTCAGAGATTATTTACTTTTGGAATTGCTCAATTGGTTTAAAAACTCATTTTTTCAGTGGGTCGACACTCTCCCATGTTCTCAGTGTAATGGCTCTACTCAAAATACTGGCTATATTCCTCCATCAGCTGATGATCTTAGGTGGGGGGCCAGCAGAGTCGAAGGTCATCAGTGTAGTTCATGTTCTTTTGTAAACCGCTTCCCTAGGTACACAAATGCTGAGAGGCTGCTTGAAACATGTAGGGGTAGATGTGGCGAGTGGGCAGAATGCTTCACCTTATGCTGCAGGGCTTTGGATTTCGAAGCTAGATATGTCATTGACTGGACCGATCACGTATGGACAGAGGTGTATTCTAATTCTTTATCTCGGTGGCTACATTGTGATCCATGTGAAAATATCTGTGATAAGCCTTTGCTCTATGAGTCAGGGTGGGGTAAAAAATTGACTTACGTCATTGCTGTATCAAAGGATGAAATTCGTGATGTTACCTGGAGGTACTCTGCAAAACACAAAGAACTTCTTGAGAGGCGGAATCTCTGCCGCGAGTCATGGTTGCGCCGAACAATACACCAGTTGTGGAAACAGAAAATTTCAGCCCTCCCTCAAGCAAGGCAACAAGAATTATGGAGGAGGTTGATATGTGAGCTTACAGAGTTTATCACAATGAAAGATGGGAGTGGAGAAGCACTACCTGGCCGCACCACAGGGTCGTTGGAGTGGAGGCAAGCGCGGGGTGAGCTGGGTCAACTCCCACAAGAATCATCCAATTTCCAGAAGAATTTTGTCTTCACTCCTACAGAAGCTGAGCGTGAATGTGAAATGATTCATGTTGTATACAACTGTGCAATAGATAAATATGTTAGGCTTTCTTCTAATAACAAAGAACATCAAGGATGGAAGGCCTGCATGTTTTCTGCTCAAGATATATTTCGTAAAGTAGAGCATGACTGGAAAATGGCATACCTTGCTCGGCAGGAAGGCTCAGCTTATGCAGAAGTGTCTTGGAAATTCGATTTAACAAGTTAGTACATTTTAAAAATTAATATTTTAGTATAGTCCTACTTTATGTTTTTAGTTAATATTAGGTTCCGTAAGAAAGAATGATTCCAATTGAGTATTAACTCAAGCTCTTCAAAAACATTTTTTTACTAGAATGGGTATTATCTTGGGTTATCTAAAAATAGTAATATGTAAAATAGTTTATAATTGTGCATAATTTATATATAATACAACTGTTGAAATTGAAACCATTCCATTCAGATACAGATCTTCGAATAAGTAGAATGGAAATGAAAGCAGAATCAGCTGTTTTTGAGGGAGGAGCTATCAGTTGGAGAATATGTGCTGCAGAAAACTGCTTTATGCATACTGGTAAATAATCTCATTGGCTGTACTAGCATTAGTTTCTATCACCTGTGTGACTGTAGTTGGTACCAAGCAGCTATTAATAATAAACAAGTTGAATACATTTATAGCAATTCTAATTTACCTTTAAATTATTTCAATCTTTTTTTTAAACAGGTAGTTCATTGCAAGAGATGATGACTTTTGATCTCCATGGTTGTCAAACCTTAACTATAACTGCTGTTCTGCAAGGGGGTAAAGGAGATCTGGCCTGGCAACACACTCAGCTGTTTAGACAATCAACCAATGACAGAGATAGCTATCCATTTGAAATCAAGTTAATTTTAAATTAAAGTGGAAAAGATGCGCTATGCTTTGATTTTAGAATATTAGCTTCAGTATTCAATCGCAATTTGCCCATTGTGTGCTTTATTCTTTAATAAATTTATTATTATGTAAACAGCCTTAAAACCTTCTTTACTTATTTGGGTGTAGAAACTATACTTCATTTTTACCTCTTTTTTCTTTTTACCCAATTATTCAGCCTGTTGTGAAAATTGTTCTTTTACTTATCCCCAAAAAGCCAGTTTTCAATACTAAGGCAATTTAAGTAGTTTAACAATTTACAAATTTATGATTGTTTAAGGAGGCTTTTTTAAATTTCATCTTTTATACACAATTGTAAATGATTGAGAATTAGTCAAACTTGATAAGTATTATATATATACTGTATATGGCTAATAGGATCAGTAAAAAAAACATTGCTACATAGTGTTATCAGTGTATTACTTTTGGATTTGTGTGCATTCTGCAAGCATGATATATTATTCATTAGTATTGCAATTGTTTATGCAAAGAACTTTTTTAATGTACACACTATTGAAAAATTAATTTTATTGGAATAACATTTATTGAACTTTTTGCCTCCTGTTGCACCAAACATGGTTTTACTTCTCAATGTGTTGAGATTTTCAAATCTTGTTGAATACATATTTAGATGTCAGACAGCGTAAATCAATACAGACATGGTCTTTTGAGAAAGAAAAAAAAAGATAACTATTTTTGTTTTCAAATGTTCTTACAATTTTTTGGGCAAAATTTTACCAGCCTCATGAAAAATGTACAAAACAGTTATTGTCTTTTACATCAAGAGAACTATTAGCTTTACATTATAATCACACTTTAATACAATCAAAAGGATCTAATTTATTTAAAAAAATAAAATTTGAATATTGCAGGATTTTATATAAATGTGAACTGCACATTAAAGAAGTAGCTGGCGGCTAAAAAAAAATTGTCAGTGTGTTACTTTTATAGTTTTCCATTGTGTTTATAACATAAAACAAAATGCATTATTTCTGGCATTTAACTCATGAGTAAAATTTAAATTACAGATTTATTTACAATATTTTAGCACATTAATTTATATTTACATAATTAAATACTACTAGTACACTAACATTTCAAAAAGCAGATACAAATAACATTTACCTCACCTTTCAATCACTATCTCACAATTTTATAGCCTTTTAAAATAAAAGGAGTTTTTTATACACTGGAAGAAAACATACATTTCACCATGAAAAATTAGGTTGGAATTTTAATAGCCATCAAGACTAAAATCGATGTTGACTAAGTATCAGTTAGCTAGTGCTAGTACAAGTTTCCAGCTTAGCTAAGGTTGATTGGTGGCAGAATGAGGACATGTACTATGAAAAACGGCTGATCTGTTGTTTAACTGCATGGAATATGGCACTGAATCTATCATTAACACGCGTGATGACCACTATACAGCATTTGACCTTGTTTAAATCTTACAGTAAGCTTGCTCCCACTTGAAATTAAGCACTTGTTATCTAAACTTTTTTATCTGTATGCATGAGCAGTCTATCTGCACTTCCTTGGCTGCTGGACCTATCTGTGCTGCTGTACCCGCTGGACATGTCCCTGTGTGTTACTTGCCTTTCTGCAGATCCCCCATGGGGACCTATCTCCTCCATGCGAATGCTTTCATATTTAATCGCTGATGTAATTGTCTCATTTCCTTTAGAGCCTTTTCTAATCTGCACTTCTAAATCAACAGCTTTTATTTCCCCTTGCTTGCTCCGCCTCTTTTGGTCCAGTTTTATTCTGTTAAGTACCATTATAAAAATAGAGTTACACAGCCTTGGTGATTTACTAGACTCAAAAATTTTACATTATTCTAATTAGACCATACTTACAATCTTATCACTCTATCAAGCAGCTCCATGTATTTTATAAATTCTTTTTCCCCAAAATTCTGCAACAGAACATCACACAAATATTTGGTGCCAGTAGTCAATGTTTAGTGTGGATTTTTGTGGAGTAAGTAAAAAAAAAAAATTGTGAATAATAAAAGATTTTCTATTAACTATTTATCGCCCCGGGCAGCTATATTTTTTCCTCCTACGGCCGGGCAAAAAGAAATACATACAAAACTGGTTCAAATTTATTATGCTTTAGGCTAAATAGCTTAATAAAATACTAATAATTAAGAGAAATTACACTAATCCCATAAAAACGTAAACAAAACACTACCTCTAATATTATTTCTATAAAAAATTTAAATGCTAAAAAAATTCAACATATTCACTGGAGCTACTTTCTTTTACAATAGTTACATTATAAATAAAGCCCGATTCAATGGCAGAGGCATTTTTATAAAATTTAATTTCCATAATTAAATTTTCCTGTAATTTTGAGAAAAAAAATTCTTAACTTTTGAAAATTCGTAGAAAATGGACCACCAGTGATAGAACAACGAGAAAACAAAGTAAATAAAGCTTATTATTTCCCGCTCCCGTTGGTATCTTCAAAATCTCGTTAACAACTAGACTTCCCCTACTAAGCGTAAATAAACATTTTATATAAAGTAGGGAAACCATGGGTGCACCGGACTGTACCACATAAAATATTTTTTGGGTGACTGTGTAAAGGGTGAAGAAAGTTGATGAACACAGAAAGTTGATGAACAACTTACTGCTGGACTATGTCTTGCATGCAAATACCATGAGGCAAATTTCTCTATGATTGTAGCTTCTTTGTTTCCAGCAGCAGACGGGCACAGGCAGTACAGAAATAGCTGGATTGTCTGCTTGGCTTCACGTCTAGGTACTGATGATTCACTCCAGTGTAGGGTCGTCACTAGTTCAATTAAAATATTTGTGTTTTAATTTTCTGTACCATTTTGTACTAGATACTAAGATTTTTCATATTCCAAAATACTATCTATAGTTGTTTTATATAGCACAACACTTCATGTTTTTAGTTTTAAAAAGTGTATTGTAACTCATAAACATTAGCAATACAGATTTAACTAAAAGTCAAATCTGCCTAAATTCTACAATCGGTGTTCACAAAATTATCTGGGATTTTTAATACAGGCAAAGCTATTGTACCTGCATTTGAAAAGGCATCCAAAGCTTTCATTCTGTAATAATATGTGTTTTCAGCTGTAATATTAATTACAAAAGTTTAGACAAGTTAACAGAAATAATGAAGGGAACAAATTTATTAGAAGAGTAAATACATCAGATTACTGACTTGATGTAGCGGCATTCTGGACCTGCTCAGATAAAAGTGTTGGCTCATAACAAATATTTTCTGTCATTTTCAACTGTTGGTTAATTTTTTCTCTCAGAACCTTAAGGTACAAAATAAAACATCCATTTGAAATGCAATGTTATGGAAAAATGAAGGTAAAAAATTTTAACCAATAAATCTACATACATTACATAAAGTTGCTGCATTTTGGTTTAGGAAGGTTTTGTGTTCTTTTCTAAATTGTGCTTATTTTTTGGGTGTATTTGTAATACCTTTTTTTCTAAAATCAATACTATATTGTTATCTTATTTTTGAAGGTGCTAAAGTCAAACAAACCACTTTAAAAAACTTATTTTACACTTACCAAAGAAATGAATAATTTTACAAACCTTAGGAGCATCAGATCCAATAGTTACATGTGGTTTACGGGCAGACTTCAATGCAAACCTCATAATTTGTCTTTTGGCAAACAAAAATAGTAGCATAAAAACCTGAAAGTAGATTAGTATTGGCTATTAATTATGGAAATTACAAATTCATTAAGGAATATATTTCTACAACTTGGTTTAAAGATTAATTGATTAAGAACTTTAACACATAGAATATCATTTAAAAGTTATTAACTGGAGCAAAACAAAATTTTAAATGTCAGTACAAATTAGATTCTAGTCAGTAAAATAATTGGTCCATAGACTCCACTAATAACATTGTTCAAACATACACAATTGAAAATTGTAATATTGACAGAGTACTATTTCAATACAAAGAATAGACACAGGCATAAATTATAGTTGTAGATAAGATAAAGCACTTTTTAAAAAAAGAATTGGAGCTGCATCAAGTTCTCATGCAGGCATCTCTTCGGTGGGAGGGGTGGCTTAGCCCCCCCCCCCCCCAAACGAAATGGAATTTATATAGAAAATATATACTTTTACTAGTGTCCGCCCCCCCCCCCCCCCCCCCCCCGGAGAAAAAAGTCTGGAAGAAACACTGTCCTCATGACCATGCTAACAATATAACCCCCTTAGAGTTGAAATCTGTGTAATAATTGGATCATAACATAAATATAACCAATGCTTACCAATGCTCCTGAAGCAATGAAAAGTACTACACTGACATGAGAAAATTCTTCCATCATCCTTTAGATCTTTAACCACATCTTCCACCTACATGATGAATAGTGAAGTCAGAACACATTTGTAAACAAAAATTATCACCCTGTCTATTATGAATTTTTCTCAGTGATGGCCAGTGATACATTTTAAAAAGATTACTAGAACCATGCAGACTAATACTAATGTGTTGTTGGATTATTTACAATAATTAAGCCTATATCTATACTATATTTGCCTATTACTATTATATTATAAACAAATATATATTCTCTTACTTTCTTAATAATTCTAATTCAGAGTAGTGATAAGTGTTTGAGAGTACTGTAAAACTGTAGAGACTAGTGTATAGTTTATAGAACTTTATACTTTATAGTAAATAATGTGTAGTGAAGTTCTAATTAACTGGTAGTAGTGTAGTGAAGTGTGTACAGACTAGACTAGGACTAGGTCACTAGCTAGTAAGTTAGTGTACTAGTGTAGCTACAAGTACAAGTTACTAGATTCTAGATCTACAAGAAGCTGTTAATAGTTATGGTAATCTATCATTTTAGGTATGTAAAATCGGAGGAGGCTAGTAATGTGAAAAAGGGTGACTCATTAAATTTTAGTAATTATTTCACATTTCTAGGAGGATTTATGTTTTGAAAGTTAAAAAATGTTTCAAAGTTTCATTAATTAATGTACTAGTACTAGGCTACTTGTTTTTATGCAATTTTATTAAACTTTTTTCAGCAATAGTAGGCCTAAATAAAAAGACTAGCAATGTTTTCATCAGATGCAACCAAGCTCATGTACTTACTTTAGCAGCCATCTTAAGTTTTTTTGGTAAAATTTTAGCCAGAGATTCAGGGGAAACCACTCTTATTTACAGATGGCAGCACCTTTCTAAAATTCTAGTCTTGGCCAATTTACGCACCTCTAAAACGAACATTCAGTAAAACTCCATTTTAGCGTATTTTATTCGCAAATTCAATATTCTAAATTTGGATTTTTCTCAAGTTTTGACAAAAGTAAATTATCAAAATCTAAAACAAAGTCTGTCTCTTTGTTTTTTTATTTATTTGTCAAAACAAAAATATACAATACAAATAAATAAATCGTGTTTTCCTAATGTTATGGTGTGTTTCAGTTATTATAATAAAATACGCTAAACTGGAGGTAAACAAGCAGCTGAGAATAAAATACGCTAAAATGGAGTTTTACCCGATCATTCATAGAAACGAAATATTTGGTAAACTATCGTTTTGGGTACGTAAAACGATTGATTTACTATTTATTACTATGATTTAGATTAGGGTAAAGGAGGGCGTTAAGAGCCGTGTGGTATTAAGCCCCAATCAACACCCCACCCCCACAAAACCCCCAATAATACTGCTAATCTACTTCTGAGGTAACAACCACTGCTGTTCTTTGATAACAGAGAAGCAGAGGATTCATTTTATGTAATTTATGACCCACTTGGTCCAATAGGGAGAGAATGTGACAGGATTTAATCCCACTGCTCTTTCCTTAAAATTTCAGATCTCCATAAAACCATTTTGTGAACTTTTTTTCCAAATAGACATAACTTGGGAAACTTCACTTTGTAATAAACCAAATGAGTTTTTCAAGCCCATTCTTTGTTCCTGTATTAGAGCATTGGTTGTTGTACATTTTAACACTATTTTTATAGCTATGACTAGAATAGTTTTATTTTGGTGAATTTTATTTGCACAGTGATTATTGGTGCCAAAACAAAATGGCCGACATTTGTCCCATTTTACCATGCTATAAAGTTTTTATCATTATCAGAGTAAAACTTGACTGATCATCACCATAATGGTTTTATTTGTTAGATAATAACTAAATCTACATGAATACATTAATATTGTCCACTAGCTTGCCTGTTTAGAAAAGTTATAACAGATACTGTTATGTGGCTCTTGAAACCCTATGTGCAAGTTTCTCATTTATTAGACCACTGAATATGACACTGGTATAGGAATAGTTAACACAAAATGTATTAATTGTTAAACAGACTTGTGTCTAAATGATAGAAATACTATTCTAACCTGCTAAAAAGTAAAAATTCAGTCATCTGATGTTAGCAAGGTAATTTTTAAAATGGTACACGTACTTATTACCCCTAAGGGGCAATACAGCCAACTCAGCCCCCACCTGTTTCTAACCAACCATAAAACTTCTAATCTCTTTGTAGGTAACAGGAATAAATGTTCTTAGGTCTCAGCCAATCTGGGGTGGTATGTTATGTAATTTATGACCCTCATGGTCCAGCAGGGAAGTAAACAGACACATTAATACCACTGCTCCCCCCTTACAATTTCTTACCCCCATGATACCCAGCCCCCACCAGTTTCTGGCCCACTATAAAACTTCATCTCTTTGTAGGTAACATGGATTACAGTTACAGATCTCAGACAATCTGGGGTGGCATGTTATGTAATATATGACCTTCATGGTCTAGCAGGGTGGAGACCAAAGAGGGATCAGTACAACTGCTCTCCCCTCACAATTTCTCACTTCCATGATAGCCAGACCCCACCTGTATCTAACCCACCATAAAACTTCATCTCTTTGTAGGTAACATGGACTAAGTTCTTAGATCTCAGCCAACCAGAGATAGCATCTCCTTATGTAGTTTATGGCCCTCAGGGTCCAGCAAGGAGAACAAAGGGGAAACCAGTACCACTGCTCTCCCCTCAACATTTCTCACCTCCATGTCATGTTATGTAATGTATAGCACACATGGCTTATCAGGGGAAAGCATTAAGGCAGATTAGTTAGTACCAACCCTTTTTACATACAAGAATGTTAACTCTGGACAGCTACACACTAGTATACTAGCTACACACTAGGCATACTAATGTGCCTACTGTAAACTACTAGACTTTAGGCCCTATGTACACCTGCAATTGTATCAATTGTAGACTGGGCCCATTGGGGCCTAGTGATAGCTAGTATCAGTTAAAGTGTGTGTACACAGCATTAACTATTTTGGGGTTAGAAATTAATTATTTTTTATTGCGGAGTTAGTCTAAACTAGGAGATAATACTTATTGCCCCATTGCCCGGCTCCTTTCACCCCAAATGCGGATTTTGGGGGTATGACAATAAATGTTAAATTAAACCCATTTAAAGTATATTTAATAGACTTTGTTATTATTTTTATATTGTGTAAGATATGTTAGAATAATTTTGCCATATTTTCAATTCTAAAAAATTCTTAGATTAGTAGAAATCTTTAAAAATGTACAGGTGCTAAAAAGTGTGGCTCTTAACGCCCTCCTTTACCCTACCAAATATTTACATTATTTTACATATTGGAATTGTTGTTACTTTACACTACACTATCTTTTATAGATCTAAATAGAGTCGTAGACTTGACCACAGGCAGTAGTCACGTCGATCTCTGATCTTAGTCATTAGTTAGTGAATTTCAGAATTAGTGATTAGTTGATTAGTGGCTCTGCGGCTGCTGTACGAGTCAGAGTCAGTGTCGGTAGACTTGGGTACTGGGTAGAGTAGACAGGTAATCTATCGTTTTGGGTACGTAAAATCGCCCGCGGCTATTTATGTACGAAAACGTTACCTCATTGTCAAGGCTTTAATAGAAGTATATTGTCATACTTTTGTGTAAAATATTATAGATAAATGAATAATAAACCTAAATCAATGGCTAAATATATCGATATAGGCCAGAAATTAACTTTAAACAGCAGTGTCTGAGAGCAAGATTTGCTATATAAACAGCAGCCATTTGTAAAATAGAGTGGCTTCCCCCTGAATCTGGCGCTAAAAGCTTATAAAAATAAAACTTAGACAAGATGGCTGCTATAGTAAATGAGCATGGTTGCATCTGTTGGAAACATCGCTAGTCTTCATTTATTACGGAAAAGTTTTAATTCAATTGTTTAAAAACAGGTACATAAATGAATCAAGGAAACATTTTTGAATTTTTTAAAACATAAATCCTCCTCAAAATGTGAAATAATTATTAAAATGTAAGGAGTCACCTGTTTTTCACATTACAAATCGCGGGCGATTTTACGTACCCAAAACGATAGATTACCAGTAGACAAGATCCTTGCATTTTAATAAGTTCTAATGTATTTTAATGTAATGAATGATACCTGATTTATTTTAAAAGAACCATATCACTAGTTCATCTTTATTAAAAAAATAAAGGCCTATCAATAATTCATTAATATTTGAATAAATAAGGAGTGTCTTGAAATACTTGGACATAATGTTTTGATTCTAAGTTTCTTTTCATAATTAAATCCGATTTGATGTTTATAGTAACTGTTTTTTTACTTCCGGTGACAATATTTTGTACTAGTCTAATGTACAAAAACTTACATATCGTTAAAGCACATATATATATGTATATATATAGGCCTAAGATAAAAGATTTTTTAAATTTAATTTATCATGGTTTAAGGTTTTTCTTATAAAATTATGTGTGTATTCTCTTAGTCTCAAATGCTGTTGATATGGCGAATTGTAGGCGTCTTGCAATATTCCATCAAAAACTGAAGCATTAGTTGAATCCAGTTTGTATCCTTAAATTTGTGTTTTGTTGTATTTTTAAAACCTTACAGTAGTTTTTTTTTAAATATTAACTCCGGATTTAACCTACCTTTTCCTAACATCGCCGATAGTGAAAATGTCTGTAGGTACTTTTTAAATTCCATTGCCAAGAGTTCATTTTTCTTAAACACATTAAATGAATTTAAAAAAAAACAGCGCCAAGGATGTTTAATTTTACCGTAATTTTATTTAGGCCTACTCCGTAACTTTATGACAAAAAAAGTTTTAGAATTATTATTACCGTCATGAGTAACAGCAACGACTGAAATCAAGATAATCTATAGGGCTGGTAAGTAGGTCACCAACTAGTTCTACGGCTCAATAAAACCTGCATGAGCCATAGAACTGGTTGGTGGCCTACTTACCAGCCCTTATAGGAATGGTGAAGCCACATGAACAAGACGTAAATACTGAATGTAAAGCTTTAAAAGAAAGAACACTTCTACACAACAACATACAAAACGTAGTCGACCAAACTAACTTAACAGTACATTTTACTATTAAGTGTATAAAACGTGTAGGTAAATGAATGCAATTTAATATGTTGTAAAATAACACCAAATGAAATGCATAAAAAATTGTTTTATTTCAAATTTAAAAGTACATAGAATAACAAAAACATATAAGTATAATGTTTACAAACAAAATAGTCGGGTATTAATTATTATTACAATGTGAAAATCACGTGCCATGTTCTCCATTAATGAAAATGTAAATCATTCCTGATAATTTATGTTTTAACGAGCAAATGAAACTGTAATAAATAGGCCTAGCCTAGATCTATATGGTTTAAAATGAGTTGCATATAAATGTTCCATCTTTAAACACATGAATTAACATATATACAATTTATTGTATGTAGTAATTTTGTTAGGCTACTTAACTAGAAATAAGAATTAGTTTTTATGAAGGATATTAACCTATGTATAGCATACTAAACCTGCATATAGTTTTGTTATAACAACTGAAATGATTTGAAGTTAACCGTGTGAGATGAATATGACGCTTCCCGAGGCTAATCCAGCTACTGTTGTGTGTCCGTAGTTGCCGCCCTTGTTGCGCTCTTTTCTACGTCATCTATCGTCTGCGGGAGGGGGTGGTTGTGGGTTTCTGGAAGAAGCAACACCAGCCCGCACCCAAGAATAGTCATGCCTCCAAAGATCCCCAGTGGTAAATTATTGAGACTGTTATTCTAGATATCAGAGATCAGTGCATAGAGGGTTAACGTACACAAAAACATCGAACATTTTAGAAAGTGTGACGACACACTTTAGCATTTAAAAAATAATGTTAAAAACCGAATTTTAGCCGTTATTTTGTGTGATTTTTGTATGCTTTGACTAAGCTCAGTAAATATTTTAGAAAGAAACTGTTGTTTCATTTTTTTATTGGGGAATTTTGAGGGCGGGAGTTAAAGGCTGAGCTGTGACGTCTTTTTAGGGGTGGGAATTAGGCTTTTTGTGACAATGGGGAGGGGAGAGGTCTCATATGCCGAGGTCACTGAAACAGGCGAACTCTACTTTACCTGCCACTTGGACGTAAGGTTCGAAAGGGTACTTGGGGTCATACATAAATGATGTCACTCTTTTTTTGACAATTTTTACCCCCCCCCCCCCCACCCCCCGTCACACATCGTCACAAAAAGCCAGACCCCCCCCCCCCCTAAAATGACGTCACACCTCAACCTACAACCCCCCTCAAAATTGCAGTTGAATCGATATTTTTCCAAATCTTGTCTGAACTATGTCAAAATAGAGTATTTTAATCAATTCCTATTACAATTTATCAAAACAGTTTTCTAAAACGCGAAATAACGGCTAAAATTCGTTTTCTAATGTTGCTTCTTTATAATGCAAAAGTGTGACGCCACAACATCTGAATCCCCCCTCCCCCTCATCACATAACGTCACAAAATTACGGACCCCCCCCCCCCCTCCCCTCTACGAGTTTGACGTTATTTATGGACGATCCCTTTGACCTTTGTTCAAATACATGACAAAATTAATCCAGTTTACAATGCTCAACAGTATGGGAAACGTTTGGGTTATCTGAGGACTCTGATAAAACTTACCACATATACCATATTGGGGGCGGCTATGTTGCCGATAAAACTTACCACATATACCATATTGGGGGCGGCTATGCTGCCGATGTTTTCAAAAAATGATGATGCTCCGACTGCTTGGTTTCTGATGTTTAGAAGAAATGATATCTGCTTAGCGACTTAAATAACTTCAATCTGACGTTATTAAATGACAAGAATTATTTTTTTAATGGGACGGCGCGGTTTAGCGAGAGAGCACTAGACTGCTAGCCTGAAAGTTTCGAGTTCGAATCCGGGTTCAAGTCAGTAGACGGTCCCTGAGTCAAGCCAACTCTGATGGGTATCTAACTCACGTTAGGAAAAGTAAAGACGACCGAGTTTAATGCTGACCACAGCATCCCTTTCAAATGCCGAAATCACACAAAAAAATGGTATCTCTACTTCACTTGCCCCATGGACCGTCAGGTTTGAAAAGGGAACTTTACTTTTTTAATTTAACAAAAAACAAAAACAAACAGGTCTATCCGGGAAGCCTACCTGATGACGGTGGGAAACACCTCAGAAGCGTACAGGTAGATGGCGGAGTAGGACCCGGTGATGCCGAACTTCCCAATGATCACCAAAGCCGTTTTCAGTTTCTTCAGGTCAGTACCGTCAGCTGCTCGCAACATTTGGAGGAAAATGTTGGGCTATCAATAATTTAACTTGTCTTTTGCTTGTTTGTAATTTTTACAGTTCTCTTTAAATAATAAGTATAGGTTGTATTTGTAAACTCGTGGCTGGATCTCGTGAAAAACATTGAACCCTACCGCACACTTATATATATATATATATATATATATATATATATATATATATATATATATATATATATATATATATATATATATATATATATATCCCTCCCCCTCCCTCTAACGATAAAAACATGACTAGATCTACCTATGATTGGACGTCTCAAAAATGAGTGTTGAACAGAGTTTGTAAGAAAGTCTACCGCCAACAGTAACAGTTTTTAGATAAAAATTTAGAATTTTTATTAATCAATGTCTTGTCTTGTGCCAGTTCTTAGGGTTTAAATTACTCTACAGATTGTGTTTCAAAGATTTTATTTTCTAAAAAAAAAGTGACCCACTAACCTGATTCATCGGGTATAAAAATAACCGCCAGGTTTGTAACGGCACAAATAAACAAAAATATGCTAATGGACCGCCGTCGGCCGATACTGAAATAAAATAAAAGTTTATTGAGAAAACTTTGCAACATATTGAATTTATAAATTTTAGTTTAGTTCAGTTTGAAACTTTAGAAATTAAAAAAAAAAATGTGTTACCAATGTAAAAGGACTCACATTTTGTTGGAGAAGATACAGATGATGTAGGCGGGAATCTCCACAACGCCGAGAAGGAAGAGGTTGAAGAAACGATCACCGTTCAGCTCAGGTGTGCTGTACATGATGCCAAAATATGCCAGGGCATTTACCAGACTGGGGATAAAATTGTGTACATGATGCCGAAATATGCCAGGGCATTTACCAGACTGGGGATAAAATTGTGTACATGATGCCAAAATATGCCAGGGCATTTACCAGACTGGGGGAGAAATTGTGAACATGATGCCAAAATATGCCAGGGCATTTTTATCTTGTGACTATTTATAAATGACGTCACACAACTAGGGGAACTGAGACTCAGAACGGATATCAGGGGGTATTTAAAATTTGTCAAAGAGGAAAAAGAATAAAAACACATTCATGTATGAGTGAGAGGGGCAACGACTGTGATGTCAGTTTTGGAGGAGGGGTAGTGTTCTGGCATTTTGTGACCATACTTGACCTCTGAGGCGTATTCAGGTTTTCGGGCTAGGGGGAGTGGCGGGTCAAGAAATAGGCGCCATGTATATATATATATATATATATATATATATATATATATATATATATATATATATATATATATATATATATATATATATATAGTGATGATGCGCCCTGCGTAAGCTACTGCTTGCCCTAATTAATGGATCGTACAGGTGTAAAGGAAAATAAAGTAACATAGTAAAACGTTATTTAGGGACCGCCCTTTACGTCATTAACCTTAACAGCTCACACAAAATAAATAATTGGTGTTTTAAACTAGGTTTACACCGTTACTGTAACGTAAACAACTCACAAAATAAAACATGTGATTTAGACTAGGTTTACACCGTTACTGTAACGTAAACAACTCACAAAATAAAACATGTGATTTAGACTAGGTTTACACCGGTACTGTAACGTAAACAACTCACAATAAATAAAACATGATCAATGAATGGATCCTCAGTCTGGGTGTTTTAAACAAAGTTAACACCGTATACACGGCTTGATCTGTGGCTTGATCTGCTTGACTCCCCGTATGGTGGACTTTTTCCTTTTCTATTTGTATTTCGTTGTCATGCGCGGGCTTCTTCATGGCGTCAGTTCCGTTCTCAGTTGTGTTAGAGAAAGCTGGGTTTGTTTGTTCCCGGGAGAGTTTGCTGGCTGGTTCCCTGGGAGAAGAATCATAAATGGCCAGGTTTATATTTAACACGGTATTACACTGTTAAATATACATTGTACAGCATGTGATAAGTTTTACAATGGTAACATATGGTAGATCTCGTATCCAGATTTTCTTCCAGGCATCTCTTCGGGGGGGGGGGGGGGGGGGGACTCCGCCCCCCCCCCCCCCCGAAGAAAGTCTACCGCCCCCACCCCCGAAGAAACACTGCTCGTATCTCATAGTAAACTAAAAGTTCCCTTTTCAAGCATGACTCTCCATGGGCAAGTGAAGTAGAGTTCACTTGTTTCTGTGACCTCGGTATATGAAGGGATGGTGTGGTCAGCACAGCCGCCTTTACTTTCATTAATTAATGTATCAAAAATATTTTTGAAAATATTTTTTTTTACAAAAAAAAAAGAAAAACACTGGAAGGTGTCCATTAGTGCATGAATAAAATATGTTGAGACTTCTGAATAGGCACTACCATACGTCTAGTAAAAGTCTAGTTCCTCCCAACAGACTAAACGTGCTTATACTGTAGAAAACAATCAGCTTCACTTGTGAGCGATTTCTCTGTAATCTAAGATATTGAAAGAAAAAAACAACCCACGTACTTTGATTTCTCCCGTTTAAATTTGGCAAGTTTATTCTGGAGGTCTGGTACAGCGGGCAGTCTGTTGATTCTGGTGAACTTGTTGATGACAGACTCGGCCTCGCTCACTTTACCCTTAGCCAGGAGCCAGGGCAGGGAGTTGGGGATGATGCTGGGGATAGGAATGTATCAGAACCATGTTGGTATGGTTATATGAATGGGGAGTCCATGTGTGACGTCACGCTTTTTTGCCGATTAACCCACGCCGTCCACCCCCTTCACAAAAAGTCAGACCTAAAAGAATATGACGGCCTATCCTACCCCTTAATTGCATCTTTCCCTTTTTAACAGCAATTTTATTCTAAAAAGTTAGCTTGGTCTAGAGCAGTGACTCTTAGAATTAAGTGTAAAAAACTGATTTTTCAAAATGATTTACTTTTATCAGTGTCTAAACTAATATCTTTACAAAAAATATATTTTAAGTAAAGCCTTAATTAATTTAATTATAAGTAAAATAGTAACGCCTTTAAAGACTTGTGAAAAATTCATGCTAACAAAAAACTATTAAGGACAGTATAAAACATTAGCCAAATATCTAAAATATTGATCAGCGCTTCCGTGATTAAGCGAGATGATGCAGGTTCTAATCCATATCAGATTGCAAAGAAATTAGCGTCCAAAATACTTACAAAATATACGCCAGTGACAGGATGTTAAACGGGAGAGCGATGGTCAGTTCCAGATCCTCCCACCTGGGGATGAGGTAGCCGAGCAGTGCCATGCTCATGATGCCCACTGCCCAGAAAAACTGCATGGCGATGGTGGGCACTGCCCTGTGGGTGGCATCGAAGGTCTCCGACATGAGGACAAACACACAAAGGGCCACGGTCTAGGTGAGAGATGGTGAATGGCAGTGTGAAAGTAAGTTTATCACGTCTACCATGTTATTAGACTTACCCAATTTACCCTGTTACACATACCATTTAGTGTTACACAGATACCCCCCCCCCCTTTGACCATGAACACAGACTTCCACCATTAATTATGGGCGTAAGAATTACCCCAATTATAAACAGACTTATACAGACTTACCCCACTTAGAATGTTACACAAACCTACACCCGCTTATCATATTACACAGAATTACCCCATTTACCACCTACGATAGACATAGCCACTTACCATATTACACACTTACCCCACTTACCATAAACACAGACTTACTCCCCACTTACCATGTTACACAAACTTACCCCACTTACCATGTTACACAGACTTACCCCATTTACCATGTTACACTGACTTACCCCACTTACCATATCACACAAACATACCCCACTTACCATCTACAACAGACTTACCCCACTTACCATGTTACACAGACTTACCCCACTTACCATGTTACACAGACTTACCCCACTTACCATTTAACACAAACTTACCCCATTTACCATATTACACAGACTTACCCCAATTACCATATTACACAGACTTACCCCACTTACCATATTACACAGACTTACCCCACTTACCTTCTACAACACACTTACCCCACTTATCACATTACACAAACTTACCCCACTTACCATATTACACAAACTTACCCCACTTACCATGTTACACAAACTTACCCACTTATCACATTACACAAACTTACCCCATTTACTATTGTTACACAGACTTACCCCACTTACCATGTTACACATACCAATAAAGAACTTGAAGACACAGAAGACAACGATGTTCCCGGCCCAGATGAGACAGGTAGCGAAGACAGCCTGTACCCACAGACACACGAGCATGACCGTCTTGGAGCCGAACCTGTCAGCCAGGGGGGTGAGGAAGATGACCCCACAGGTTGTCCCGACCATGTACAGGGTTGTGGTCAGCCCGTTTTGGTAGGTGTGGTCACACACCAGATCAAACTACATCAGAGGGATATGAAGTTCCTATTACTATATATATATATATATATATATATATATATATATATATATATATATATATATATATATATATATATATATATATATATATATAATTCTCTTCTTTGAGACGCTAGAAAACAAGCTGTAAGCGCGCTCCCTACCACCCCACCCCTACATGGTCTGGTGAGCTGTGGTTCACGCTAAATGTTTACATTCGTAGAGCCGGGTTTAGTGACGGCTATTAGGGGCAGATAATTTAGTTTGAAACGATTTTAAACTTAGGGGAGGTAACTAAGAGGTGGCTGCTTTCACGGGGGGCGGGGGGTGTAGGGTAGGGGTTGGGAGAAAGGAGGGTGGGGGTAGTATCGTCCTTAACGACCTACTGATAGTGTTTTAAAGCAAATATTTTCAGTGGTAGCATTGGTACTGTCGAATTCACAAATAATGAACTACTGAAAAGTAGAAAATAAAACAACTAAATAGCTGCGTATGATATGCCGCGGGTCGGCTCGTTGTGATTATTATTGTTATTGCTGTTGTTGTTTTTGTTGTTTTTGTTGTTTTTGTTGTTGTTCTTGCTGTTGCTATAGCTATTGTAATCGTTATTGTTATAGTTATTATTTTTTAAAGATGTGCCATAAATCATATACATCATAAAGATACCAACAAATGATTGTAATAGCTATGAAAGATGTAGGTCCTGAGCTATCCTATGGTATCCAGGTGCCCTCTGAATTATTATTATCCAAAGTACTATACTAAGGATTAATTCTGCCAACTAGCTGGATGGTAGAGTGTGTGGTCGCTAACCCGAATATATAGAGTTCGAATCCTGAGTCCTTTGGACGTCCCAGAGTTCATCCATCTCTGACGAATACCTGACGTACCGTACGTCAGGGAAAGTAAAAACATCTGGGCATAATGCTGACCACACCTTCATATACAAAGGACACAGAAACAGATGAACTCTACTTTATCTGCAACATGGACCGTCAGGTTCGAGAGGGTAATCTTTTAAAAAGATATTAAAACAAAATAATTTCAATCGCCTTTTTTTGTTGGACTAATTGATATTAGTAATTCGTAGTGTAATAGTGCCGTGGGGGAGGGGGGGGGAAGTACCGGCTACTTTGTCCAGTAACAACACTGGACACAGACTGACCTGAGAAACAATGGATGTGTAGGATGTCCAGAGACCTATGGACACACAGACTGACCTGAGAAACAATGGATGTGTAGGGCGAGTCCCACATGTAGACCCAACCGTTCGTGCACGCGGTGGTGGCGTTGCTGACCGACTTGTTGACGTACTGCTCGCACGTGCTGTAGACCACAGCGCCATCTTGTAGGTCCCAGGGGACAGAATCGTTCAGGCCGAGTCCCGGGGCAGCTTGACAGTGGTAGGCGGGCTCCCACGTCTGGTGGCATGCAAACAATAAGTGTGTCACGGCATGAAACGGGGAGCTACAACAGAGTTGGTGTCGTCTAGTGGTTTGTTTGAACTGAACTTCTCATACCACCCCGCCCGGCACCAGGTTTTACGAGACGCCGAGGAAGGAAGCAGTTTATGCCCGTATAATGTTGGCTACCCATTTGAGCTGAGCTGGTTAACTAATGGTTTATCAAAATTTGATGCCACTCTATCCCTCCCCCTTCCTTGAAATACCATACGTTTTAAAAAAATAAATAAGTAAATTACTTTTCGACACATGATCTTCCTCTAATAAACAAAATAGTCATTATTTCTGGTTTCAACCAGTTTCCCAACTGGTGATGTAAGCCCAAGTCTGACCTGATATATCTTACAGATCTTACACAAAGTCTGACCTGATATATGGGTATCCCCACATGCCAACACCAAGTCTGACCTGATATATGGGTACAAACACGCCAACACCAAATCTGACCTGATATATGGGTATCCCCACATGCCAACACCAAGTCTGACCTGATATATGGGTACAGACATGCCAACCCCAAGTCTGACCTGATATATGGGTACAAACACGCCAACACCAAATCTGACCTGATATATGGGTATCCCCACATGCCAACCCCAAGTCTGACCTGATATATGGGTATCCACACATGCCAACCACCCCTCATGTAGGTCAGACTCAGCAAAAAGAAGACCAGGATCTGGTAGCGCCCGTAGCCGCCCAGATGTTGCTGGAGCTCGTCAACGGCGTCTGCGCTAGATTCGCCAGAGTTACCCTCCCCTGGTGGCGCCTCTGCCGGGGTTTCATCAGGGCTGGGTGGAGCTCCAGTGTCGTAGGAGACGTTTTCTTTGGTAGGGGTATGTAGCTGCTGGAATAAAACAACAGCAGGGTTAGGGATGGTCAAAACAATTCATTTATATGGTAAGGGATAACTTTATCTAAAGTATTGTGGTCATACCAGTACGATTCGTCAAAAGTTCATATTGGGAAAAAACAGCGACAGTTTACGTTTTTTTCCCATGTTGGTATTGATGTTAGGGTCATAGTTATGATTATAACTAATGCTACGGCCAGGAAGATGATTGGTAATATTAAATACAGCTACTTCTGGGATTAGAATAATCATTTTGAATAATAAAGCATCAAAAATGTCCAGTTGATGTCCAGATTATAAGTACCATACTAATTAAACGTGTATAAATAAATACATATAAAAGATACCTGCTGCCGCATAAAATAGAGCCAGTATATCGGCTACCTAAACAATACTAGACTCTAAGATGCGATGGTGTATGTAATCTGATGCACTTTTTAAAAACGATTGGTGTGAAAATATTTCAACTATTAAAAGTTTAGTTATGAGTGTATTCAAGAGTATGATTTCAGAGTGTTTCTAAATGGAAATTAAAAATGCAAATTTAAAAAGATGAGTTTCAATATCGAATTTAAAAATTGTTCTACGCGACATTAGGTAGGAAACGTCTATGTAATCATACTAAATTTTAGAAAAAAATTAAATATAGGAAGCGATAAAATTATAGATAGATTAAAAAAATTAAAGCCGTTTGAGAACAATCGATTACATTCATTTTCATATTTTTGTATTGAAAATAAGCCGCTAAAATAGTTTTAGAATTATTTTATCAATTCAATTTTTTTTTTAAATATTTGATTTTTTAGAATAATTTTTATCAGTAATTAGAATTTATTTTAAAATAATAACAAAAACGTTTTAATAAACACATTATATTAAATGCTGCACTAAAAAGAATAAAAAGTTTTTAAATAGAATCGCTTAGCAAAAAGATTTTGCGCACCAGATGAACGCAAAAATGTGTATATAATAGCACGGAAAATTAGTACCTTATATAGGAAAATTTGATTAATTAAAAAAAATTAATATAACATTTTGTTATGTCAAAAAGGATGTCATATAGCATTTTCATCGGGTTTTTACCCACGTGCCAAGTTTAAAAGAAATCGGTCCTTTAAAAGTGATCGAAATTTCGAACGCCCGTTTCAACCAGTGACAAAAGCATGACTTAGAAAGCAATTAGTTAAATACAAGCTTGTAAAAGTATAACGAATTATGCTTTATGATTGTATCAACACAAACTTCAGAAAATACAATATTAAATCAGTATTTAAAATGCAACAAACATTATTTGGATCACGCATCCTTCACGTCACAAAATGAAATGATATAAAATCCTAAATATAACTTTCATCTAAATATTACCACCACCCACCCACCCCTCAGAAAAAAATAAAATAAAATAAAACCACATGTGTTTACCGTAGTAAAACTATGTTTTGTTTAGTACGACATAAGTTCAACAACAAAATAAAAGCGTACTAAGCCTAAGCTTGTATTGTTGGCACACATCAGAGCTCAAGTCAAAACACAAAACTGACAGGGTTATTATTTTTATCAACAGCACTCAACCTGTGTAGAATTTACAAAGCTTGTGTTTTTTTTTTATTTCTCAATTGCCGATTGCGTACGTTATCAAAACTCATGTCGTTTTAGGCATAAAAGCAACCTTTATTGATCAAATTATGTTTAAATTCTACCAACATATACAAAGCTTTTTTAAATTATCTATTTATTTGTTATTGCGCGCAGGGGCGTAGAGAAAAAAAAAATTGTATAGATGTGAGTATGTTAGTTCTCAGTATATTGTTAAATCGGGAACATGGAAAAATGCAAGCTTTCAATGTAGAGAACAGAACCAACAACAACCATGAAAAATAATGTAAACAAGTATTTTTAGGCCCATACAGGTCGAATCTGCGCTGATTGTGTATGTTAGGTACTTCTGCGTGGTGATACTTCATTGGTGATAGCCGAGTTTCTTTCAAGCACCTGTGTCCGACTAACCCCCCCCCCCCCCCCCGTCCCCGAAAATTCTAGTGCGCTCCCGATGTCCCTGCGAGAGTTTCTTCCAGACATCCGATGAACGTCTACCCCCAGAACGAAATAGAATTTAAATAGAAAATATATACTTTATATATTATTATATACTTTATCCGCCCCGCCCCCTGCCCGGAAAACGTAGTCCGCTCCCCCCCCGCCCCCCCCCCCTCAGGAGAAAAAAAATCTGAAAGAAACACTGGTCCCTGCTACCCATTCCACCATTGAATGTAGACTTAAGTCTTCCTGGTGTAGAAGGCAAAGGTTAAACAACATGTTTACGATCTTAATCCGTGTCTTTTTATATCACAAGCAGTTAACGGGTTTATCAAACTACTGCTACGTTGAATTAACCGTATCTATTATTTAAAACTTCAATATGAGGAAAGACTTTGTTTTTCTTTTTGTTAACTAAAAACTGAACTTCAAACTTCATGCTGTTTGCGTTTCAATGCATGGAAAAATATACGACATTATACTATACAGTCTCGACAAAATAGAAAATCTGGTTTTAAAACGCGATGAACGCGTTTTACATAAAACGTATGTAAGGACAGTTCTTCATGATTGTTTCTGTTTTTGGCAACAGAAATCCTGCGCCTTTCTTAGAGTTTGGATCTTTGGGGTATTCAAGAAGAAATATTCTATATTTAGCTGACTTAAATCGTTATTTAAATTTTTTAACCTTCTACAAATAAACAGAAATGGCGACGTGCCTTCCATCTATATTAAGATAGGCCTCTAGTTCTCACGTCTGACATTTGTCTGTAGTCAGTAAATACTCGGGCAGTAGATCTTGGGCCGGAGTTCCTGTCATGACACAGTACCCCCATTTTTGTGTGTTAGTATACCATCGTTCGTCGACTTTTGTTTTTGTATAGGTCTTTTTCGTTTTTCGTTGACTTTTTACTCTCGAAAAAAATGTGTTTCATTTGTCGTTTTTTAATTTTCGTCGATATTTTCCGCGCATTTTCAGTTTTTGTTGATTGTCTCGGATTTCGTGTTCAGAATATTTCGTTTGACTTGAGTTTTAGCAATGTTGCATTAAGTGAGATCTAAATAAACATGTGAACGTATGAAAGACTTTAGCCTATAAGATAAGGTCTGACATGAAGTGACAGCAAGACTGTAATTTTTGCCGGGAAGAAATTGTGATCAGTCTCTGTGCATGTTAGGTTTGGCTGGCGATCGCCCTAACGACGATCCACATGTGGTTTAGCTAGTTGTGGTTGGGGCAAGGTCGTGTGGAGAGATAACGATGTGGTGAAGTGGTTGGGTGACTGGTGTGAAGAAGTCACATCAAAAGGGTGGCGAGACTTTTACGTACAAGCTCAACAGACGTAAGGAACGGAGAGGTTGTATCCTGCAGATCTTCTCCATTTGGAGTAAGGTACAACGCGAGATTTGAGGTGAAAATAACATCAACAAAAGTAACTGCACTTTGTGACTTCATAAATATATGGCCTATTAGTATGCCCTGCGTCTGTATGCGGATGCTTAAGTGTATGTAGGCGAGTGTATGTCTACGATTATGTAACATGTAAGCTTATACGTTAGTAACATGTATGTGTGTTTGTGTATGTACATACCAAAATTTGATTAAATATGGCATTAGATACGTATTTGTGAAGAGATCATAAATGTATATTATCCATCTTTGGGGTCGTACATAAATGACGTCACACTCGTAGGGGGGTCCGTAATTTTGTGACGGTGTGTGATGGGGGGGGGGGGGGAGGTGGAGGGGGTTCAGATGGTGCGACGCCACACTTTTGCATTATAAAAAGCAATGTTAGAATTTTAGGCGTTATTTCGCGTTTTAGAAAAACTGTTTTAATAAATTGTAATAGGAATTTTTCAAAATACTCTATTTTCACAGAGTTCAGACAAGATTTTGGAAAAATATCGATGTTTAAAAAAAATTCAACTGCAATTTTGAGGGTCGTTGTAGGCTGAGGTGTGACGCCATTTTAGGGGGGGGGGGGTCTGGCTTTTTGTGACGATGTGTGACGGAGGGGAGGGGGAGGTAAAAATCGTCCAAAAAAGCGTGACGTCATTTATGGATGACCCCTTTACCACAGTTCCCCTCCCCACCCTCCGATTCTAGAGGGCTGTTATCTTGTTTGGTTAAATGACATAGTTCTAACACAACCTACATGCAGGGTCTATCAGTCCTTTAGGACGTTCCCCCCGTCTATTTATTTCGGGCAAGGTTCACCGGCTGGTGTTAAAAACTGAAGTCTAAACATGTCTTGTGGTGGACGGCTCAATATGATAGGACTTCATGCGGTCCGGTCAATGCTATCGCCTACTTTAAATGGATATCGACTAGGGAAAAAAACTGTATGCCGCTCAAAGGCGTCGCGAGGCGGGAAGGGGGCGGACCTATTAAATAAAAAAAAATTCAATACAAGTCATGATCACAAAGTTATCGTTGTTTAAATAACTCTATCAAGCGCCATGGCGCACAATTTGGCGTCTTTATTGTATATCCAACTAGAGAAATTTTTCTTATTCTTGTATTATAGTTTGTTGGTTTCGATCACTAAGATGAATAAACCGGGAGTGATCTCCCCTAAACTTTCTCGAATATTCATATATAAAATAACAGGGGATGAGAACTCGGGCTATAGGCATGATTTTTAATCTATTTTAAATACTTAAAGTTTTAAAAATAGAATAAAATCTCGTAGACAAAAGAATTGCACACCAAGTGAACGCCAAATAAAAAAGTGCATAATAGTGCGCAATATTATTAGTACTTTACTTTATTAGTAATTTACATTAGTTTTTTGAGAAATCGGAAATAGCGTAAATTACTACTTCCGGTCAACGGAAATTTCTCAAAATTTGACAGAAGGTAGAGAATTAGATTTTTTACTTACATGTGAAATTTCATGTATCTATCTGAAATAGTACTCAAGTTATAGGCTTTTGAAAAATTCAAAGTAGGAAAAGTACCACTTCCGGTTATCGGAAATCGCTCAAAAGTTGATACGGATCTACGATTTTGATAAAATACTGATATATGAAATTTCATCAACCTAGCTGTAACGGTACTCAAGTAATCGTGTTTACACACGGACAGACACACACAGACAGACAGACAGACACCTTCGTATATACGCGAAAGTAAAAATGCGCGTATATTATGTGAAGAAAAATAACACCTACCTCTCCGATACTGTTGTAGGCTATGTTAATTATCCCATTCTTTCTTTCTAAAGTCGTCATCTTTTTTCTTGAAATACGATATCTTTATCGTTTACGTAAGTCATTAAGTGTATACCAGGTAATGATAGAAGAGATGAGTCTCGTAGACTAGTCCCTAAGGTGATACAGTCAGTTGATACAGTCCCTCAAGTGATACAATCCCTCAGGGTATACAGTCCCTCAGGTGATACAGTCCCTCAGTTGATACAGTCCCTTAGGTGATACAGTCCCTCAGGTGATACAGTCCCTCAGGTGATACAGTCCCTCAGGTGATACAGTCCCTCAGGTGATACAGTCCCTCAGGTGATACAGTCCCTCAGGAGATACAGTCCCTCAGATAATAAGTCCCTCAGTTGAATAATCCCTCGGATGATACAGTCCCTCAGTTGATACAGTCCCTCAGGTGATACAGTCCCTCAGGTGATACAGTCCCTCAGGTGATACAGTCCCTCAGGTGATACAGTCCCTCAGGTGATACAGTCCCTCAGGAGATACAGTCCCTCAGGTGATACAGTCCCTCAGGAGATACAGTCCCTCAGGTGATACAGTCCCTCAGGTGATACAGTCCCTCAGTTGATACAGTCCCTCAGGTGATACAGTCCCTCAGGTGATACAGTCCCTCAGGTGATACAGTCCCTCAGGAGATACAGTCCCTCAGATAATAAGTCCCTCAGTTGAATAATCCCTCGGATGATACAGTCCCTCAGTTGATACAGTCCCTCAGGTGATACAGTCCCTCAGGTGATACAGTCCCTCAGGTGATACAGTCCCTCAGGTGATACAGTCCCTCAGGTGATACAGTCCCTCAGGAGATACAGTCCCTCAGGTGATACAGTCCCTCAGGTGATACAGTCCCTCAGGTGATACAGTCCCTCAGGTGATACAGTCCCTCAAGTGATACAGTCCCTCAGGAGATACAGTCCCTCAGATAATAAGTCCCTCAGTTGAATAATCCCTCAGGTGATACAGTCCCTCAGGTGATACAGTCCGTAGACCAGGTGTAATAAGATCAGGTAAGACCAGACGTGAACCAAACTACGAGTCCCCTCTCCACTCACTCTGCCAGCCACACCGCCGTATTTTGGCCTACCAATCACGGCTTTTATTACTGATCTGTTTTTTACTGCCTTTATTTATTGTAGGACTGAGTTCCCGAGTACCTACACTGATAACCCGTAAAGCTATTGTGTCTTGATCCCTGCAGTTTTCTTCGTGTCAATTAGAACTTTTTAATTCGTAGTTTGAGTTGGTATTAGTTATTTTCAGGACAAAAAAAATCCCTCAAATTTTCGTATGAATTTCTTTTTATTCTTTTATTTTCGAACGACGCATGTTTTGATAATAAATCTAGACCACCAGCGAAATTTACAAACATCATGATCTTGTCAGCAAGAACTAACCCTGAATACATCCATAGCGCTGACGCATATTTTCAACACAATCAGGCAGAAACACACACAAATTATCACTTTAAAAACACGTAATGAACTACGTCTTTCTGACGAGAAAGAAAAAAACTTCATTAAACAGCCCACAGTCCTAAACTACTGTTTAATGTCTGCTCTGATCAACAGGTAGATTTGTGTTAAGGCGACTTCTGTTGACACTGTGGATAAGTCAAGGTCAGGTAGCGCGGATGTTGGCGAATCAAATTGTATTTCACGGTAAATATGTTGAGGTGTAATGTGAATACTCTCACTAATCATTGTCTTTACATGTCAGAGCGAAACTTATTGTTTAAATCTGATAACACAAAAATAAACTTAGAACTAGTATTTACTAAATCTTAAATTTAAGATTTTTCATCGAAATGCATTCATAGGAATAAAACAAATAATGTAATAGAGTATTTTGTATTTGAATTTATTTATTAATAATATAGCCTACTCTTCAATGAGTAATACCTTTAAAAGGGGATGGTGTGGTCGAATAGTAGAGCGTTCGTCTGTTAACCTGAATGTCTCGAGTTCGGGTCCCTGACTAGAGTCGTACCACGTACATTGAGTCCACTCAACTTTTATCACTCAACTTTTATGGGTACCTAACTCCTGCTAGGAAAAGAAAAAGCGGCTGGGCATAGTGCTGACCTTTACAGACATGACGAGGTCACAGAAACGTGAACTCTACTTCACCTGCAACGTGGGCCGTCAGGTTCGAAAAAAAATTATACACACATTTATTCAGCTAGGTCGAAAAAATATATGAATAAAATAATTAGGTAGCCAATAAAATCTATTATCTGCTATCAAAGTAGTAGCTGCAGTAAAATTAAACATTTCCTAATGTTTAGATCTTACCAAAAAAAAAACTGCTGTTACAAGCAAATCTGAAATAGATCTGGTTTGGCTATTGTGATACGGTATGCATAGAACCGGTTTTCTTTGTTTGAAGGCTGATGCTAGTTTTATGATCACTGGAGTGGTTGATTGATATGGGGGTCGTAATACATACAAATTTATATCACCTTAAGTAAACATTTGTGGTTGCTCAGTGCTTCCCCGTGTGTGTGTTCAGTTAAAGTATGATATCAAGTCTACCGGCAAATATGACATTGGGTCTAGCACTGTTTCTTGCTCTGCCCCCCCCCCCCCCGAACGGAATGAAATTTATATAGAAAAAATATACCAGTTACCAGTTCCCCCCCCCCCCCTGGAAAAATTAGCCCCCCCCCCCCCCCCCCCCCCCCAAAAAAAAAGTATGGTAAAACACTGGGGTCTAGTCGTTCATAGGTCATCATGTCTTGACGACAGTAGATGAATAGGTCATGAGGTCTAATGACTAGTAGGTCATCTTCAAGTCAAATGACAAGTAAGTTATCGTCTAATGACCGGTCTAATCAAGTCGACATAGACACCAGGACTAGTAGGTCATAGGTACAGTTTTTACAAAGGAATTTAAATAGTAGACTGTCTTCTTTTACAGTAAATGAAAAACGTACAAACAAGCACTGATTCTATTCGCTGACATGCAGTTATAGGTTGTATTTTGCCTGGAGACGCACGCATATTTTGTGATATTTCGTGTAAAATGTTTTATTATGCTTCGATGTACATGTGTTCATTCTTTGCTAATGTCTATAAATGCTAAAAAAAATGCCCTTGCGCACTTTTTTTGGGCGCAGTTTTCCGTTGCGCATATTTCCGATCCGGATCTGCAATATATATATATATATATATATATATATATATATATATATATATATATATATATATATATATATATATATATATATATATATATATGTGGTGTGTGTATGTATAATTTGTAACCCCCTCATATTCAAATTCCTTCCTAAATATATCAACTTGGTGTGACATATGACCTATAATTGATTGACCTCTGACCCTCCTACAATTATCTCTATCACAACGTCCAGTGTTGCATTGAGTGAAGCAGCGGGCTGACAAATTGGTTGACCGTGTCAGACCCTCGCTTTTGTCTCCTCTAAATATGCATAACCTGGTTAAAGTCGGTCCAGAACTTGCTACCCCCCCTCCCTCCCACAACACAACAACGCCCAATAGTTAATTAAGTGATAATTAACTGTAAACACACACACTTTTAATGTAAGGGTTGATTAAAGTAGTTTAAACATTTTCGCAGTGGGTAAAATAGAGACCAAGGTGTCGTGGAACTGAGTTGTGTAGCATCAGGGTATTAGTTCAAAATAATATGTTGGACATTGAGCACATGTCCTTGCTCAAAAAGTAAAGCAGAAAACCTTCAGGGGGCTATTGAGATCTTTCGTTGGTGGCCCGTACACCAGCAGGGGTGACGGGGGGGGGGGAGTGAATATAGCATACATGGGTTTTCTGGCTCAGTGTAGCCTGGTCGACTATAGAGAGACGGGAATTTGGGGATGGTTGAGATAGGGGAATGTTGGGGATGGTATACAAGGGAATGTTGGGGATGGTTGAGATAGGGGAATGTTGGGGATGGTTGGGATAGGGGAATGTTGGGGATGGTATACAAGGGAATGTTGGGGATGGTTGAGATAGGGGAATGTTGGGGATGGTTGGGATAGGGGAATGTTGGGGATGGTATACAAGGGAATGTTGGGGAGGGTATACAAGGGAATGTTGGGGATGGTTGAGATAGGGGAATGTTGGAGATGGTTGAAATAGGGGAATGTTGGAGGTGTTTGGGATAGGGGAATGTTTGGAATGTTATACAAGGGAATATTGGGGATGGTTGAGATAGGGCAATGTTGGGGATGGTATACAAGGGACCGTTGGGGATGGTTGGGATAAGGGAATTTAGGGATGGTATACAATGAAATGTTGGAGATGGTTGGGATAGGGGAATGTTGGGGATGGTATACAAGGGATCGTGTACAGAGAGGAAGGTTGTATCCGCTGGAGATAGGGTAACATTGGGTCTTGTAGAGATAAGGGAATGTTGGATATGGTAGACGTGGGGGGGGGGGGTTGGCTCTGTTAGAGATAGGGAATGTTGACTCTGTATTTTTCTTAGATGCGATGATATTGTGTTTAAATATTTTCATCTTTTAAAAAAGTATGAAGTGTTATCAGTATCGATAAATCCACATCATGTGCATGCTATAAACAAGCGTGAAGCAATTAACTATTGATTGTTTGCTAATTGGTGAAGACACAGTATTGTCACTGTAAAGGGAGATAAGGAGCAATTAATTTTGTTATGGCCCTTGTTAATTAGATCAGGGTGAACACGCTGTATCTAAATTATGTTATTTTAATAACTCAATTAATTAAAAATAAAGTAAAGCGCCAATTAGTTGAACCAGAGATAATTAATATGGTAGAAATACGTTAGGAACCAAATCTAGACATTACTGTTTAAACAAATACATGACTGAATAATTAAATTAAGAAAATTTTTAAAACAAAATATAATTGCATTAATGCAATAAAAAGAAGAAAATAAATGATTTTCTGTAAGTATATTAAAAGTTACTTCTATTTAAAAGATTAAAAAGTAAAGCATTGTTCACTATATTTTGTATTGATTTCTAATACTAAGATTTTAAAAATTAAATTTTAAAATAAAATATAATTGCTTCAATGCAATCTAATTAAGTCAAATTTTATGTCACATCACATTGTCACCTACGTTAATTTTGTACTAATTCCATGCTGAAGCTTTCCTAAGTTCACTGAAGCTTTATATTCCATTACCTACATGGCTAAACTCCTTATATTTCCTTGAAGTTTACCCCTTGGAATGGCAAGGCAGTTCAGGTTTGAAATTCCCGTGGCTTCTTTCCTATCAAAATGAATTAGTACTTACTTTATATAAGAAACTTATAATCAACTCTTAAAAACTAATTAAGCATCCAATTAAGTCAAATTTCAAATCACTTTGCATTGTCAGCAGGTTTTGAACCATGTGCCAAGTTAGAAAGAAATTGGTCCAATAGAAAGGAGAGAAATTTCATTAGCCAGTTTAGAGCCATGATGAGCGAAGCCAAACACGGGAATTAAATAATGGTTTGTAGCGGTAAAAAAAGCCATTTTAATACTAAACTAGGGGGTTTAATTGATTTAACATTACAAACTTGAATCTGAACTAGGGGATTCAACATTACAAACAGAATCCAAGCTTTGTAACAACAAATGAAAAAGGAGAAATGTATTGGATAAGATTTTTTTTATTGTAACTCACTGTCCACTTCAACATATTTCTTCACTTTAAAATGTTAAGCCGGCTCTGGACATTATATAACTATATATCAGGAAGTACCACACAACAAAGCACTCTCCTATGTTTTAAGTTTTTAAATATTTCATTCTGAGGTCAAACACACTAGTTCCTAAAGAATGCAGATATATTTATTGTCATTTAAGTATAATTCTTCTTTATAAGGAAAGCAGAAAACTTAAGATAAAAAACAATTTTCAAAAAAAAAAAAAAATTCAAAATGCAAAGATTAAATTAAAAACAAACCATTAACACTGCAACTCACAAATTTACTTAGCCACGAAATCATTTTTTTACAAGTAGCTGCAGCCATGAAATTCATTAATATTATGTACAGCCATATATATATATATATATATATATATATATATATATATATATATATATATATATATATATATATATATATATATATATATATATAAATCCATCAAATTATGATGACATGAATATATGATTGGATAAAAAAAGTAATGAGTGATTTAAGACAAGATGTTTGAAGCATGACTACAGTAGTGGGTGTTGTGTTAAATCAGTGGTTTCATCCTGTGACATAAATCAACAGCTGGTACACACGCTAGTGTCATGACCTCTGTCCCCCACCCCCACAGTTTAGATGAGCTTGAGGGGGTAGTTGACAGAAGTCACAAGGGGTCTAAGGTTCACATTGATGGGGTAATGACAGCATCTCTAAATATAGGCACAGTTTATCCTAGACATGAAAAAACCATAGGTTTTAATAATATATATATATTTAACTGGTATGTATTTCTGAATCTGTGTATGTATGTTTGTATGCATGTACTGATGTATCTATGTATGTATGTATAGACATACTTGAATATATATATATATATATATATATATATATATATATATATATATATATATATATATATATATATATATATATATATATATATGCAAATACATATATACCAGTATTTACATACAAACAAATAGTAGTAATGATAAATGTATATAATTTGGTGAATACCTCCCCTCCCACACCAAAGATCTTACAAAAATGTATACAACAGTTCTATATTAAAGTTCTTAAACATCAGTTCCAATAAGCATCAGTACAAGGCATTTGTATTGGAAGAGGAGCAGACCCCAGCATAAGTACAACATCATGTATTTACAAATAGGAGTGCAACAAAACAAATCCAAATGTAAACATTAAATAATACAGAAATGATATTGTGTTGTCCTTCAACCAATTAATCTTTGCTAGAAATTTACAACATATTTAGTTTTAAAAAAAAAAAACCCACTAGTGATCAGTATTTCTATTTCTATTAGAAGATAAAATATATTCAATGTTTTTTTTTTTAATTAACTTAATCATTTCTCAGCTTACTTTGAAAAAACCTATAACAATTTCAAACTTACTTAGATTATTAAAAAAAAATACTAACATTAGGCATAAATAATTTAACAAAAAGTAGGGATCATTGATTCATATTTACATCAAATACAGTTTTTAAAATACAGCATGACATACACATGTAGAAAAAAAATTAATAGCCAGTTTTGAAACAAACTAGAGAAAAACATCTATAAAATTTAACATTTTAAACTGTTCTATTCCCAGCCCCAATTTATGGCAAGAAATTTAAAAAATAGAACCAAAAAAAAATGTAACTATGAAAACCAAAATGCTCAAGACAAAGATACAGTACAGATGTGACAAAGTTGAAATGATAAAACAGTGACCAACTGGAAATGAGAAAACTTGGACTCAGCACTACTAAACAATAGTTTCAAGTAGTCAGAAAATATTCCCTCCTGCCAGATAAGTTTTTCAATTTCATGCAAAGCATAGATTTACATACTGGAATGTTGAAAATATATCTATTTTAATGTAGTAAAGGCATTTCCTTAACAACCTCATCTAAAAGTTAATTTAGTATTAAGTTTACTTAATATAAGAAATATTGATGGTACACGAAACATAAGTGTGCAGTAAATTTAAAGATATTCTATGTTATGATATATGAAGTTATTGTTATGTTTATAGTAAACAAAATTCTTGTGTACAATTTTACACTAATAAATATCATTAACACTGATTCACAAATTGAAATAAAACTTAACAGAAAAAAAATGTAATGAATACATCATACACAGTCAAGCAGTTATTGGAAATGGTTATTTCTAACAATGAACACATTAGCAATGTTTTAATGAAACCGAATCACCATCCTATTTATCCTTTAAATAACCTATTTTACACTTGAATGAAGTAACTAAAGGGAAACTTGTGCCAATGCTCAAGCACTCAAGTCACCCAACTGACAAGCAACACAAACTTTGAGAGACGAGCGTATCATGTTGAAATAAAGTTAAATTTCATGTTAAACTAATGTTTTTCCCTGAGAAGTCTCAACTAAACCCACACTGTACTGCTACAGTCAGGTGTCTACATCCATTGGTTGTGACTACAACAAATAATTCAAGAAATCTGTGAACAACATTGCTCAGGGGAATACTTTTCTTCAATATAACTATTTCTAACAGTTCAAACAAATTAGTTATAGTAATAATTAGTAATCAAAGAAAAAAGGTTTTTAAAATCTACGCAAAAAAAAAAAAAAAATTTTGTAAATATGTAAATGATAGTGGAAACTCTAAAACTAATATATACATTTTAACAAAACAAAATGTTTTTTTAAATTGTTTTAGGCTACTTAGACTTCATCGCTGCTAACAAAAAAGAAACAACATTGAATGCCGCAGGTGAAGCAACAAATTGCAAGACCAGACTTAAGCAATAGGTACAAGGAATACAAGAAATGCCAGTCCACTCAAATAACAAATTTCAGTTGTATGTATCTATAACAATAGTGGTATAAGATAAATGTAAAGCCTTACAGCCATAGCAGTTTATGTATCTATAACAATTGTGGTGTAAGATAAATCTAAAGCAATACAGCCATTGCAGTTAATGTATCTATAACAACAGTGGTTTAAGGTAAGCGTAAATTCCTACATTAATAGCAGTTTATGTATCTATAACAATAGAGGTGTAAAGATAAGTGTAAAGATCTAAACATTAACATAGCAGTGGTATGGATCTCATGGAACTGTCAGTAAAGGGACATAAATGCTTTAAAAAATGTCTTGACAATGCCGCACCAACTAGAACACGATGCTTTAAATAAAAAAAAAATGTCCAATATTCAATGCCATGGTTAGAACACATTCATTAAAAAATAGTTTTACAATTGTCAAAGTTTATGTAAAAAAATTAATGGTCATAGAAATTTTAAACCATAAAGTATAATGACATACAACTAGAATAAGTGTAAATTTACCAAAAATATATCTCTAAATCAATCTGAATTTAAATTATGAAGAGTGAATATAAAATGAGATGCTATTAACCTAAGAGATTATTAAACTGTATAGAATTTATGGCACTGATAAAAGGAATATAAAACACACAATACTGTAATTACTTGCTTATATGTAAGTGACTACTCAACAGCATTTTAATGTATATCTTTCAGTAGCTGCTTATAAACCCATACAGTCTGTGGTGTGTTTAAAACAAGAAAGGCTTGAAAACACAATTTACATTCTGAACTTGTTCAGTTAAAAACAAACAAACAAAAATAAGTTTTAAATGCAACACACAAAAAAAAAAGAAATGTCCATCACGTTTACTATCACAAAGTTGTAGATTCTAACATGACAAGTAAAATAAAGACAGGCCCATAAAAGCTGAAGCTATGTACATAAAACCAAGTCTGTTAAATTTCCCACTGCAGGACGTATTCCCAAAGACGAGAGCAGTTAATGCCACACAGGATGCCAAACACAAGACACAAGGCCATGATCATTCCTGCAATAGGGGCGTCATTGGTAGCCACTAGTCTGAAAAGTAACAGAAATAGATGAAAAAATTAATAAGGAAAATTGTTCTGGCTGGTAGTTTGGAGTTTAATGCTGAAGAGTGAGTTAAGAAAGGGCTGCAACCAGTATAAATTTTTAAAATATTAAAACTGATACAATATATATATATATATATATATATATATATAAATATATATATATATATATATATATATATATATATATATATATATATATATATATATATATATATTTATATATTTATATATATATATATATATATATATATATATATATATATATTTATATATTTATATATATATATATATATTTATATATATATATATATATATATATATATATATATATATATATTTATATATTTATATATATATATATATATATATATTTATTTTAACTGGAACTAAAGGGTTGTGGCCAGCAGAGGTTATAATGAAAACTAAAAAGGATAATAAGTAAGAGGAAACTATGGTAATATATGTGGGTACAACTGTGGTCAGGTATGTGGGTACAACTGTGGTCAGATACATTGGTACAACTGTGGTCAGATATGTGGGTACAACTGTGGTCAGATATGTGGGTACAACTGTGGTCAGGTATGTGGGTACAACTGTGGTCAGATATGTTGGTACAACTGTGGTCAGATATGTGGGTACAACTGTGGTCAGATACATTGGTACAACTGTGGTCAGATATGTGGGTACAACTGTGGTCAGATATGTGGGTAAAACTGTGGTCAGGTATGTGGGTACAACTGTGGTCAGATATGTTGGTACAACTGTGGTCAGATATGTGGGTACAACTGTGGTGAGATATGTGGGTACAACTGTGGTCAGATATGTGGGTACAACTGTGGTCAGATATGTGGGTACAACTGTGGTCAGATATGTGGGTACAACTGTGGTGAGATATGTGGGTACAACTGTGGTCAGATATGTGGGTACAACTGTGGTCAGATATGTTGGTACAACTGTGGTCAGATATGTGGGTACAACTGTGGTCAGATATGTGGGTACAACTGTGGTTTGATACATGGGTACAACTGGTCAGATATGTGGGTACAACTGTGGTCAGATAAGTTGGTACAACTGTGGTGAGATATGTGGGTACAACTGTGGTCAGATATGTGGGTACAACTGTGGTCAGATATGTGGGTACAACTGTGGTTTGATACATGGGTACAACTGGTCAGATATGTGGGTACAACTGTGGTCAGGTATGGAGGTACAACTGTGGTCAGATACTTACTTTGGTGCGTACATCATGGTCAAACTACTGCAGTAGCCGCTGGTGAATGAGAACAAGATGGACACAACAATGAACACGTAATCATTGCCTATGTGAACCGTCATGGCTCGTGTATCTGGACGGAAGTTGCCAAGGACCATAAGTGGGATAAAAACAATGCGCAGAAAAACTAGGATGTTCACCCATCTAGCATTAGGCTGAAATATACAAGATGTAGCAGTGTTAATGGAATACACAATTATACATAACATGAAGTTATTGCGATACTGTTCCATTTAAATAAATGTTTAAATCATCAACTTTGTGCTTACCCATCTGATAAATTCTGTGGCCAGATTTCCTAACGTCGCAAACAAGTTGAAGAATAGAAAACAGAAGATGGCAGTCCAGAAATCAGCTGTGATGAAAAATTAATTTTATTGAACAAAATAAAGGCAGCTTTATGGTCTTTATTATGAAAAATTGCCTATTTCAATTATTTCTCCATTGCATTCCTGCTTAGTGAAATATAGTAAAAAAAATCATGATAAAATATTATACTCACGTGATAGTGGGAAACCTAAAGGCTGTACATCACTCATCACAGCTGGGAAGAGCAGGAGGGTGATGAAGAATGTGAACCACACACCAAACATCAGATGGTAAATCTGGGGACAACACATTTTGATACATAAACACAATGGGAAATGTTCGTTAATTTTTGTTACACATCCAAAATAAAATACTTTAAGTTGGGGAAAAAACCAGGGCCTACCTGTAAAAATACTCTTCCAAAACTGCGAAACAATATTTTGTAGAAAGGTTCATTATTTGAAGCATTCTTCTCTTTAAACTCCTTTTCTTTCAGTGAAGACAACAGTGTGTAGTGGCGGTAAAATTTCTGACAAAATTTTTTTTTTAAATTAAACAGTTAGTTCTAAAAATGAAATAGAACAAGTAATAATTTAGTTGATGAGAAAATTATAACAATGAATCTCAAAAATTATAATTTCAGTCACAAGCTTAATTATATTATGAGGTTACTAGTTACTGAATACTTACAGTGTTACGAGGTTACTAGTTACTGAATACTTACAGTGTTATAAGGTTACTAGTTACTGAATACTTTATTACAAGGTTACTAGTTACTGAATACTTTATTACAAGGTTACTAGTTACTGAATACTTAGTGTTATGAGGTTACTAGTTACTGAAGACTTACAGTGTTACAAGGTTACTAGTTACTGAATACTTACAGTGTTATGAGGTTACTAGTTACTGAACACTTACAGTGTTATGAGGTAACTAGTTACTGAATACTTACAGTGTTACGAGGCTACTAGTTACTGAATACTTTATTACAAGGTTACTAGTTACTGAATACTTAGTGTTATGAGGTTACTAGTTACTGAAGACTTACAGTGTTACAAGGTTACTAGTTACTGAATACTTACAGTGTTATGAGGTTACTAGTTACTGAACACTTACACTGTTCCGAGGTTACTAGTTACTGAATACTTACAGTGTTATGAGGTTACTAGTTACTGAATACTTACAGTGTTATGAGGTTACTAGTTACTGAATACTTACAGTGTGTCCAGTGACAAAGTAAGCATCAAAGGCGACCATAAGGATGACAATGGCAACCACAAAATAGTAAATAGCTGAGGTCTTTTTATCAGGCGACACTATAAAATAAATACAGAGGTTATAGAGTTGTGAAGCAAATAGATATATTTAGTTAGTTCATTGAGGAAGATGGCAAGGGGGTGAATAATAAGTGACGCAACACAAGAATAGATTTGATTAAATTTAATATAAACAAAAAGTTACATTTGTCTGTTTTTAATCTGTTTATATCAATTCTTATGTGCATTTTATTGCTGTTAAATATGTATAACAGACTTTTTTGAGATTCAGTTACTGAAAGCATCATCAAATTCAGCACAAAATAATTAGATTTCTGAAGCACATCAATTTTGTGTAACTTAAGCACAAGTGTTATCTTCACTTTAAAGTCCACTGAACATATTGACCAGTTGACCAGTAAGTACTTACATACAAGAACTATAATGTTGGTTACAGCTACCAGAGTTCCAGAAATGTTCTGAAACAATTGAAAAAAGAAATATTTTTTACAATTAGCTTAGGCCACTGGATTTTGTCTATATACATGAAAAGTTTTGGCCATTGTTTATAATGTACCAAGTATGTCCATTGATAACAGTAAACTAAGGACTGTAAACTAATCTATACTTGAGTTTAAATATTATCTATTGATGAAAACTAAGTATGGTAAAAACTACCAATGATATTGTTAATATTTGTGCATGTTGTGTACAAATGGATGTACCCACATTTCCAAAGATGATGGCGTTGGTGTACTTCATGGGAAGTGTGGCAGCCAGGCCGTACATACTGTTTTGATAAATGCCAACAGCAGCTGTGGAAGACAGGCAAGTCTTGTAATGTTGGGTATAAAACTCAGATTATACAGAGATCATGTGGGGATTTATCATGTGGGGATTTATCATGTGTTGGGTTTTTTATGGGTTGATTTATCATAAATGGATTTATCATAGGAAGATTTATTATGGTTGGATTTATAATGAGTGGATTATCATGAGTGGCACTTACAGTTTATGATGATTGCAGTTCCTATGGTAATCCAGAAAAATATTTCAGGCCCTAGAAGAAAAATAAAATAAAAAATTGTATGAAGTTGTTAAGAATAGCAGTATATAGAACAATTAATTTGTGGTTAGTTGATTGTAAACATTAAACGTAGCTCTTTAAAAAATTGTTTTACTTCAGTGTTACCAAAAAAAAAACTTACATTCAGTGGAATCAATCATAGCCAAAACTGTGGTTAGGATAAACATGATGACCATTATAATAATCCCGGAAATAACTCGCACCCCTAAAGTATTGCTGTTGATAAAAATATAAGAAAACGATGACAGATAAAAAGTAATTCTAAAATCTCATTGAACACAACTGTTTAATTAGCATTATATACAGGTAAATAATTAATACAAAAGAACTGATAGTGTAGCGGGAGGGGGGGGGGTCTTTGTTGGAGATCACTTTTGTCTAACATCTGCTGATGTATTAAAGGAGAACTAATTTCCTATGATCCTGAGTAAACATCTAGTTGAAAGGGTTAATGAAATTATCATTCTTTTTTTAAATTAATTTATTACTAATAATAAATAAGTTATTGCTGTAACTAAAGATCTATTCCCACATGAAATTATTAAGAGAGGGACAATACTTTTGTTTAACTTTGTTAACCATACAAGTTTACTTCCCTCTAGTGAGTGTATAGAAGTTAAGAAATATCCTCACCCCCCACACTGGACAAACAGGTTGATGATGTTCATGATGAAGTTGGGAAACTGTGAGGCCATGCCGATGTAGCTCATAAAGTTTGTTCTGTAGTCTTTCAGCACTTCAGACGTGTTGTTGCCACTGTCTTGTAGTTTGTAGTTCTCAAAATACTGCAAGAAACATTTGAGTTAACAGATTTCTTAAACTGTACTTTAAAGCCATTCATCAAAACTGATAAAATTTATGAAGATTTAAATTACAACTGGAATCTTTTGCAGATATTTGATGTTTTTAATCAGGACTAAATATGCAAATAATGGAAAACAAAATCTATGTAAGAAATAAGATATGTAAAAATAGGGGGATAACCTAGTCATTATTGAACAATGAAGTAGCAAACAATAAGTGCATTGACAAAAATTATTTTAACTTTTATTTATATTATTTTAATTATTTTAATACTCACAGATTTGGCATTGATGAACATGTTCCAAGGTATAAGTATGGCTATCCCATGGAGGAGCATGACAATGTAAACTACGTTGTATCTGAAAATGTTGAGTATTTTAATTAGAACTAGTACTAGGACTTGAATAGCAAGTCAATGTCACATTTCACCCCTTACCCCTCATGTCTCACCCCCATACACCTCGCTGACTTTTTAAAATAAATTTACTTTTAATTTTATATTAACAGAGAACATTTTATCTATTTATATTTAGAGTTGATTGGATTTAATGAAACAAATGACTGCAACAATAAATTGAACAACTCTACTGAAAACAAATGATAACAATAAAAAGTTGAACTACCCTACTGAAACAAATGATAACAATAAAAAGTTGAACTACACTACTGAAACAAATGACACCAATAAAAAGTTGAACTACCCTACTGAAACAAATGACACCAATAAAAAGTTGAACTACACTACTGAAACAAATAAAGCACAGCTGACCTGTCTGGTGGAGGATTTTTTTCCAACTCCTCCAGCTGTTGGGTGGTGCTGCTCTTCTTGATGGAGGTGTTGACAGCCATGCTGTCCCATCCTGGGTCAAGCTTGACCGGTAGAAATGGTTCACGTTCTGGTGGTGAAGACTCTATTCAAATCAAACAATTTTAGTTTAATTAGGTGGGGTATATACATTGTTTTAGTCTCATTAGGTTGGGTAATCAATGTTTTAGTCTAATTAGGTGGGGCACATCAATTTTTTTAGTCTAACTAGGTGGGGCACATCCATTGTTTTAGTCTCATTAGGTGGGGTACATCAATTGTTCAATGTTTAAGTAAATGGTGTTCATTTAAAAAAAGCATTTGATTTCAAAATGAATTGTTTAAGTAAGATGGCCCATAAAATAGATGAAGTAATCATCTACATCTGCAACCAAATACAATGTTGTCCTACTAGAGCCAGTTCCTATTGGGTGGACTCAGGGAAGTTTTAGTGACTCAAGACAAACTGGGAATGAAACTTTAGGCTTGGGAACTGAACATAAGACTTTAGTGCTTCACAACCCAACGGCATGTTCCTTATATAAACCCCCACAACAGCCTATATTTAGTCAGACAAAAGTAGTGTGCAGCTAGTTTTTGTAATAACAACTGGGACTTGTCTAAAGAAAAGACTACATTCCTAAAGTTTGACATTCCTAAAGATTACACAGCAGTATAGAATTATGCTTGAATAAACAGTTCCTTGATCTCCACACAATAAAAACAGATAAAGCTGCTTAAACAGAGTGTCACATGACACTTGATTTAATAAAAATATGCAATAAAATATTGATAAAACAAAACAAACACGACAAGAGAATAGAAATTAGTTATTTTACTCAGGGGCGTAGTGAGGGGATGGGGGCGGGGTGCGGACTGCACCGGGTGACACCATGACAAAAATAAGCAAAATATATAGAGAAAAACTTGAGGGGGGGGGGGGGGGGGGGTGTGTGTGTGTGCGTGCAAATCGAATACATGAGGGGGGGGGGGGTGCAAATGGAAAATTTGAAAGTTTGTCCCCGGGAAGGGTCGCTACGCTTCTGGGGGGGGGGGGGGGGGGGGGGTTGGTGGTGGTGACACCATTCAGTGACGCACCGGGTGACACCCGACCTCGCTACGCCACTTATTTTACTGTGTGAAAATGTTAAATACATGCAGCAAGAGACTAGGGTCATCTAATAGATTCTACTTCAATCCTTTATTGATCTTATGTACACTCTTCTGGAATGTTAATGTATAACTTTTCATCATTTTTTCACATTCGTGCCCAAGACACATGGGGAAGATGAAGTAGAGTTCATTTGCTTCAGAGACCTCAGCATGTGAAGGGATAATGTTGTCATCACTATGCCCAGCAGCCTTTGTTTTCCTTAACATGAGCTAGGTACCCATATGAGCTGGGCGGACTCAGGGACATTCTACTGACTTGAACCCGGATTCGAACTCGAGACTTTCAGCTTAGCAGTCTAGCTCTACTGTTCCATTTTTAACTTTTACTTCCTACATTTCTGTTTACAACAAACTAAGTAGCAAGATACAGACAATTGGTGGATTACTCAGAAACAGGTTTTCTGAAAATGTTTGAATATTTTTTAATAAAAAAAAATAGTGGAAGAATTTTCATTGTTGATAGATGACTTTCAAGGAATTTAGCAAGTATTACACAGTTCAGATGTTTTTCATTTTGTTGTATTGGAAGTGTTGTCAGTCAAGAGCTATGAGTGTTACTAATTTGACTTTTTAAAATTTCCACTTCTTCATTTCCTGTTTATAGTTTTATTTGTCATAGATTTACATTAGAAATATTTTGTGAGCAGGAGGCCTATTACCCGCATAATACTGCAAGTACACACATTAGCTGCCCCATACACCACTAGCTGCCTCATACACCACTAGCTGCCACATACACCACTAGCTGCCACATACACCACTAGCTGCCACATACACCACTAGCTGCACCATACACCACTAGCTGCCCCATACACCACTATCTGCCCCATACACCACTAGCTACCCCATACACCACTAGCTGCCACATACACCACTAGCTGCCACATACACCACTAGCTGCCCCATACACCACTAGCTGCCACATACACCACTAACTGCCCCATACACCACTAGCTGCCACATACACCACTAGCTGCCAACATCCCATACACCACTAGCTGCCACATACACCACTAGCTGCCCCATACACCACTAGCTGCCACATACACCACTAGCTGCCCCATACACCACTAGCTGCCACATACACCACTATCTGCCCCATACACCACTAGCTGCCACATACACCACTATCTGCCACATACACCACTATCTGCCCCATACACCACTAGCTGCCCCATACACCATTAGCTGCCCGATACACCACTTGCTGCCACATACACCACTAGCTACCCCATACACCACTAGCTGCCCCATACACCACTAGCTGCCACATACACCACTAGCTGCCACATACACCACTAACTGCCCCATACACCACTAGCTGCCACATACACCACTAGCTGCCACATACACCACTAGATACCACATACACCACTATCTTCCAACATCCCCCTCACAAAAAATGTAAATGTTACAGTGAAAGGTTGGTGGGTGACATGTTAATTGTGACTCAGTAGGTCACAAGGTCACATCCTTCACAGGGTGCTTCATTGTGCCTACTGACTGCACTTAATCAGACTTTCTAAAATCAGGAAATTAATGAGAACTGCCGCTAAACTTTAGCTATGCTGCTACTAAACTGTAGGAATGACATTTAAAAATGGATGTATTGTATTGACTCATAAAAGATATTTGTTTCCTAAGGTGAATTTCAGAAACATCTGTCTTTTAAAATCAAGTTTTATAAAAGAGTTACACTAATTTAACATAAAAGCTTTTTTCCTGTTTATCAGAATTTGTCCTCAAATTTCTTTGACTCCAATTAAACTTAAAAATATAAAATTTTGATTACGTGGTTACACTCTAAATAAAAATATTTTACAAGCTGATTTACAAATTGGTTAAACAATTAACACTCCCTAATTGAAAATAATGTTATCATAGCTAATTAACACATCTCATTGCTATTAATGAGAAAAGGAGTCTACACTTGATTTAACTACATTAAAAAGTGCCAAAGTATTTAACCTTAAGCCTATAAAAGCCAAAAAAGCTAAAATAAAAAATCTGTAACAAAATATAACTTGAGGCAGAAAGATAGAGAGAGATAAAAAATGTTATGAGCACAATATTTTTATAAGTAAGATAATATTTAATCACTTAAATTAAAACATTGCATGCATAAACTACTAATAAAATTCATCCCTATTACAGAGATAAGTGGAGGCAACTAGTCTAGACTTAGGGACAGATAGATGAGGCAACAGTTCTATCATCTACCAGACTTAACAACAGATGAGAGATTAAAAAAAGATGTTTCACAAGATAACAATGCAGACACAAGTGAACGTACCCCAACTGCCATTTTTGTACAGGGGAGACTGGGACCACGAGTCTATAGCTGATGTGTTGTTGGGCTCTCTCCTCCTCTCTAGCGTGGCCATAGACTCCCTCTTGCCGAAGGTGATCAGCTGCACACTTTGGTTGCCATCCCCATCACCCATGATGCTGCTGTTGTTAAGATTTCACTGTCAAAACACCAAACTGCTCAACATCTGGAATCTCATCAAATGCTTTCTGCAAGGGAAAAAAAAACTATTATGAGAATTGTTATGAATGACTTATGACAAGACTCTTCCAAAATAGTTTGGCTGTCAGTAGTATTGTAATTTTAGATTTAGTGTTATATTTAGAAATTAGAGTTATGGCTACACAGGGACTTCAAGTTAGGGTTTGATAGTGTTTACATTGATATTATTACCATTTATTTGGTTAAATATCAGTAATCCAATACCCATATTTTAAGAAGATTCCATTATTGTATCATTATTGGACACTTGGATAACACATACCCCACTTTTATAGACCATAATCCAAAGTATAATTAACTTGTATCAGTAGACACTATTATTATGCATTGATTCTAGCATGCTTTTCCATTAAATAAAATGATTGCTTGTTACAGTTTTAAAAACTCAATAGTGAAGGCAGAAGCAATTTTTGTTAAAGAAAATCTAACTATTAATTATTTTTAATGGAGTGGGATTCTATACAAATGTATTACAGCTAACGATCAACCAGTTTTGTTAATTTCTGAAAAAATTACAATGTCAAGAAAAAAATTATAAATGTAACTATTTTTTTAAAAATCTATACCTGCATGACCTGTAAATAGCCTTAATCAAAATGGAACTCTCCATGCATTTGTTTTCTTTTTTCATTTAAAATGTTATTTAGGAATAAGTGCGGGGATTATCTTTACTTACAATTTTTAAAAATATATTAAAAATCGTTTTTTCAACATAGTAGCCTAACAACAATAATAAATGCTTTAAAGAGAAACAATCTATGAATGATACCCATTCATTTGATGTTTGGGTACAATAACAAAATACTATGCTTGACATAATGCATACAGACATACAAAAAGTACTAGCCGACAATAATCAGCGACTATTGCTGACTACTAATATCAGAGTAATTATCTCGTTCATTAATGAATAGATTACGCGCACCAGCACATGATAAGCTTGATGAAGAAGGGGAGGGAAGCGGCATCAAGGCGAATAACCCTGGCGTGAATGGAAAGTAGAAATTAGCCTCCACACCAAAATGTCGAATGAGGTGGGGGCTGGGAAAAAAATAGAGTTTGGTCGCCGTTAATCTAAACCGTACAGCCTAATTATTGTTTCGGTCTCCATTCGTCTTTCTGGGTTATTTCACTAAGGGGACTAATTATCTTAATTAGATTTACTCGTTAATCATGAGGTCTATTTGTAAAGTGGAACAGTAAAAGGACCCTAGTTTATCTTATCTACCTAATAATTTCTTGCTAAACTTACCTAGACGTAAAAATGACCCCCCCCCCCCCCTCAGCGGGAATGCTATTTACATGGAAAGCGGTCACGTGTTCGTAACATTCCGGGTATTAGTATGACGTCGCTCACAGTTGACGTCACGCTGTTTTACACGACTTCAACCCACCCCCCCCCCCCCCCGCCATCACGTCACACAAATGTATTTCCCGTCCTCCCTGGGTATGTGTCGTTAGTTACGTACAACACGAGATAATTTAAAAAGACACATTCCCCTCGTTAGCAATAATTTAAGTTAAGTAAACATCTAATGAAACAACGTAAAAAAACTACTAGTACTACACACAAACATAGCAGTAAATAATTATTGACATTATCACCATCTCAATTGCAGCATTTTTAAAAGGTGCTCATTCTTAAGATGGAGTAAAAATCGATTTGCCTTTGACAAGTGATAACAATCGTCATGACAAGGAGATAAAATGTTTAGTTCACACTTATATCTCACCGATCTGATGAGATTTTATTAGTTAGGTGAAGAGATATAGAAGAAATAGGGGAGGGAATAAGCAGAGAAATAGAAGAAATAGGGGAGGGAATAAGCAGAGAAATAGAAGAAATAGGGGAGGGAATAAGCAGAGAAATAGAAGAATTGGGGAGGGAATAAGCAGAGAAATAGAAGAAATAGGGGAGAGAATACAGTCGTTCGGTTAAAATCACTTTGAAAAGACGCAAAATAAAATGTAGTTTTCAGTGAAAAAGCAAGTAGCCTACTTTACTTCTCGCGTAAAAAGCGACTTTTTAAACCAGGAAAAGCTCAATAATCGAGTGGGGGACGGAGGGGGTGGGGGGGGGGGGGGCAGAAGAAAGGAGGGGGTTGTCTTATTTGACTTTCGTCATAAGGGCAGGTGTATCCCTAAATTATATTTTACTGGAAAAGTTGAGGGAGATGGCTTTATAAGACGGAAAATATTTTTTTCCGGTAGTTTCTATATGGCAGGTTTAAAGTCTAACTCCCCTGTGTGGTATGAAGCACGAATAAATTTTAAAAATTAAAACAAAACGAATCATCTGCTACACATAAAAGTAGCTAAGAAGAAAACCACTGGCCAAACCTAGACCGCCTGTCACCCTTAGATTGACCTGTAAAACCTAGACCGTCTGCCACCCTTAGATTGACCTGTCCAAGATAATGGTATGACCATATCTAGCGGAGACGACATTAAGGGTGGCCCACAAAAAAATGTTATCTCGATAGCTTATCAAAACCACACAACGACGACACTAAAAGACTACAGGCTTTATGATATCTCGCTGCAGCACATATAAACTCGCACAAACCACTGCCGTCTGCACATTTTTTGGTACAAACTCGCGGGAAAAAAAAAACTCGGTTACCTTCACGCAAAACTTCTTTTATTTACCACTACAGCTGTAAGACTGGAATCTACGATGAAGGAACGATGAGAAAAAAAAAACCTACCCAAAATAAAAATACTGGCAGCGCACGAAGCGCTAATACTAATAGTGTAAACGAAAACGGAGTAACGGCATCGAAAAGTAGGCCCGTGGAAAAATGTCGCCGTGTTGACCTCTAGTACCCCCCCCCCCCCTTTCTCCACATCAAATTCGTTAAAAAAAAACCTCAGTAACAAGCTCAACTCACCTTTTTTCTCCACTGAAAAGCAGAAGGTAACAAACTCAATTACTGGCACGACAAGGTAATCGGTATGTACTAGTGCGTAGACCGGTTACAAACTCTCTAACACCAGTAACAGCTCCCTTGTCAATTGTAGAAATAGTTTCGCCCCCCTCCTCTTAGTAAAACAAAGCACGGTTTTTTTTTTACAACCTTGTCCGTGGCGAGGTTTTGGGGGCTATGAAAATGTAAACAAAGACGGCCGCGGGAAAAGTTAATGCCTTGTTAAGAACAAATGCTAATGGGAGATGGGCATTCGGTGGAAACCATCGGCATGAACGTGGGAGGGGTCGGTGCATAGCCAAGGCTTTGATTAGCCTCATTTAGCCGTGTCTTTTGGATGAGTCACGACACGGGTCTCGAAGTAATTTTTTTTTAAATACTGCTGTAAGTGGCTATCAAATGTCAACCCTTTGACACTGAAATTGATACAATGGGCTCTTAATATTGTCACAATATTTCCACACAGATTTGTCTTTGGTATAGGCCTACGGCTCAGTCAAACCCCGGTATATCTAGTCAACAGACCGAAGGGGTTGGTTCACGTGATCAGTGTCAACTTGTTCTCACACTCTGCTCTGGCATCACGGCAGACGAGAACATGAGGCAATTTAGGTCACTGTATCCAGCGGCGTAGGCAAGGTGGGGCAAGACTATCCACATATCCAATTTAGGTCACTGTATCCAGCGGCGTATACAAAGTGGGACAAGACTATCCACATATCCAATTTAGGTCACTGTATCCAGCGGCGTAGACAAGACTATCCACAATTTAGGTCACTGTATCCATCGGCGTAGACAAGACTATCCACAATTCAGGTCACTGTATCCAGCAGAGTAGGCAAGGTGGGGCAAGACTATCCACATATCCAATTTAGGTCACTGTATCCAGCGGGGTAGACAAGGTGGGGCAAGACTATCCACAATTTAGGTCACTGTAACCAGCGGCGTAGATAAGGTGGGGCAAACGATGAACGTGTAAGCACTCAGAAATTTACCAGATAGAACACATTGCCCAATTTGCGCGTGTTTGTGCTCAGCGGATGCAAACCACACCGCTAATATTAGAGGAGATTTCCGTAATTACACGAACATCCTCTCCTAGATGAGTCGCTGTCCCGAGATACGAACTCGGGATGTTTTGAGTTAGCAACCATGAGCTTTCCCTCTCGACCATGCCATCCCAATCAATAAAAAAAACAATAGTACGGTTACTGCAAACAATTTTATCATAGCAGCCTATATTTTTTAATCAAAAGGACATTTAGAGAATGCTTTTTTGAAATGTGTGAGTCAAGAAAACAGAAAACGTATAAGGACACTGTGAAGCAAAAACTAAATAACATGCATTGGAGCGAGGCATCCTATTTGTGTTGAATAAAGCTCGCAGAAGATAAACATTAATGTTACACACGGGAGACCTTGGCAAATTGCCCGTGACGATATCATTCAACTATTTCGGGGAATTATAGCGGCAGTGGCGTCACAAGGTCGGGTGTCACCCGGTGCGGTAACTGTGGGTGTCGTCCCCACCACTTCCCACAATTTTGCTATGGTGTCGCTAATTTTTACATTTTTTCGATGTGGTGTCACCCCCTGAATGGTGTCACCCCCTGAAAGGTGTCACCCCCTGAATGGTGTCACTAGATGCGGACCGCATCTTCCATCCCCGATTTAATAATCTACTGATGGACGCTACAAAGTTCATTCATGTCTATTAACAATTTCTTCCTTACCAATCTATAGAATTTTTAAAAAGTAATTATGAATACCTTAATGTTTTTTTTTTGTCTCTGTGTTAATTGTAATCCATCTTAAATTCAAGATTAAGAAAACAGCGATAAGATTTAGCGAGTCAATAATTCAATGAGATACATTTGAAGTAATGGAATATTTCAATGGCCCTTAAACAATCAACTCACAATGTTCACTAAAGCAGCACTTTAAAGTGTCAACATTTCTACAAATGTTTTTTTTTATAACCGTCAAGTTTTTTTTTTTAAAACCATCCGAAATTTTCCCATTTAAAAGAGGAAATTTTTTATCTTTATTATAATTTGCAC